GACGTCGTAGTCTGAGAGTGAGTATGAGGGGGGACTAGCGTCTGGCACAGGCCATGCGTACATGTCCACATGGCGAGATGAAGATGAACTTAACCTTATTATGCTTACCGGCAGTGCCGCATCGAGCCGATTTCCAGCCTCCACCCATCTCGCGAACGAGTGCCAGGTATGTCGAACTACGAAGGGATTGCAGAAGAACACATGCCACAAGCCAGTTGCACAGGTCAGCGATGTCCCTGACAGATGTACCGCAGCGGGTAGAATCAATACAACTTGGGACCGCAAAACCAGATTCTGAGGCAAGCACAGGGACAATTAATACGGTTATAGATAGGGTTGGCTGCCATCATTCGTAATATGCTATACGCACGCATAATATCAGTTGGATAAAGACAGGAGCGTATCTGCGTCAGGGCAGGATGACAGTCCGTGTTCACCTGCAAACCCTCGGTTTCATGACCTTCGCGTACAGCTGCGCGAGACTAGACGACAGGGTCAGCGTGCAGGTGCGGATCGCGGTGCTTGAGATTGAGGTGCTGCCCGCGCCAGAGCTCGACCGGAGGAGTTCGAGAGTAGAGACGATTATAGGCTCGGTGATGAGCCGTTTCAGAGCGAGCTTGTGCGTGTCTTGTTGAATGGGACCTGGAGCGGCGTGAACGTAGTGTGGGGCTAATCTGAGGTCGTAATGGCGGAGGTCGAAGTAAGCCGAAGTGCCAAGACACTGCTATGAAGAACGTAGCAAGCATGCCAATCATGCGCAGGGTAGACGGCAGCCACTGCATAGGACAACTGTGGGTTCGCTGGCGTAGAAGGCATCGAGGACAGTGGAGAATCCACAGCTTTTGTCGGTTGTAAGTCATGCGAAAAAGCCGTGTCCCAGAGACACGTCAGGGGGTGCGACCTCGGAGCCAGCAAGCTGTTCAGTCCAAGAAAGTCTGACAGTTCGGGGCAACGTTCTGTGGACACGCCGTCAGCACACGCATAGTGGGATATGGACAAGACAGACACACCTGGTCGTCACTCGATGGTAGGAGCCACAGTGGACGATCTGGTTATAACAGAAAGCACGACAAGTAATACTTATGATTATTTTGTTGAAACGCGTGTCCCCGAGCGTGACATGGCTCGACGTAGAGATAGTACTGCATGGTGGCGGGGAGTTCCTGCAGCTGTGAGGATGAGCATGGGGAGAAGCAGTTACTTGAACAACATCTGTTATTTTGTGTACGCTGGTGGTGAGAAGAGTGCTAGGACAGCGAATAGTGGATTTGGAGCGAGACAGGAACAGCCGGTGGTGATAGCGGCTCTGATGGCATTGATCGCCGTGTCAAAGGCCTCCGCTCTACATGCTGCAGCTGAGATCTCATGCACCCATCGTAGCGATAACATATGACGGGCGAGTACTGGTATGACAGTGGACTTGACGTCAGTATGCCCACAGATCACTGCAGGTGCGGCCGCAGAGGGCTAGTGGGTGTTCTCGTGCTCCCTACCATTGAAGTCCAGCGTACTACAAATACAAGTGATCATGAGCATGTTCTTACTGTACTGATTTCGTCTTGTTCTATTCTCCGCGCCCGTCGACGCGTCGGCGTTGCGGCTATCGGTGAGTGACTTGATATATTACAACAACGGGCGCGCCCGGTCCTGTACAGGATGCATGTTCATAATACCGAATAATACAGCGTCAATGATGAAGTGCGAGATCTTCGCGTGTGGAGACGAGTGAGCCGAAGGGGAGTGATGGAGACCTAGAGCGGGGAAGGAGAGAGGGGCTGTGAGAAGAGTAGCGGATGGACAGAGGAGTGAAAGCTTCCTAACGTGTTCGCCGATGGATAGAAGCAGTGGGGCGTGTAAGTGGTAATGAGAAAGACTAAGAAGGCTCGAACTGGGAGAGTAAGAGAGACTAATCAATCATCTGCAACTTGTTCTTCGTCCTCGCTTATGCTACCAATGTCGCTCATCTCCTCGTCTTGCTCCTCTTCTTCGCCGTCGGCTGCTGCATCGGCCGCCTCCTTGGTTGCGAACCGCTGTACGTACTCTGTTGCAGCATTGTGTGAGAACACGTCTATTGCTTAAGATACGCAGACTTACCTTTGACCTTTGCCTCATACTCTTTCGGATGGCGCATGAGCAGCGCGGCCGCCTCACCGTTCAGAGGATCGTTCGGGTTAGGGTATCGGAGGAGCTGGGGGAGAAAAACCTCGAAGATATTTATCATGTCTGCACCGTGACAGTCGGGAAGGTAAGCCAAGCCCCGAGTATAAGCGTAGGGGACACATACCGAACATCGGTGACCAGGTCTGATTAATAACATCGAGACAGACTGAGCCACTCCTAGGCGGTCGGGTCAGCGCACGCGGACGCAGAATGCTACACGAACCACTGACAGTTCATCAATATTTGGGTGGAAGATCTTATTCATGAAACCTATGCTGGGGGACTTAAACGGGTATTGGTCCGGAAGCTCAACGTGAATCTTCCACACCCCGCCAGCGAAGGGTGCTGGAGCGTAAGTGAGTTGCCGTCTTCGCACATGCTAGGTCAGATCGCACTCACTCTCAGCAGGGCCGTAAAACCGAACATAGAGTTCTTGCATGTTATCGTTCACGAGATTAACCTCGTAATCGGACATGAGCCTGTATATGTCGTTTTCAGTGTCCTGTAGCGTGGGGCATTGCAGGCATACGCACAACTTCATAACGTCGGTCTCGATACGGCGTTTGCTTGGTGAGGTGTATATACACCCAGACGTCCGCCGTCAGTACACGCTTCAGGCTCTCAGGGCGAGACAGCACTTATCATGGTCAGCGTATCGCTGCTGCGCAAGTGGTATGTCGAGCGGGGTTCGTCGAGCGAGTGGTGCGGGCAACACAGTGGCGGTAGTCGGAGCCACGGGATTGCAGAGAAGCTATATATAGGGAGCAAGGCCTGGTCGTTGTCTTGAGCAGCGGAGGAGTGTTAGATGTCCGTAGCGCCGGAACTGGTATTATCGCGGGCGCCTGTTATTCCGGCACGGAGTTGCGGATCCGCTCGGTCAAGCCGGGGCGAGTCCGTGAGCTCCCAAGCGCATGCAAATTTCGGCTTTCGGGGGAGCTATGACTTCTACAGACAGTGCCAGTTCTTGAGCTCAACCAGCACATTTTGTTTACGATTCAGCTGATATTTTGCCTCGCCAGAATGTTCGGACTGATCCTTATCGATCCCCGTGAAAGCACCGTTAGCATTTCTCCCGCCAGCCACGAGGCCTGAGGCCTGAGGTGTAGATCTCCTCGTAAGTTACCTCCCGAGCAAGCGAGTGTCCTTGTACGTGAAACCTTTCATGACTTAATTCACACACTACTATCGACCACTGTTCTCGACTGTTCTTACGTCACCCAAATTCCCACCCAACACACAAGAAGTCGTCCACTGACGAAACCTGATGGTCACTGTGCCAAGGCCCACTGGTCGTCGCGTTCCTCTGTCTATGAGTCCACCGGTGGCTCTATATCAAGAAACGCACTCAAAACCAAGACCATTCCTCGACAACACACGCGACGGCGTCGTTCGAACACGGATAGGGCCTCTTCCCACCCGTCACGCCGGCTTCTTTCCTGGAGCTCCCGACGCCCGCCCCGGAAGCCCTCCCGATGCCGACAGGCTGCTCCCTGTATGCCCGGCTCGCGACCACGACGGCTAGATCGTACCGTAAACACATACCCGGGCTTGGCTGTATCTGGCGAACGGAGACTTACCCAGGCAGAGGAGCCCGAAACCGACGATCAGGATCAGCTCCTCTTGAGTTTGGGAGAGGAAACGGCCGTCCTGTCTGTGGTGCATTACGACACTGTCCACCACAAGTCGAGTCAGGGTCCCTGCCAGCCCGTCTTCGCTCAGAAACTTACAGGAAGGCCATGCAGGCCAGTGCAAGCACAGCCACCGTCGTCTGAGTAAGGCTATAGAAGTCTTGATGCAAGTCTGTCAGATGGTGCAAGCTTATCGCAGGATGACCCCTTACGAGTAGCAGCAGGGATCGCCCGTGCAAGTCCGATTGCGACGAGAGCAGCACCAGCCGCTAGGTGTCGTGTTAGTCACCTCGGGAATTCAATATGGTTAGTGCTCTTACGGACCTGCTGCGATCGATTGCAAAGGGTGCCCTCTGAACAACGGTCGATCGTGCGACATCATGGGGTAATGGCAAGAAATGGAGAAGAGAGAATGGGATTGACTCCAGCCGCTCTCTTGATATGCGTTACGGCTGCTCAAGCACGCTTGTGCGGTGTGACTTTGGACGCCTGACCTCAACCCGTCTCATCTCACGCCTTGCGGAAACCACGTTGCAGAGGAAACGTCTCATCAAGTATACAAGGTTCGTTCGTTTAACAATATAAAAACACATGCCGTGAAGACACGCTTCCGCCCTGGTGCGTTCTGATCCATGTGTTCACGTGCGTAAGCTCATCAATGCGGCATAATTATCGTGTCTTCGTAACCAATAATTAGTCTGTCTATAGCACGTGTAGCATTGCCTTCGTTTCTGCCTTCAGAGTGCGCAGCTACGCACTCTGCACGATCCCAGGTACCTGCGTGACGACTGGCGGGCCGCCATGCTGTGGCTGGATGACGACCGAGTGCCCAGGTTGTTGCGACACGACGTACCCGCCGTTCGACATCTGCGGGTTCGTGGGGTACGCATGCCCCGGGTACGCAGGCGAGCCGGCGGGATAGGCGTAGTTGTAGCGTCCAGGGGGACCGCCGCTCTCGTTACCAGGGTACTGTCCAAACCAAGGCAGCTCGAAGATTGGCTCGTACCAGGCGCCGTACCGTCCGAAGGCCTTCGCCCGCGATGTCAGTGTGATGAGGATCCAGAGGAAGATTGTGACTGAAGTTCACAGAGCTCAGCAATGTGAACGCGATGTGTGGAGATGGAAAGGGGGACTGACAGAGACAGAAGTTCATCCAAGAGAAGGCCTCGATGACCTTCATCTCGTAGCAGTAAGACTTGGCACTGACTGATGAGCAAGCTCAGCCAACAAATGTCTCGACACAGGTGAGATGTATAGACTCACTGCTGCCCGATTTCGTGGGCGTCCGCTGGCCTCCTAGTGTATCACATTGGATGTTCCCAAGGATATCGCTATGCATGTATGAAACACATGTTACATGCAAGAAAACATGAGACCCACGTAGACCATGCGCCCATTGCTACAACAAGAGTCATGAAAAGGGACGAGAAACTGTAATATAGATATTACTCACTGAGCCAGAGCACACCTAGGATGAATGTAGCGATCGCTTCCATGATTGGGCGTGACCATGAATTTCTGCGTGAGTCTTAGCGATAATTGGGCAGCTTAGAGCGGGGAGTGCACTTGCAGAATGAAAAATATTAGTATCGTTAACGATGGGACGACGAGAGCAAATATTGTGAAGTCGGCTGCATGAGAGGCTCATCAATTAGGACTTCGGGGGGTAGATGGTCTTGAAAGACGTACGATGCAAGTTAGGGAGAAAGATACTAGCCAGGTACGCATCGATGCCGAGCACCGTTACTGCTAGTAGAAAGACGAACACTATCGCATTGCGCGTCACTCTATGAGCTCTTGATGAATGTTAACTGTCACTAACCATGGCCATACAGGCGCATATCTCTGAATAATTGTGTCATCTAGCTCATACCGATGGCAGTGAGCATTTCCGTCAGTGTGCAGCATGCGACGACGTACCTGCAAAGCCCCACTCGCAGCTCCAAGCTATGCAAGTCACTAGTGTCTTTCGTTCAAGTCGTGGAAGTCGTGAGGCGGGGGATGTCCCAGATCGTGGTGAGAGCAAGGGAGAGAGATGGCTCTCTGACAAATTATATGAAAGCCTCGAGGTCCCCGCTGGAGACTACCCTTCGGTTCGCTTTCATGCAGTTCGGCTTCCTGATGGGAAAGCGAAATGAGTGACGTACAGCGGGGTCTGAACCCATTGTTTGTGGGGCGCGAACTACTGCGAACCGCGCGCCAACCTCGAGGCGCACATCATGCAATAGCTTTCCCACGCTAACCATTCCGAGACAGTATTGTGCTCGACGAATATCCTCTGCGATAAGGGAGATGTCTGGGGAACGGGTGCGGCATTATCGATGTTGCTCGGCAAGTTTGAACAATGTTCTGGCTGGCTGGCGTATAAACACCGACAAATAAACACCGCTTGGGCGCCTATTGAGCCCTATCGCAGCCAAAACCGGGACATGACCTCCTGGCGCACTAGTAGGATGCATAAACGTATCGCTTCAAGAAAGAGAGAAGAGAGATAACAGCCATAAAGATTGTGTATAGTGAAAATGTCGACTTCGTACTTGGCCCATTCCCTAGTTTAGGGCAGGACTCTCACAGACATCTAAGTCAACGCGAAGTCCACAAGCTCCCGCAGATCGCATATGAAAGATACGTTGACAGGTACCCTGGTATTTTACTTCCTCATTCTTCAAGATGTCGGTGCAAGGAGTAAGCTTCAACCTCACTATTGCGTTGCATCTGCATCACCCTATACATTCAACCTAATATCCTACAAGGAGTGACAGTGACAATGACCCCAATGTTCCCTAGTATGTACAAGGTCTATAATACAGCTCATGACCTTCCGTAAATATATCCCGTCTGAGCGGTACCTCATCTAAGTCGGAAGACGTAAAAATAAAGCGAGTAAGGCACGTGCATCACCGCCGGGGCGATGCATCCCGCAGGTACTTGTCGCGCACCTGCCGTGCCGTCTCTCCCCCGCGCGCTGGCTCAGGCTGCGTGTGGGGGATCATGTACACGTACGTCGGTGCCTCGTTCTTGGTCGGCGTGTCTCGCCGCGTGGCAGACGGCCGCCGCTGGTGGTTCCGCGACGACTGCGACGGACGCTTCTCCTGCAGGCCGGGCCGCCGCTCCTGCGGCTTCTCCCATGCCCGGTCTACATAGATCTGGTCGCCATAGGCCTTGTCCGCGTACACCTTCTCCGAGCGCGAGCGCTGCAGCTGAGGCTGAGGCTGCGACTTGGCTTGGGCCTGCGACCGTGTCGAGGTGCTGCGCTTAGCGTTGACAGGCGGTGGCAGCGCCTGGACCTTGCCCGTCTGTGCATTTGCACCAGCGAACCAGGGGAACGCTGTGACGGACCAGATCCAGACGTGAGCGTGGCCCCAACGGTGGTGACGGACAGCAAGGAAAAGTAGCATCAAGAGAAAGGCCCAGAGGAGGATGATATTGAAGAATGAAAAGGCCTCGAGGACTCGGTATTGTGCATGGAAGGTGTCGGTGTTAACTACGGAAGACGTCAGGTTGATATAAGGTATGATAAAATGGTACACGTACAGCCTGGGACCTCGACTGCTTCAGTCGAATCTGCAGAGGAGAAACATTCGACATCTGAGTCTCCCGAGTCTGTCGAGGCGAGGAAGACACCGAGGGCCAGCCAAAGGACACCAAGGAGTCCCAAACACCCAAGTTCCACCCTTGTAGAAATCGGGTTCCTATCCTTCCAGAGGCCGAATCCAAGAAGAGCAATAAGGATAAGCAGGCTTGCGCTGCATACGAAGATGGCGAACGGAACAAAACGAGCTGCGAGTGTGTCAGGATAGGATCGTCGAAAACAGTGGATCTACGCACTGAGGTCGGATGCAATAAGGATGTTCTGGAGGTGCACCGCGATGGCCAAGCAAACGATGGTCCAGATCAAGACAAGGACTGCAGACTCGTCAGTCTTAGAGTCGCCAGTAGTCGAGGCAGAACTTACCATAGATACAGCCCCGGATGATGTTGAACACAGAAGGCATACGTAGACGCAGTGCCCCGCAACAGCAGAGGAGTGAGAGGAGTGAGGGAGCGGGTCGACCGTTCTGGTTGGACTGAGATGGCCGACCACCATCCTGCGCATGAGTATTTGAAGCACTCATGTTACCGTGTGCTTCCGTCGCTCGTAAGTATCCGTGAGTGTGCAAGCGTGAGGCTCAAACAGCCGGACGATGAACGAGACCTGGATGAAAAAAACGAGGTTCCAGGGAGGCAAAGGGGGTCTCAGAATCGCCGCGAGGCTTTGAGTCTCGCCTGATGCGCCTTTTCAGCCTTTCTTCCGAAAGAGCCGTAGCAACTCTTTGAGGACGGAAAGGTCAGAAAGAAGACTGCTTGCACCGCGGCTGAGCAGCAGAAGGGGCCACCGGATGGCAGCTCGGAAAGCCAGAAAACCTCACCGGCGACGCGCTTATAAGCCCTCGAGAGCGAAGTTTTCCCCATTGTCGGAGCGCGGCGCCCCTGATCCTGCCGGTGCTTCCCGTGTACAAAACACGGTCCAATTTGGCGGCGAAAGCCAAAGCCTTTGCCTCATGGCCCGTGGGATCTGCCTGAAAGACCATTAACAGCAGATAGGCGCCTATAGCGCGAGTTTGGGTGCGGTGATTGGTCGCGGGGACAATTATTGATGCTGCTTACTCGCTTTGGTAATGTACACCGATCCCTCATTGTATTCTCGACAGCAAAGTATTGTCCCTCGAAGGCCACATCTTACGCTGTGACTGCCATCTCTCGACGCAGGGCTTGCCCAAGAGTGTCATATTCGATAAGGCATTCCGGATTTCTGAGCGTGGCCGGGTTGACGCTCGAGACAGGTGCCCCATTGATGATCTGATGACAGAAGTGAGAGCCTGAACACGCTGCAGCAACGCTGCAAATTTGACCGGCTGCACGTACCTTCTTCACCGGGACCTCCACGCGCTTGCCATTGATAGTATAGGGGATGTCTTTCACCTGAATGACCTACATAGCAATTGGTGAGCACACGACGCCACAACGTTGCGGGGCTCCAGACGGGAGCTAGGGCGCCGAGAGTTCACTGGGCCAACCCACCTTCGCAGGGACATGCCGCGCCGTCCTCCGCGTTCTAATTTCGTGCTTGATCCTCTTTTCAAGGTCCTCTGACAGGGCCTCGCCCTCAAGTAGCTTCACAAAGAGAAGCACGCGTTCATCCGTGCCCTGAGCGATACTCTGGCTGACAGCAAGACAGTCGATAACCGTGTGAGAATGATGCGTGACTTCCGGAGCGAAGCACAGGTCGAGCACGTCGTACAGTTCGGCAGAGCCGAAACGCACGCCGCCAGGGTTGCTGTGATAGCGCTATCGTAAGCCTCCATTGGGAAAGAACAATGGATACCTACAGCACGCCGTCGCTCCGACCAAGCATGATAAGGCCCCCGCCATTGCCTGACCGGGATGGGGTGAGCAGAACGTGGTCGCCGTGGTCTGGCACATGATTGGGTCAGGTCGATCGACGCCAATACGTCGAAGCATCGAACACTCACACCAGACTCCAGCGAACTCGGTAAAGTACGCCTGCTGATAGCGCACCTTCGCAGCCTGCACATCCTTCTCGCTGCCGTATCCGGGCAGGGGCCAGAAGCCGACAGGCTGGCATGGGAACGGCCGCACGCAGACGAGCTCGCCCGGCTCATCCACAACACAGCGCGTGCCGACAGGAGTGAACGTCTCAACAGCCATCCCGAGCATCCGGCATTGGATCTCGCCACGGTAGACCGGGAGGGCGGTGTTCATACCCGCAAAGAGCGAGCAAATGTCCGTGCCGCCTGCGGAAGCGGGTGCATGTAAGCGACCAGGTCACCCGCCCGGATCTTCGCTACGCACCCGTGATAGAACCCAGCAGAACATTCGGGGAGATCTGCTCGTAGACAAAGTCGAACAGTGGGGCAGCTAGGGGCGAGCCTGTGGAGTAGATGTGCCGGAGAGTGCGCAGGCTGTGGTGCACCCTCGGAGTTCTGTAGCATTTCTAGCAGAACAATCTAAGTGAGTCATTTCCGTCGACTGTGGGCTGCGCTGCCGCTTACCGATAGCTGATCAATGTACTTTGCGCTAGTTCCGAAAAGTGTAATACCCAGTTCATCCACAAGGTTCCACAGGAAAGTAGGGTCCCTGAGCGGGCTGCCGTCGTACAACACCAACGTGCATCCGGCCTGCAGCCCATGAACGAGCCAATTCCACATCATCCACCCACTAAATGATACGGTCAACGCTGACTCAACCTTGATTCCGAGGGAGACTCACGTGGTTGTGTAGTAGAAGAATATATCGTCTGAGCGCAGGTCACCACATATCATGAACTCTTTCTTTGCTTGCAAGAGCATACCACCTGCGCGGTGGACAATCGGTCTGGGCATGTCATGAGCAGAAGCTCATTTGAACAAGAGAATGGAACGCACTTCGGTCTCCCTGTATGTAGGTTCGTTGATCAGTCATCGCCTATGCCCCGAGAGAGTCGCAGCGTCCCATACCTGTCGTGCCCGAGCTAAATAATATCCACAGTGGCCAGTCAAACGGGAGCCGTGTCCACGCGATTTCCCCGTCGGGCGTGCGCCCCAGCGCCTTCTCCCGTCCAATCTTCACGAAGTCATCGAAGTTTGCCCAACCAGTTTCCCAGGTGTCCGTGCTCGCCGGCTGCGATGGATGTCGGACGACGACTACCTTCGGACTAATCCCGGCACGCTCTGAAAGGCCGCGTAGGAGCTCTTTGAGCTTCGGCAGGTGTGCGTGCACCTTAGCATTATATCTGCGCGAGCGTCAGTCTTTCGGTGTGCTGACGAGGGCAGATACACGCACACGACTGCGTCGACCGAAAATATGAGTGTCGGCCGCACTTGCTCAAACCTCGAGGCGGGGCGTGTGAGTGCAGTCAGAGAGCGTCGGGCGACCCTAGCTATTTACCTCTCTAACACCCCCTCCGCGCCGAAGTCGGCAGCGGCACTGACCCATATGCACCCTGCAGGAGCATGAGCGCGTGGAGTTTGTCCGACGATAAGGAAGCTTACCTATGGCCGTCGCCGCGAGGCACGCAGCTATGTTTTCCTGATTTAACTGGGTCAGCCACGTTCGAACACAAGTAGATGTTAGTTGAAATGGCAGAGCTGCTTCAGCATCCTCTGCGCCCTTCCTTCCGTATATCTCGATGCATTGCACGTATGCGTCATGAGACTCGGCGGGCGAGAGACGCGGCACAGCTGCGAGCGGTGCCGAGCTTGAATGTCAAAGCGCACGCCGCTTTTAAGACGAGCAGTGTCGCGAGATTCGCTCATTGTTATATGCGACATTGCAATGGTATGAGCACCAAAGCCGGGTGCGAGTAGTTGTCCAACACTTCTGGAATTTGACGCGACCAAGCGACACATCGACGCGTATACAACCACCAAGGACCACAGCACAGGAGACTTCATCGTTCGAGAAGGCTCTCAGGCGTGGTAAATCGTTACGCTGGTCCGGACGTAGTGCGTCCGAATCATCGGGATTTGTTTCAGTTCATCTGGCAGCACTCTGCTAACCTGCGTGGGGCGCTCTCAGGGTACGACCATCCTGAGAGAGTGTGCTGCGCCATGACAGAGACAACAAAGGACGCTTGTGCAGTGCAACATGAAAGCCAGGAGAGGTCACTCACTATACAGTTTGAAGAGTACGAAGCCACACGGTCTCCGGGTCTCAAACCCTGTGCAAGTAGAGCCGAAAGGAGGTCGGATACGAGCACGTACAGTTCGGCATAGCTGATGCGACGGAGTGCAGGCTTCGGGTCAGCTGGATGTGGCTCGGCTATCCCGAGTGTACATGAGCGTTCGGTACCTCAGTTCAAAGAATGGCGACTCACTGGCCTCGATGAGCGCGGTCTTCGCTGGCGAGCGACAGCGCAGCATGTTCTCAGCCCAGTTGAGTCTGGCCTCTGCGAACCAGGCCGGGTTGTCGGGTGGTGTAGCAGCCATATCAACTACGTGTGTGCCCTTGTGTCCCACGACACCCGTAAAGTCCCATGTTTCGCTCCAGAACTTGTCGATTTCGGTAGTCGACCAGCGGTACAGGTCGTAGTACGTCTCGAGGGACAGGTCGTATTTGGCGTTGACACGTTCTATGAAGCGGTGTGTGGGCGCACTTTCGACGTGGCTGGGCGTGAAGAATGGTTCAGGTTGGTCCTCTGAGGGGGTGCCAGCACTGCCAAGGGTCGCCAGAGAAGCAGACATGTCCAGGAAGTTCGAAAACCAAGAGTCAACCAAGAATACGGCTGGCGCTGGACAAGAGTAACGGAAGCGGTCGGGTATACCCGAGGACGTAAGCGATGCCGAAAGTGAAGAGACGGAAGGCGCTGCGGAGAGCTCGTTGCGAGCGCGACGAACAACAAGCCTTGGCGGATATCCGTCTCGTACGGAGTTGTGGGGCGGGGCGCCGGCAAAGGCTAACGAAGCGCTTGGCCGACGCCTGCCGAGGAAGGCCAAGACGCTGCGCCCGGCGGGCGCTCCGGAGGTTATCAGCAATATTACACTCAGACAGCATAGGTCGACTCTGTAGGCTATCGGGTAAATTGCCTATTGTCACGGAAATGGATCCCCGCTCGGATTAGACGTTTTGTTACTATATACAAATAAACTTCGGACTGATCGCGCGACGGGTGCTGACGAGTTGCCGAAGGAGGCATCAGCTCTAATCGAGTCAGGTCTCGCGAAGGAAGTTTTGAGATGGGATGGTGCCATCCGAGATATAAAAGACTGCGAGCCCGCCCCTGGGCACAGTCACCCAGCCAACAGCGTCTCGTTGCAGAGTTTCACCGCCCTCAACGAACGTGCGTCCGCTCAAGTCGAACCGCCGCGTAAAAACTCCTATCAGTTTCTCAGTAAGTGCTGTGGCCGTCGCCGGTTCGCTTACCGCTGCTCACGTTTGTCCCGATCCTGCAGGTACAACCGCCTCTCGGACTGTTCCCAAACCTCTCTTGGCGCGCGTATACGCAATCCACAGTAACATAGAAGCCGCACAGGCCGTTGGGTTTCGCACACCCTTCTTTCCCGTCCTATATAAGCTCGCCGACCCGACGCCACACTATCTCTCCCCAACAGTCTTGCCCCACATTACGTCTCCAACCCCGCCACCCTTATCAGTTCCACAAACACTTTTCGAGCTCACCGACATGGATCGCTTCCTCGCTCCCCACTCGCCCGAGGCCGTCGCCCACAGTCACCTCACGTACGTGTCCACTTCCTATCGTATATTCGCCGAATATTCACCTGGTTGGTAGTGAGAATCTTTTTACATGGGACACCGAGCACCCGTCCTTGAACGAGACCCTCATCGCCGGCTGCGCGTCGTACCAAGCCATTAGCCGCTACCTCAACGGTAGCGACCTCTATCTCCTTCCACGGTCAAGAAACGAGCTTGAGAACGTCCTGTACGTACCTCCATTCTCCCCTATCTCCGCAGCACGGCATACTGATGACCATGCGTTTAGGTGGAGATATGCGTACGATGCAATTCACAATACCATCTCGCAGGCGCGTTCAGAGATTTCAAAGGGCGGCTATAGTCGCGTAAGTGTGGCACCGTTCCCAACTTTCCCGAAAAGCCCTAGACTGATGACGCGCTTAGATGTGTCACCTGGCCGAGTCGTCAGTCAAGAAGGTCCTCGACGAGAACGACAACACGGCATACCTGCTCTCGCTTCACCGCCCACAACCATGCGAAGACGAGCAGGATTTGCCCGACCTCGGAGCGGCGCGGTTCGTCAGAATCAAGTAGGCATGTAACCTCCGTTTGCACCGCCACCCCGCTGTCTTTGTCCTCGCTCCGATCTCGTTCGCACACCTTCTTGTCGTGCACTTCGCGTCCATCGTCCCCAACAATCACCTGCAATCCCTTAATCTATATCAGTAGTCCACACAACGCCCTTACCCCTTCAATGTAATAGTAGCTAGGCTCCACGAGGCATGCGTGGTATACCCCGGGGAATGTGTAATCAGTATGCGAGTTCATAATCGATGATGACATTGTTATTCTCTGTCACCGGAGTGTCGCCGACTGGGACCGCCAGGGTATTTGTGACGACGCACAGTACTGTGGTGGCTTACAATTTTGATGCGTTTGATACATGTTTCCGCTACGATGGCTATTAGAAATCAAGTGATAATGGACATTGCGGTGCTGAAGATGGTTTAGAGTGCGTACTCTGCGACACAGGGATATTTAGAAAGGCCGATCCGCGAGTCTAGCCTCGTTCTCGACAAATCTGCGACGCCGCCGACATTCTCGACATTGCGGTGCGCCATATGGGCACTGAACGACAGACACTTTGGCATCCAAGACGCAGGTCACGAGTACTTCCATCGATCAGAAGATGCCCCAGAGCTTCAGGGCAGCCTAATAAACTTGTCAGCAACGTTGTGGACATGAAGAACAGTCTGTATTGATTCGCGGCGGGCACACTATCGACAGTACCGACGCTGGGAAGCACGCCACAGGCGGTGATTATCACAGCCACTCCAGGATCAGTGAGATGATGACCCGCTTCATTAGCGAAAGATATATGACAGCAAGACAGCCGTAGTGAGAGCAGGTCGTAGTCTCCGCCTCACTGAGCGTCGTGGTGGTCGTGGTGCAAGCTGGATCTCTGCTGAAAATTTGAATGCTCTCGGCTGCAACCGAGGCCAAGCGCTGTATCTGCCTGGTGACTGCGTGTTCCCAGAGCTGGATGGTGCATGTTCCCAGGGTTCACAGCAGCCCGTATCCTGCGCTGCTCTCGACGCTGCTCAGCAAATTTCTCGCCGACAGTGGCCAATAGGACAAGAACCGAGGTGCACAAATGAGAGGAACTGTCGCAGTAATCTTGCGCGCTTGAAACGCGTGGCGCCTTGTGTGTGGTGCAGAACTTTGTGCTCGACGAACGTGCGATCAAGTGTTCCATCCAACACAGCTGGCCTGCCCTTCCAAAGCTACTTCAGACCATCTGCCGTCGCTCCTTATGCTCGTCTGACCAGGCTCGCGCTTACTCCATTTTCTGTCTCCGGAGCCCTTCCTCTGTTTACCCCACACTCGCCTCTACTCTCGATATTCCGCGGTCGACCATGCACCATCTCCGGGACATTTTGCTCTTGCTCTTTGTTTTTGGCGGCCTGCGCGACGTGCTGTGCGCGCCGTCACAGGTCCCGCTCAGCGTCGCTGACGTCGCAGAAGGTGCGTGTGCCCGTCACAAGACCCCCAGAGGACTTATGGATCGTGTGCCGTCTTCAGCTACGAAACCCCGCAAGCTCCATGGCCGGTTCTTGCACCTCACGGACGTTCATCCGGATCCACACTACCGTGAGGGCATGTCCGAGAAATCCGCGTGCCACAGGAAGAAGCCCAAGAAGAAACCGCGCTCTGGGCCGTTTGGGTATACGTACGGGTGCGTCATCCGGGATTGGCAGTGGGTATATGCGGTCTGTATGCAGAAGGCTGAACGTCAGAATAGGGATTGCGACTCCCCGCTGCTGCTCACCAACTATACGCTCGATCACTTGGAGAAGAAGTGGGCGGACGAGGTCGATTTCGTAATTTGTGAGTTTTTGCAAAGACGAAGCTCGTGTTACTTACGCAAGCACGGCTAGGGACTGGGGACAGCGCAAGGTATGCCGTGATAGATTTGGAAGCGTACGCCGGTAACATGTCCTGTAGACACGACAATGACCGCAAGCTTCCTCGAACGTTGAAGGAAATATATGCTCTGAACCGTGCAATGGCGAAGAGAATGGAAGAGATCTTCACAAGTAGAGGGATACCAGTTATCCCTAGCATAGGTACGGTCGTCCGTCACGACTGCCGAGCCGTTCGTGCTCTGACAGACCCACCCTTCGCCCAGGCAATAATGACGTTTGGCGTAAGCCCGGCCTCACTAATCGCAATGTCGCTACTCGCTAATCACTTCTCGCCCTTTCTGTACAGCTCATGTGAGTCTCCCGTTTTACGGCTAGTGTCTCGGGAGGTGACATCTAGACGATCCCTGGTTCCGCTTTCTAGAATATCATGATGCCAGGTGGGTCGGGGCCGTATTCGCACTCAATTTCACTAAATGGATGCACCTTATCTCTGTCGTAGGCCCTAACGATGTTACGTCCGAGTTCTCTAGGTGCGCACGATCCCCGGGGTGGACACACCCGCGTTTTCATTGACCATGTGCTCTACCCAGTATCTGGAAATCATTTGTGCCATTCCATTCGTACCAGGTTTTCCAGCGGGGCGCCTATTATTCAGTCGAGGTCATCCCCGACCAGCTGGCAGTCATCAGTCTCAATACGATGTACCTCTTTGACTCGAATTCAGGTACGTCATGCGGTCCGTCTCCTGACATATCCCCTTGACAACACCCTCAGCCGTGGGAGGCTGCGAAGCTAAGGATCCAGAGGATCCTGGGAACTTGCAGCTCGATTGGATGGAGGTTCAGCTTCAATCGTTCCGAAGTCGTGGTATGCAGGCGAGTCGCAAAACGTGTTTATTGAACGCTTTGGCGGGGGCAATTTAATCAACTAGGCGCCCAGGTGTGGATCAGTGGGCACGTTCCGCCATCCGCCCGTAACTTTCATTCAGAATGCGTATGTGTCGGCTCGCCGTGGAAATGCATTACTGCTATGCTGACCCTCCAACCCTTCGAATAGCACCTTCGATACGTCGAGTTGTCTCTACGGTACCAAGACACGGTTCTGGGGCACCTTTTCGGAGTGAGTAGCACAGTGGGCCCTGGTGACCGTTTACATTGACACCGCCGCTTGTTGCGTTCGGGATGGTCTTCTAGCACATGAATGTGGACCACGTAAGTGTCCTGGGTCGCCGCGGATGGTCTCATGACTGACTTACAAGTAGTTCTTCTTCCTTGACGCTCGGACACTCGAGAGCGACGGCTCGATGGATGGTGGCAGCGCGCATACCTCGGGCAAGCACAAGGATCTGTACGCCACACTGCTGAAGGACTTCGACCACCTGTACAAGACAGAGAAAGACCTGGACTATGACGGTATCGCTGTTGTGAACGTCGCTCCGTCGGTCGTCCCGAGCCCGTACCTGCCTTCCTTTAGAATAATCTCCTACAACATCACGGGTTCGCGATATGTACCTGGCCTTCTCGGCGATAGTGACACCGGTTCCGGAGATAATCACCAGCATTACCTTGGTGATTTCATGGATCGGGAGAGGCTCTGCCAGGGCTCAAGTTCATTCAATGAATCGTGGCGCTGCAGGCTTAACAGCCCGTGGCACTCGAGTCCCCACTCGCCGTCCCGAACGAATAGACTTTTCACACCTCTAGGCTACGCACAGGCGAGTCATGTTAGAGTTCACCGTGAACGTCTACTGACCACGGACGTTCTGATACGCTTTCGCGTTGCGCTATCACTTCCATCTTATCACAACAGTACTACATACCGAATCTGACGGGCACGGAGGAGCATCCACCAAAATGGAAGCTCGAGTACCTGACATTCGCGCCACAGGCCTTACATCCGCCGGCCGCGGCGGATGAGTTCGAGACGCAGAAGGATTCATTCGTCTACCCGATCCCGCTGAAGCGGTTGCCCAAGAAGTTGCGGGATGCGAACATGACCTCGACCAAGTATGCGCCGTATTCGTTGCAGGACCTCACAATTCCGTCGTGGACAGCGCTCGCCCGCTCGCTGGCCAAAGCGGGGAAGAGCTCGAAGCTTCGGCGGCGGTTCCGCAGCTACATGTATATGGGGGCTGACGAAGAGTTGTAGGAGTAGACTGTTATCGCACACGCTGTACCTGGCACTGTCATTAAATTATTTGCACGCTTTTGTCTCCATCTCTTGATTGTGGGAGAAAGAGCGTGAGATGCCGGATGGGCGCTTGGGCTGGTTGCCTTGACCACGGAGGAAGAGCAGCTTGAAGGATCCGTTTACTACGTTCTGCATCCTGACATCGTGCTGGAGATCTGTCCTTGATTCAGGTTGGCCAGGGCCGTGCATTCGACTAGTGCAGGAAGGGTGGCCTGGTTGAGCTTGTTTCGGGTGTTTTAGACTACGTTTGCGTGGACGGGCCCTTGTAGCGGCGAGCATCGACCACGGTTTATCTTCCGGACGACAAGCCGCCTGTCAAACTCTTTTCCCCACCTTTCTGCCCTCTTTGCTCGCCTCTGTCTTGTTTCCGTCCCATCATCACCTTCCTGGTTTGCGGCGGTGCTCAGTGTTCATCAAGCCCTCCATCTTCTTATTTTCGAGCACAAGGCGCAGCCTGACCACGTCTATTGTCTCTGGACCACCCCCTCCGAATCCCTCTTCGTAATCCTTCCACCGGCTGGCCCGCGTGCTCTCGCTGTCTCGCTCGCAAGTAGTGCTTGAACAGCATCCACTTTCATTCGTCACACTATCTATTCTATATCATTATGGCCGCTGTAAATCTTCAAATGATGGCCGCCAACTTGCCCTTCGACTCCTTCATCCCTAACCACCACCCTCACTCTCGCTCAAATTCCATATCCTCTTCCTCCTCGCACTCGACCAGTTCGCGCCCGCAGTCTTCCCAGGGTCTCCCCTTTATGCGGAATCCGGCAGTCATGCCCCCCTCAGCCGATGATTTATACCGTGCGTCCCTTCCCCCGTCTTACGCTTCAGCAACCCATGGTAATCATCACCCATCCCGCCACCTGGCTGATTCACCACACTATCCTGTCTGGCACACCCAACCTTCACCTCTAGGCGACTCTCCCCCGAACCACAACCTGTCGAACCCTGCTCTCAAGAGCCATTTCAGGCAAACCCACATCAGGGCCCGCGTAGCTGCGTCTCCCTACCCGCGCGATACCGAGAGCGTGCATTCATCATCGAGTGAGACCGAGGACATCGCGATGTACCTTGGCCCCACGGCGACCGACTACAATACCATGTACGCTTCGCCTCAGATGCTTGGCGGCAGCCCCGACTCGATGCACGCTGCCGGGGCCTTCGGGCGAATGAACCTTGGCGCCGACCACGCTCTCGAGAAGCTCGCCGCTAATGTTAGGGCCGCGACCACGACGAGTGCATCAGATAGGGCGAAGCAGATATTCGTTCAGGCGTGGTGCGCATAATCTCATTAGTCTAGCGTATATTCTCGCTCACAGGCGCCCGCTTGTGCCTGTAGGCTCACTGCCAACTACGCTCCTTACCCCGACGGAAATGTCCCCCGCCAGGGACTTTACTTTTCCTATCGCCGTGTCTGCGACCAGTACGGCATCCCTCACATCAACACCGCCACCCTGGGCAAGGCCATCAGGCTCTGTTTTCCTACGATCAAAACAAGACGTCTTGGTGTCAGGGGAAACAGCAAGTATCACTGTGAGTGCCCCCATCCCGGATCACCCATGCTATGCTCAGTTTGCTGATCATCTATTTTCATCGTGTCCACCATCGGTTCAGATTGTGGTATCCGGCCTGCCACATCCACAGAGGCCGAGTTCCTGCAAGACTACATTCGCAAATCAAATAACAACGCTGCGCAGCAATCGGTCAATGCGGCGCGTCTCGCAAGCGAACAGGCCGAGGCGGGCAAGGGATCTGATGACGAAGATGATGACGAGGCATCTGATGGTCCAAGCTCGGCGAACGCGTCCAAGCGCAATTCGCTGAACCTCACCAACGGCGCGAAGCAGCAAGCAGTCGTCTTCGCTGACGAGAAGACTCCAACCGCCGCGACCCTCCTCTCCCAAGCGCAAGCATCGCAGCGACCACCGTCCAGCTCGTTCCCCAGTCAGGCACCGATCCGGCGCCACCCAGGCCCAAATGATGGCCCTCTCGGAGTGCCATCACAGTCACCCTCCGAAGGGGCTGTTGCTCTCCCAATGATGTCTGCGACGCATGTCATCAGCGTGCGACATATGCCACATTTCCCGAACATTGAGGAAGCGTTAGGCACTTCGACGTCGCCCCAGGGTATCGCGGCCCGCGAGGTGTGGTCGTGGTTCCAAGACCACTTGGATGCCCTCCTCGAGAGCATCCGCACGTACCGCTTCGACCAGTTCGAGATGCACGTCCGGACGTTCTGGTCGAGCCTCACAGGTGCGCACCGGGAGGTCGTGCACGCTCCTGCTGTCGCGGGACTGATGGCCAAAGCGGACGCCATCGTGTATGACGTGAGTGCGCTTCCCATGGTGTTTCACACTGTCAGCTCACGCCGCTCCATGTTTCGCAGGAAGTTTTGGAGTTTTTGCGCTCGCAGATGCTCTCGCCGATCTCGGCTACCACCCTCGGGGGGTTGCGCCAGCTTGCGGACAAGATGGAAAAGATTTTACTCGTGGCGCTCGAGAGCTACGGAAACACGTTCGTTGAGCCTAAGGTTGAGCTTGGAGCCCGCTTCGGGCATCTTGTTTGTGCGTAGACCGCACGCTATCTTTTCCCTTGTACTTGATTACTCACACCTTTGTTTTTTAGTGCGCTTCCTTGATATGTATCAAGTAACGCAGGCGCTGAGCACCGTTCTCACGAACCCGAAGCAGCTAGTCGAGATGAAGAAGTCATGGCAGAAGATCGACTTCGACTCGGTTCGGAATCAATCAGCGCTGGTCTGCAACTGCAGGCACGAAGAGCTTTCGCATTTGCTCGAGGTAGAGTTTGTGAATTTGCTAGATGGGATGTCGAAGAGCACAGATCCTGTGCGGGACGTGATGGCGTGGGCAGACAAGTGCTGCGACAAATTGATGGGAGGGCGCGGGGAGGAGCGAGTGACGATGAGCTCACGGAGCGTGCTGATTCGCTGGGGCTACGTGACCAGCCAGGTCATGCGCGACTTGGTGAGCATCACACCGACATCAACCCTTTGTCTGTTCGCTAACACCGCCGTCAGACAATTCGCAGTGACCCCGCGTTCGGCGCATTCCAAATTCTGAAGCTGTTCTTGGAGTAAGCGATGATTCGCATCACCGACACCGAGGCTGTACTGAATTTATCTATTACAGTGACTGGATCGCACTAAACGTTCTGCGTAACGTCGCACTGTCGACAAACTCTGTCGCAGCATCCGTGGAGCCCATGATGCAGCAACAGTTTTTCACTCTGTCGCCGATGGCCGGCCAGGAAAGTTTCGGCAACCCGCTAGACGTCCGGCCGGGCATGATGGCGCATACCCCCACAACATCGAGTATGCTCGCCGCACTGCAGGCGGACACGTTCGGCTCGCTGGACCCGAACTCGGGCTCATTTGGCGGCGACGCGTTTTCCTCCATGACCTTTGTCGACCCGACGGGGACCCCGGACGACTCCTCAGCATTCGGCTCGAGCCTCGCGTTCTCGGACTACGTGTCTGGGGCATCTGGATTTGACGTTTCAGGATTCGCGCATCCAGAGTTGGGTATAGGCGCGTCTGGTACGCCGCCTTCGTCTAGCGAGCCGGACAGTGAACCGGAGACAAAATCGGAACCGGGACACTAGTCGCGATCATTCTGCTCGCCGAACGCTCTTTTGTGGTCATGGTTTACAGGGATATTCACTCTTTATCTATCACGTACACTTAGTGTTTCATCTAATCTTGACTTTTCTTTTATTTCTTCACTGCTTGCATAATTATACAGACTCCATCGGCTTGCGCAATGTATCGCTTCCTCTCCCTTGCTTCAACTCAGCACTCGTAGTCTCGAATGAATACTATTCAACCCCGGATACTATAGGCATTGGCCTCAGACGCTAAGATAGAGTAGCAGAGATGAGTAGGGATGCTTTTGAGAAGTAGTCGAAGGCTCGTCGTTTTTGTTATGACTCTGCCGCCTCTGCCTCTGCTTCTGCCCCTGCCTCTGCCCCTGCCTCTGCATCTGCATCTACTTCAGCCTCAGCCTCTACTTCAGCCTCAGCCTCCGCCTCTACTTCAGCATCAGCCTCAGCCTCTACTTCAGCATCAGCCTCAGCCTCAGCCTCAGCGACCTCGCTCTCCTCAACAGTTTCTAGTTTCTCCACAACCTCCGCCCCCGGGACTGGCACCGACGGCGCGTCCGTGACAGCTGGCGTTGATGCCGGCTCAGCAGGCTGCTCGGCGCCGCCATTCGGCGGTGTGAGGTCGTCGGTGACAGGGACGTCGACCCGGTTGGGCTTGCCAGTGAGGCGCTCGATCTCCTTCTCAGCCTTCGCCTTGTTCTCGGCAGTGACACGGGCCTGGTTCGCCTCGAACCAAGCCTTCTTGGTCTTCAGGTCCTCGACGACGCGCGGGAGGTCCGCGGTCGACGTCGGTGGCGGGATGGAAAGCGAGAGCAGCGCTGAGAGGGTGGGGAGCGGCACATGGAGCTTGTCGCCCGAGGGTTCGGCAGCGTCGGGGGCGGGCGCGGGCTTGGCGCCCTTCCTGCCCTTCTTGCTTTTGCCGCCGACAAAGTACGCCTCGTCGTCATCGCCCTTCTTCTTGCGGACGACGACGCCTTCTGGCGGCGCGTCGACCTTGCGGATGTCGAGCTCGGGCACGCCTGCGACGTTGCCCCGCTGTTGCTGCTGTTGCTGTTGCTCGCTCGAGAGCGGCGCCGGTGCGGACGACCTGCCCGAGAACTGGTCGATGAGGGTCTGGCAGTCCTCGATCTGCGCCTGGAACGCGGGCGCCTCGGCCTCCTCGCGCAGGCGATCCACGGTATCCTGCCTCTTGGCTTGCTCCGCCGCCTCGCGCTCTGCGCGCTGCCGCTCCGCCCGGCGCGCGCGGTCCTCCTGCATCTTCTGGTAGAAGCGGTCGTTCGCCTCGCGGAAGCGCGCCGCGGACTCGCGCTTCTGGCCGTACAGCGCGTCGAGCTGCGCCTGCACCTGCGTGCGCTCGTCGAGGAGCTTGTTGCGCGCCTCTTGCGACTGCTCGGCCACCTTCTTGAGCTCGTCGAGCTCTGTCTGCAGCGTGTCGTACTTCTCCGAGACCGCCTTGTTCTCGGGGTCGTCCAGCTGGCCCCGGAGCGCGTCCGCCTGCGCGCGGTCGGCCTCGATGGCGTCCTGCTCGCCCTGGAAGCCCTCGACGACGCGCCGGCTGCGCCTCAGCTGGCTGATCTCGGCCAGCGCACGCTTCTCGTCCGCGAGCTTCATGTCGCCCGACTCGACCTGCTTGTCGAGCTGCCTGCGAACCGATCAGGCGGCCATGGCAACGTCGGCGTAAAAAGGGCCGTACCTGACACGCTCATCGACTTCTGCGACGGACTTGTACGGGAACTTGGCCTTGGAAGCGTTGAGGTCTTTTATCTGAGATGAAATAGAGAAGAGAAGGCTTGAACATGAGGCGTTAACGCGTACGACGTGTATGACGCACCTTCTTCTGGACGCCATCCTGCAGAGCCTTCAGTTGATCACGGACCTTTTCGCGCTCCTGCTTGATGTTTCCCTGAGCGTTGCGGATCTCCGCGAGCTCATCTAGGATTTCCTTTCTCCGTTCCTGGGCTGGCCCACCTTTGCCACCAGCGAGCTTGTCCTTGACGGTGTTCTAATCTCATCATCAGAAACGGGAGTTGGTTTGGTGGGCGAACCCGGATGCGCAAAGCGTGCTCACCAGCCGGGTTTGTTGAGTGTCGATCTCTCCCTTGATTTTGTTCTGCTCCGCGTCGTACAAGGCCTTGTCGGGTCTGCCGGTGCCGTAGGCAGCGAGCTCAATCTGGGCTGCCGTCACGGTGGTGCTCGGAGCGATAGCTGTGGGCGTCGAGGTGCCAGACGAGGGCGAGGATGCCTTGGGCTTGGGCTTGCCCGCACCGTTGGACTGCTTGGCTTTGGCACTGGCGGGAGGCATGGTGGTCGTGAGACGTTCTCTGGCTGGAATCTAGGAGGACGGTAGCGTCCTTTTGGGCTGGGCTTATGCTCGACGATGGTGGTGGTGCAGGAGCAGGAGGGCCGTGAGAAGGCCTTGCAGATACACGGGGAACAGGCCCGGCTAATGAGGCGGAGGGGACAAGTCTGATTTTTGTGACGTGGCTGGGCTGCCCGATCCTCATCAGCCGTTGCCACCAAGTCTCCGTCCGTGCCTAGCTCCCACATGGCAAAATCGGAAACACCGCACAAGGTTCGCGCCAGGATGCCGCGCGAGAGATGACCGGTGCATTACAGAACAAGGTGTACATTGAAGAAATATGCAACAGAGCAAGCGAAACAGATACATGCAGAACATGAACGCCTCAGAAGAGGATCTTCTCGTCCAGCTTTTTGACCTCCTCCACACACTCTTGGAACAGCTCCCGGTAGTCGTCGTCCTTGTCGTCCTCGCCTTCCTTCTTCTTGGGCTTCTTTTTCTGGTCCGGACACACCATCACACAACTTGTTGGCCGCTTGGTCGAGCTCGCGTGACCGAGCTCTTCTTTTGAGGTTACGAAGACGTACGGGATGCCGGCGTCTTCGCTCATGACGGGAAGGTGCGAGATGATGTCTATTGGTGTGATATCTGCGGCAAGAACAAGTAGACTACGGGCATGGGTGAGCGCAGAGCAACGGCACGGAGCGACGGGTACCTACCCCTTCTCTCCCTTGCGGATGCCCTTTACAACTTCCTTCACGCCGCGCTTTACTTGCCGCTGCTTCGAAGCTAATCAAGTATGCACATTGAGACCACGCACACAATAACATATCTGCCATGCACGCACCTTTCTTAATGGTTTTGTGAAGCTTCTTTAGCAGCTTCTTCTGCGCGAGCGGGTGCGCAATAGGTGACAGGTCCTCCAAAGGAATGACAATCTCCACCTTCTCCTTTCTCACCTTCTTCTCCACCTAGAGCTATGTTGGCTCACTCGTCAAATTCCCTTCAGACATATGTACACACCTTCGCGACCTCAACGTTCGTCGTTTCAACATCCTCGCCGGCCACTATTGTCTGCTCGACAGTCTCAGTAACTTCCTTCGTCTTCTTCGACTTCTTCTCGGACCTGTCCTTCGGCATAGCGTCCAAGCGCCGTTTGGGGAGAGGATGAAAGGGCCGAGTCGAAGGATACAGTTGAGGTTAGGCTAGATCTCCTTCCACCAAAATTCGCTGCAGGCTGTACAATGGGCGTCTATATTACGGACGGAGATTGCCGAATCACGTGATTGATCTCCGGCCGCGGCCGCTGAGCAGCACGTCTCCGTCAACGTCGGACGACATAACATACTGTTGACTTGATTCCCGACCAAACAAACGATATGAGTCGGCAGCAGTCCCAAGGTCGACTTGGCCACGACTGCAGCCCAGACGAGTTTCGGGGGGCAAAGGTTGCTAAGTTGCTCGAGCTATCCATGGATCCTTTCTTGCAGACTCGAGACCGTAAGCCTTGAGCTTGAGCTTGAGCTTGACAAGGACGGGCCCAGGCATATCACGTTTACGCTACGGGCCCCGAGCTTTCCAGCGAGATGTCCCCATGCAAGGCTCCACTGATGCCACTAGCGTCCGTTCGGGTAAGTCATTGATCACCGGCGCCTTCACACAAAGTTCGAGCATTCTGACCAAGCCGCTAGTTGCGTCGAGTGACCCCTCGTGTTTTCTACGGTGGTTTGCTCTCTGCTTGGGGTCAGGGACACCAGCACTGAACGGTTCCCGTCTTTGTGAAATGTGTACGTACAAGATGCGAAAGCACAACACTAGGTGCACTTGATCGTGCAGGACGACGTCACTTTGGCTAGTGCTTCCCAGCATAAAGTCAAATTTATCAACCGTCGAATCCTTGGGGTTGCTGTTCTTTTCGCGAACATGTCAACAGTCGGCGGACAGGCGCACTTATAAACACCATCCACCCTTAGGCCTCAGGCCCTAGTCTCTGTCCCTCCATCTCAACACGAGACTGCCAACACGATGCCCTCCCAGCTCCGCCAGCTCCTCGAGCTCATGACCCAGTCGGTCGAGGCCCTCGAGCGGGTCTGCGAGCAGACAGGAACCTCAATCCCCGACCTCAACGCGCCGCTCACGCCTGCGTCCGAAGCATTCCGCCGCGGCCCCGAGGCTATGGAGGCTGTGAAAGTCATTGTCGCCGCTGCGGAACATATGTCAGCCATCGTGTCCCCTCCACACAGACAACTCTACAAGTTTGTCGCCGGGGTGAGTAGAGGTTGTGTCGATTCATATCGATTTCACATTGATCTCCCGTAGCCGACCAGAGCGGTCGCCGTCAGGGCTTGCCTCGAGGGTAAGTGAGCGAGTGCGTTTCCACCATAGCTTGAGGCTTAACAGTAGCCTACAGCGAACGTATCGGAAATTCTTCGCGAAGCGGGACCTTCGGTACGTCACTCTTTGTGTTTCTGTCATCGTCATGCCTTACACACCGTTCGCACAGGGTATGCACGTCAACGACATGGCGAACAAGAACGGGCACGACCCTGAGAAGCTCGGTAAGCTAGTCACTATTGGACACTCACACGATGCCTGACATGCCTGCACATCGAAGCACGTTTCTTGCGATTCCTCGCATCTCATCACATCTATCGCGAAGTTTCGCCAGACGTCTTTGCTCACACTCGCATCTCATGCTTGCTGGACACCCGCAAGCCGAGCGCAGAAGTTATTGCCAAGTAAGGAATCGGTGGTCTTCCTGCGGCTGTCCTACTAAAGCCATGTCGCAGCCCTGAACAAAAGTACGACAATACTCGCGGCTTCGCTGCCGTGGCAAGTCACCAGTACGTGTAGCTCACCTCAGTTGGCATGCGCCTGTAACATGATACTCGCAGCCTCGACATTACGTTCAAAACCGCGTCGCTGGCCTGGGAAGCGCTGGCCGATCCAAAGACGCGGTTTTCCAACGAGCCTGCGGACGCACCCTTCTCGCGTGCCTTCCCCCAGGACAAGACGCTCTGGAACCTCCTGGAGCGCGACAGCTTCGCTCGGAACCGCTTCGACATCACAATGCAGGTCAATGCGGACAGCCAGCCGCCCGACTCGATCTTCCGAGGTCCGTTTCTTCTTGCGCTGCACAGTCCCCTCCACGAGCTTGCTGACGGTTCCTCTGTCGTTGCACGCAGCGTTCGACTGGCAGCGCCTCCCGGCGGGCGCCAAGGTCGTCGAGGTCGGCGGCGGGATGGGCACGTCTGCCCTCCCGCTTGCCGCCAGATTCCCCGAGCTGAAGCTTGTCGTGCAGGACCTGCCCGACGTCACTGCAAAGGCCGAGAAGGTGCAGTTGCTGGCCAGTCTGTGCGCGTGCTTGGCTCACCGCTTGTAGCTCTGGGAGAAGGAGATGCCGGAAGCGATAGCCTCGGGACGCGTCGTCCTCCAAGGTAACCCTCCTCTCCTTCTCTCCCTCTCAGAAAGACACGCTGACCATTGGCACGCACCAGGCCACGACTGCTTCGCGCCGCAGCCGCAGACCGGCGCAGACGTCTTCCTGCTCAAGCTGATCCTCCACGACTGGGCGGACGACTACTGCCTCAAGATCCTCCGCCACCTCCGTGCGGCCGCGCGCCCGGACACGGCGCTCGTCGTCATTGACGCGCTCGTCCCGTACGCCTGCCGCGGCGCCGAGAAGGAGGTGGCCGCGATCCCCGGCGCGGAGGGCGACCAGGCGCCCGAGCCGCTCCTCGCGAACTACGGCACCGCGAACGAGCTCGTGTACTTCATGGACGTCAACGTGCGTCTCATTTTCTTTTCTTTTTTTCTCTCTTCCCGTCCTTTTCTTTTTCCTCCTCTTTTTCATGTTCCCCGCTTCGTGTGAGGCTGGGCGGCGGTCGCTGACGGTTTCGCGCACGGTTGCACATCATCATCATCATCATCCTGCAGATGCACCTCCTGTTCAACGCCCAGGAGCGCACCGTCGCGCAGTTCGAGCGGCTCCTCCGCCGCGCGGGCTGGGCCATCAAGGCGGTCCACCGCTCGCACGAGAACAACGGCGTCTTCATGCAGTCTGTCGAGGCGGTCGCTGTTTGAGTTGTGGGGCAGGGGCTTGAGGATCGGTCGGGGGGCTGGCTGGAGGGTTGGACGTTGGTTTTCTTGTGTTATAGTCTTGCGACGTGTATGCGCTGGTGTGGACCTTGTGTTTGTTTGGAAAATATGCCATGTGTAGTATATGCTGCTGTCTGTGAAAAGTATTCATGTACACGTTGGATGTGCGGTACCACGCGAGATGAGGTCCACCGTTCTACCGCCATCACGGTACGTGGCGTGCGCGCCTTACTCGAAGCATGAGCGGTACCGGTGTAGACATTAGGAACTTGCGAAGGCGGCAGACAGCGAGACAGCGAGTCGAGCGACAGGCGCCGAGAGAACCTTTGCAGACCGCGCAAGCTGCCTGTATTACACACACTTCACTACTACACTACACCGCCCGACTCAGACCAACATGCGCGCATACGCGCACTACACAAAGAAGCCCAAAGGTCCCACACGAATGCCACAGCTAGAATGACCAACAGGGAGCGATTAAACACCAGTGCGCGTGTCAAGGATATTTTACTGCGTGGTGAGGGTAAGAAAGTGACCACGAAAAGGGAAATAGCAATGAACGGATATCATCATGATCACCTCAAAGACAAACGATTGTCGGCCGTAAAGGAAAGAAGGCCACGAAAAAATCACGCGACAGCAACAAAAGAGTGGAAGAGTATAAAGGAGTGAGGTCCGCAAAAAAAAAAAGTGTCCAAGGCGCGTAAATAGTCCAATAAAAACGCAACGCGAGCCCATAATAGTGCAACCCAGAGGAAGTCTACGAAGGTGAAGGACACCGCAGGGAGAGAAGCGATCAAGCGAAGACGACGGCAGAGACGAGCACGGTGAACATCGCCGCGAGCATGCCCGGCACGTCGCCGAGCACGTGTTGCCAGTGTACGGACGTCGCGCCGCTCGCGAGGTTCGTGCCCGTTGGCGCGGCAGCGGCGTGAATGCTGCTGCTCGACGAGCCCGCAGAGCCGACCGCCTGTTTCGCCCCGCCTGCGCCCGCTGCACCGCCCGAGGAGCCAGCGCTCTGAGAGGGCGAGGCGGAGGAGCTCGTAGCGGCCGAGGACGAGCCAAAGTTTACGCCGGACGCAGAAGCGGAAGCGTTGCTGGCGGCAGCGGCGGGAGCGTTGAGGAAGATACCCGAGACGGGCGTGACCTCGCCGTCGTCGCCGTCCGCGTTCGCGTACGCACTCTCGCCATCGAGCTCGGTGACGCTGACAATGTCCCAGCCGCTGCTCTTGATGAGCGGGAAGGCGTCGATGAACGCCTGGACGGTGAACTCGGTCAGCTCGTGCTCGAGCACGATCAGCCCGGGGCTCTTCGGGCCCGTGATCCACTGCGTGAGCGAGGCGTTCACGCTCTCCGGCGTCGTGCTGTAGCCCGGCTGGTCGATGCTCCAGTCTTCGGTGCTGCACCGCGGTCAGCGCTGGTTCACATGGTGCACGGGGGAGACTCACTCGTGGTTCCAAATGATCGTCTGTAGGCCAAAGACTTCCTTCGCGATGGCGCTCACACGGTTGTCCGAGTCACCATATGGCGGACGCCAGTACTTGGGCAGGTGGCCGCCCGTCGAGTTGTGGATGATCTCCATCGTCCAGCCGAACTCGCCGACGAGCTGCTCGTTCGAGAGCGTGGTCATGTACGGATGCGTCCAGGTGTGCACGGCAATGTCGTCTCCGAGGGTCTCGAACGCGAAGCTGAACTCGTTTGGGTTGCCGAGGATGTTGACGCCGATCATGAAGTGCGTGGAACGGACATTGTTCTGCTGTAAGAACTGATACAGTTTGTCCGATGTCTGCACATGTCACCAAGGTTAGCCGCGCGTTGAACCTTTGCTGTGTCCGAACTCACCGGAAGGGGACCGTCGTCAAAGCCAGCAGCCCAGACGCCGTCGGGAGCGTCCCAGATGTCATCGTTGTTGCGACACCCGTACGTGGTCGAGCAGACCTCGTTGCCCGTGGGGTCGAGCGAGCCGTAGGTCGGGTTCCCGCCGTTGACTTGTGTAGAAACGGGCACATTTGGGATGTTTCCCGCAGCGACGGCAGCGTTCAAAGCGTTTAGCCATTCCTGAGGGTATTCTGTTGGGTCGGGTTTTCCCTGTGGGTACCCAGCACTCCACTCTGAGCGTCGGTCAGCATGTGCTGCCCGGACAGAACTGAGTACTACGCACGGGATGAGCCGACCGGGGGATAGTCGACGCCGTCATTGGATGTATCGCGCTTGCCGCGCCTGAACAGCGCGTGGGCAGGATGGTCTCCGGGCTGGTACCACGTCCCTGGGAGACGCTTCCTGAGCGGGGCGTGGTCGTGAGCTTGTCCTGCGGGGAGGGAGGCGGAGAGGACCAGATTAGAGAGGGCGAGAAGGGCGAGAAGACTTGGAAGGGATCGTGGGGTAGAACGTAACATGGTGGTGGTTGTGGGCTACCCGCGCCTGGGGGAGAGCAGGGCTCGGGCGAGGCTGAAGAGACTCGAGGCTGACCGTGAGGGGGAGGATGACGGAGACGAGGACGACCAGGGAGGACGGCGGCAGAAGCATGTTCGCAGCTTATAAGACAATCCCCAGACATGGCGAGGCTTGACATGTCAGACAGAGAGTCCGTCCAGAAACCCAACGGCCTTCACTCCCCGGATTCGAGGACACTTGCCGCTTTGGGCCACGAAACCTCTGCTTTCGGTGCAGCGGCCCCTCGATGCCGGTCTTCGGCTGGCCGCCCAGCCAATCCGGGACCGTCGCCCGCTCGCGTTCGGACGCGCTTCGGAACAACCCAGATCGTTTGACCACATGCGCCGTCGGCTCAGCAGACTCATCCCAGATTGCACCAGGGCCTCTCGTGTCGGACCTCGGCGTTCAGTGTCTCGGTAGTAGAATTTGAGCAAGCCAATCTCCTACGCTACGACAAAATGCCGAGTCCTCTGAAATGAAAGCATCAGCGGTCTGCAGAAGATCATTCACTCGTTTATACATATGTTTTCCTAGGCTCTGCATGCAAAAAGTCTGTCAATAACCTTCAATAGTTCAAGAGTAGATGTAGGCACCCCTGGCTTCAATGTACGTCTCCTTGGATCTGTAGGCGAGCCTCAAGCTGCTCACCGAAGTGGTGAGAGGCATGGGGAGTCGCGCCTCCTCCGAATCCGGCAATCAAACCTCTCGGCAGGCGCCGAGTGCGAACGAGTGAAGTTGTCGCGTAGATACCCAAAGCTTCTCAACGTCCAACGTTTCGACAGTCGCGTGGAGTGGCATTCGTGGGTGTTACGAATATTAATCGTATGAAGGTGTGTGTGCGCGATATAGCCAAGGCCCTGTCTCTTTCACCTTCCATAATTTATTAACCGTGACGCCCTCAGCTTGTTACCAGTACGAAGCAGTCGCGATACAGATAGGCCAGAGCATATAATGGAGGAGAGATGGGCATTTCTCGCACGAATGTTGCACCTCCATCGTTCGATGCGCCCTCCGAACCAGCGTCGTGGGTGAGTACGATCACCTTCCCCTTCGACGCAAGCCTGAGCGACAGTCGGTAAAGAACATCTGCATGTCTTCAAACAGGGGATGGAGGCGGCCAGTAGCAATTGTCAGGACGGTAGCTGCAAGACAATAATTGAGCCGAGGGCAGCCGGATCAGCAACGCTGCCATGAGTCATGTGTTTAGCGGTCGCGAAGTGCGACCCATTAGCTCGTCTCCAGAACGTTCACTAACAGAAAACATCTGTCAGATAAATTGATTAGCGTAGGCAGAGAACGGTGGCCATTGGTAGCAAATATTCTGCCGACGCCGTGGCCTCGACCGTCGGCCGGCCAGCTTCTAAAAGAAATTACCTCATCGTGCTGCTGCTGTCTGGGGGTACGATGCCGGAGCTGACAGCTTATGGCCGACATGTAGAGCACGAACTGCTTGTCGACTTACAGTCCGGGCGTCCGACTTTCCCGTGCGAAACCATCAGGCTCGTGGCGCCGGAATTCTCCCCGCCATCGATCTCCCAGAGTGCGCATACCAGCTCGCTCTGCTCGGTCGTAGCCGCTCTCAAGCTGACCCACACCGCTTCCCTTGTCCCTCATGTTCCTCTTCTATCGTCCACCGTCCGCTCCGGACGAGATCTATTCGTCTAGCCTTGCGACGCTTCACGAGGGACACGCCCTCTGGTACCCAGAGCCACACGAGTCGGGGGAGCTGCAGATCGGGGATGTCGGTTTCATGAGCAGAGGCGCATTCATCAGATTATTCAACCTCGACACCTCTGCGCCCGAGAAGAAAGTCACGTTCTGGCCGACGCCATTCGAGGACATAGAGCCTCTCCCCCCGCATGTACTCCAGATCGATCGCAGGCGTCGCCCGCTTCTCCCCACACACTATCGTAGCCATGGAGTTGAGAGCAGGCAGATACATGCTTCGGCAGACGTGTAAGTGTGCTCGCTCGCCCGATCGATGCATCCCACCGACGGTCTGCAGGTCGGCGGGTACTAACGTATCGGTGGGTCTGAGCACCGAATACACGTGCAAAGCAGCGCAAGGCGCAGTGCTCGCGCTGAAGAGCCAGGCGTACGCCGAATCGATATTCGAGAACTTGGTCCTAAAGAAGTATATCATGAGGAATCACGACAAATGGTATGCGTACGTCAAGGGCGTCCTTGGACAGGACATCAAGCCGGAGGACATTGTCGTGGTCCGCGGTTGGGTCAAGACCGAGGCCGACTGGGCGGCGGCTGCCTTCAGTAACACGAGCACGAGTTCCAGTGTCTCGCTCGAAGGCCAGGTCGGTGGTGTCGCGGGGCTGGACATGGGCACATCATACACAAGCTCCATGACTGGCCCAATGGTACAACGGCAGGGCGAGTACTTGGAGGACACGTCCGTTCCCCATCCGCCAGAGGCGAAGAGGGACCAGAGCGTCTTCGTGAGGCGGTTCAAGATGCGGAGGCGGTTTGGATTCCTGAAGAAGATCGTCGCGGGTGCAGGCTACCATCGGCTTCCGGATCCAGGAGATGCGAGAGGTGGTTCTGGAGGAGGAGGGATCATGGCACAGGGGGTTGGAGGTGTCGATGAAGCGAGCGAGCCGGAGTTCGAAGGCGAGGTACGTGTTGTGCTATAGTGCATCAAGAAGGATATAGGCTAATGAGATACCAGAGCACGGTCTATGATCCACTGGACATCCTTATTGACTACATCTTCGAGGTACGCCCAACTAGCTGCTTGGTTCATCATGTCTCAATGCTTAGATACTCGTGGTGACAGACTACCGACGCAGAGACTGCCATTGCTAGTGATGACGACGTTGCCAAGATCATCGTACGTATCCTGACGAGTATTCTATAAGAGCGCGGGCTCATTTTTTACTCAGGGTGGGAAAGCGGTGGTTGACTTTGCGAGCTACCTTCGTCAAATGCAGCCTCCAGTGGAGTTCGACGGCACGCGTGAGTCTGTCATCTTCTTGTAATATTTGTATCTAAACCCGGTGACATCTTGTGCAGTTGGATCACTCTGCATGGAAGGCGTAATCTCCCATGAGTACAATCGCACTTTCGCTCGTCGAATCATCATCGCCCCCGACCTAGCGAAATGGCCGGGAATAACCTTAGACGGCGCCGGTCGCTCGGAGGATGGACAGGTCTTGATCGGTCCCACGAAGGCGGAGGCTCAGTCGTTTAAAATGAAGCGGCTGGCCTTCATCGACTCTCGAGATTCGTCTCGTCTTTGCAAATGCTTCGCTTCGTCCGCCGATGGCAAGCTTCTGGCAGCATCGTTCGAGGGCAACGACATCCTTGTCTGGCGACTATCCGACGGTCTACTGGTCCAACGTCTACACCATCAGGGTCATACAGACGAAGTTTCTTCCCTCTCATTCTCTCCCATCGATTACACTCTTGTCTCAGGGTCGAATGACAAGACCGCTATTGTCTGGAATATTCAAGATGGTCGAGTACTTCTACGTCTGGAAGGGCACAACGGTCCGATGAAGATGGTCGCATATGCTCCTCATGGCGCGCTCATTTCCACTCATTCCGTCGAAGGCAAATACGTGGAGGTTTGGAATGCAACGACTGGAGAGTGCCTGCATACTTTCAGCTTTGACGAAGAAATATCCAAGTTCGCCATCTCCGCGGATAGCTCACGTCTTTGCGCTCAGAAAGGCGAGTCTTGCCTCATCTACGACCTACACACCTACAAACACATTGCTACGTTACGGCATCACGTGGACGAGAAGCTTCACTGGTCAATTTCACCCCAAGGAGATCGTATAGTCACCATCACTCGGGGGGAGCCAGGTGAAATAAAGATTTGGAGCATGGTGACGGGCGAAGACCTTCTCACAATCAATCCCCCAAATGACCTCTCGTTCAATGTGGCATTTTTCCCGGACGGCGCCGAGATATTGACGACTCGTAAGGACAGCGCCGCTACTACATATGACTCACGGACGGGTCAGCCGCGCCACGTCTACAGCTTACCAGCCGAGGCAAATTGTGTAGCGTATTCTCCAAACGGGAACTACCTTGCTTTCCGTCCCATGTTCAGACCTCTTCAAGTTTACGATACGAAATCTGCAGCCCTTCTCGCGGAGCTTGAGGTTGGTAGAGAACAAGATGCTGTCATGGAGATTCAGTTTCTTTCCGACAGCCAGACTCTCGTCACACGATCAGACCATGGACCTTTGCTTCTGTATAACATTCGGGATGTATTACGATTGCGGTAGTGTAGTATTTGCGAAGCAATGCTTGGCTCGTTCAGAAGTAAGACGTTTAGGAAGCCTATAACAAATATGATGTAAAAAGCGCCGGCATACGATGCAAGTACTGATTGCATGAGACAAGAACGGGACACTCGATTACTAGTAAAAAGACGACGCGATGTGATCAAGGCCCCGGAATAGTCTGCGCCTGTTGGGCTTCCCGGCCGTGCGTAACGATATGTCACATGAGAACGAAACTTGCGAGAATCTCTGTAAAATCGACGAGGTCAGTCGACGGACTACAGCAAAAATGCCTGGCTCACCGACAGCGGTCCCACCTCGAGCCTCGCCCAAAGGGCCTCGCCGATCAGCGAGACGTACCTTGTTCCTTGTCGCGTCGCATGCGGTCTACGAAGGCGGCTTGAGCGTGAGCGACATGATGATGACACCACTTCGCACACTTATATAGAGGATGCCGAAGACGGTAAAGACAAGCGGCAGCGATGAGAGCGATGTGAAGGAGAGCAGTTATGTTGGGATGAGGTGAAGATAACAGGGAATCTGACGATGTACTGAGCGAACTCGGCGCTGGAACGAACTGCTATTCAGCAGACCATCGCCGCGCACCCACGAGACTGGAGATGACATACTATTCCCCCGGTCATTCCAGCTACGGGGTGTGTCCTTGAGTATTTTTGCCCGTCGGCAGCGGTGAATGCCCTCAAACGCAACCTACACTGGCAAGTGCAGTGATCTTTTCGACAACGATCGCAATGCAAAGCACCTCGAGACTGCGCTGATATCTCTCATACACCCGCCCATTCGGGTTCCCTCTTGATACAGCAGAACGCGACGAGCCCGCATGTACTGTAACGGTCAAGCTCGGGCGCGGCAGGCGGAGGGGAGCAGGGGTATTCATGTGAGTCGAACTACCGTCCGGTGTTGTAGACCGTGACCGTATCAGAGTCTAAGGGTGTGGCAGAGTCCTAAGAAATACCCTGCAACGCGACCGCAGCCACGTGTGTTGGGTGCAAGGCCAGTAGAGAAGATGCAGATAAATTTCCATCACGACATTCGCTGGTCGCCTTCGTGCCCGCTTCGAGATGTGTTAGTTCTGTAGATGTAACCCATGAGTGTGAAGAGAAATTGGAAATATCTGAAATCCACCAGAGACCCAGTTGAGATATTGCTCAGGCTAAGTGATCGGCTGGTGGTATACGGACTGAATAAGTCTTGGAGACGAGCGCGTTAGCCGTCGTCTCAGTCGCATTTCTCGGATAGGACTCGCTAGGCGGCGTAGTAGACATATCCCTAACTTAAACAGGCCGACGATACCTAGCATCGATTAATGAAGCAGAAAACCTCTGGTATATGCACCGCTCACCTGGCGGATCTGACTTCCTGCAGCAGGCCCAGGTCGGAACATTAATGTCAGTGCCACATAACTTGCCGAGCCATCTTCGGATCCAGTGTACAAATAGCGTGCCGCAGAAAGAGGATGCCATACGACAGTTCGCTAAGTATACAACAACGGAATACAAGTACACGTACGGAAGCACACAGGCATCCCGCATCTGTTCCCGCACAGACGCTTCACGCGGTGTCGTTGGGGGCAGGGGACGTCGGAGTGGGCAAGAATGGCACATGAGTTCGGAGCATTCGAGTCGCGGTATGTGGAGCGGAGAACGGGTACACTGCCCTTTCTCGGGCGGTCGTAGAGTTACATTAGGACGAAAATGACCGATGAACACCAAAGACATGGAGGCAAACACCAGAAAAACCGGATGTACGGCTTTATGTGGGGTTTCCTGGGTCTTGTATAAGCAAAAAGATTACCAGCTCTCTATTTCAAGGGCAGGGCGTAGGCATCCCTGCAGGGCTTCTCTCTTTGGATTTGTAGGTAAATGAAGACCATAAATGAGCAGGCTGCATAGCCAGGCGAATAGGAATGGCGCCACCAGCAGAAAAGGGAAATCCAGACTCAAGCTGCTCATCGAAATGATGTTGAGAGCACGCGGGAAAGTCGCGTCGGAGATAAACGTGCCGACCATGCTTACATAAGCCTGGGCTGATCAAACCGTCCGGCAAGCCCCGAAGCGCGTCGAAGCGCGCATGTATCTAATGCGAAACGATACGCTAGAGTGCGCACACTTGTCGTGCAAACATCAGGTCTGTTTAGGCCCGAAAGCTTCAGATTCTGGGCTTGAACGGTTTACGGGCAGCGTTCGTGAGTATCACGGACATTGAGTACGTGAAGGTGTCTGTAGGCAATATAGCCAGATTCTAATTCGTACGTCTCTGGGATAATCACTGCCAGGACGTCTTTTTCAGATAATTTTGTTAGCAGAGTAGGTGGAAAACGGCGCCATTCAGCAGCAAATAGTTCACCGACGCTGTTGCCCTGGTTGTTGGTCAATCAGCTTCTGATAGCAGTTACTCTATCGTGCTGCTGCTGCCGGGGGGCACAATACTGAAGCTGGCAGCTTACGCTCGGCATATAGAGCACGGACTATTTACGGTTTGGGCGTTCGACACTCTCGTGCGAACTCATCAGATTCGTGGCGCTGGAATGCTCGCCGCCATCGATCCCACAGTGCGCATACCAGCTCGCTCTACCCCATCATAGCTGCTCTCGGACTGATTTACGCCGTTTCTATCACTCCTTATGTTCCTCTTCTATCGTTCACCGTCCGCTCCGGATGAGATCTATTCGTCTAGCCTTGCGACGCTTCACGAGGGACACGCCCTCTGGTACCCAGAGCCACACGAGTCGGGGGAGCTGCAGATCGGGGATGTCGGTTTCATGAGCAGAGGCGCATTCATCAGACTATTCAACCTCGACACCTCTGCGCCCGAGAAGAAGGTCACGTTCTGGCCGACGCCGTTCGAGGACATAGAGCCTCTCCCCCCGCATGTACTCCAGATCGATCGCAGGCGTCGCCCGCTTCTCCCCACCCATTATCGCAGCCATGGAGTTGAGAGCAGGCAGATACACGCCTCTGCAGACGTGTAAGTGTGCTCGCTCGCCCGATCGATGCATTTCACTGACGGTCTGTAGATCGGGTGGTACCAATGTATCGGTGGGTCTGAGCACCGAGTACACGTGCAAGGCGACACAAGGCGCGGTCCTTATGCTGAAGAGCCAGGCGTATGCCGAATCGATATTCGAGAACTTGGGCCTGAAGAAGTACATTGTTAGGAACCACGACAAATGGTATGCATACGCCAGAGGCGTCCTTCTCCAGGACGTCAAGCCGGAGGACATTGTCGTGGTCCGGGCTGGGTCAAGACCGAGGCCGATTGGACGGCGACCGTCTTCAGTAACACGAGCACGAGTTCCAGCGTCTCGCTCGAAGGCCAGGTCGGCGGTGTCGCGGGGCTAGACATGGGCACATCGCACACAAGCTCCGTAACTGGCCCTACGAAGCAACGGCAAGGCGAGTACTTGGAGGATCCGTCTATTCCCCGTCCACCGGAGGTGAAGAGAGACCAGAGCGTCTTCGTGAGGCGCTTCAAGATGCGGAGGCGGTTTGGATTCCTGAAGAAGATCGTCGCGGGTTCGGGCTACCATCAGCTTCCGGGTCCAGGAGATGCGAGAGGTGGCTCGGGAGGAGGAAGGGTTGTGGCACAGGGGATTGAAAGTGTTGACGAAGCGAGCGAGCCAGAGCTCGAAGGCGAGGTACGTGTTGTGTCATAGTGCATCAAGAAGGATATAGGCTAATAGGACACCAGAACGAGGTCTATGATCCACTAGACATCCTTATTGACTACATCTTCGAGGTACGCCCAACTAGCTGCTTGGTTCATTATGTCGCGATGCTTAGGGACCCGTGGTAACAGACTACCGATGCAGAGACTGCCATTGCAAGTGATGATGACGTTGCCAGGATCATCGTACGTATCCTGACGAGTGTTCCATGAGAGTGCAGCCTCATTTCCACTCAGGGTGGGAAAGCGGTGGTTGACTTTGCGAGCTACCTTCGTCAAATGCAGCCTCCAGTGGAGTTCGACGGCACGCGTGAGTCTGTCATCTTCTTGTAATATTTGTATCTAAGCCTGGTGACCTCTCGTGCAGTTGGATCCATCTGCATGGAAGATGTGATCTCTCATGAGCACAATCGCACTTTCGCTCGTCGCATCATCACCGCTCCCGACCTGGCGAAGTGGCCGGGAATAACCTTAGACGGCGCCGGTCGCTCGGAGGATGGACAGGTCTTCATCGGTCCCACGGAGGCGGAAGCTCAATCGTTTAAATTGAAGCGGTTGGCCTTCTTCGACTCTCGGGATCCATCTCGTGGCCGCAGTTTCTTTGCTTCGTCCGCCGATGGCAAGCTTCTGGCAGCATCGTTCGAGGGCAACGACATCCTTGTCTGGCGATTATCCGACGGTCTACTGGTCCAACGTCTACACCATCAGGGTCATACAGACGAAGTTTCTTCCCTCTCATTCTCTCCCATCGATTACACTCTTGTCTCAGGGTCGAAGGACAAGGCTGCAATTGTCTGGAATATTCAAGATGGTCGAGTACTTCTACGTCTGGAAGGGCACAACGGACCGATAACTATGGTCGCATATGCTCCTAATGGCGCACTCATTGCCACTCATTCCGTCGAAGACGAATCCGTGAAGGTTTGGAATGCAGCGACTGGAGAGTGCCTGCATACTTTCAGCTTTGACGAAGAAATATCCGAGTTTGCCATCTCCGCGGATAACTCACGTCTTTGCGCTAAGAAAGAGGATTCTTGCCTCATCTATGACCTACACACCTGTACACACATTGCTATGTTACGGCATCATGTGGGTGAGAACTTTCGCTGGTCAATTTCGCACCAAAAAGATCGTATAGTCACCACCGTTAATCCGAAGCCAAGTGAAATAAAGATTTGGAGTATGGTGACTGGCGAAGACCTTCTCACAATCAATCCCCCAAAAGACCTCTCGTCTAGTGTGGCATTTTCCCCGGACGGCACCGAGATATTGACGACTTGTAAAGACGGCACCGCTACCACATATGACTCACGGACGGGTCAGCCACGCCGCGCCTACAACTTACCAGCCGAGGCAAATTGTGTAGCGTATTCTCCAAATGGAGACTACCTTGCTTTCCGTCCCATGTTCAGACCTCTTCAAGTTTACGATACGAAATCTGCAGCATTTCTCGCAGAGCTCAAGGTTAGCGAAGGAGAAGGGTATGCCGTCGAGGATCTTCAATTTCTTTCTGACAACCAAACTCTTCTAACAAAATTCGATCGTGGACCTCTACTTCTGTACAACGTTCAGGATGTATTGCGACTGCAGTAATGCAGTATTTGCGCAGTAATGCTTGGCTCGCTTAGTAAAGACATGTACTGTAGGAAAACTATATGATGCAAAATCAACGAGGTCAGCCGACGTACTGCAATTAAAAAGCCTGGTTCACCAACGACGATCCCACTCGAATCATTGAGATATCGATCTGTTGCGTCGCATGCAGCTTGCGAAGACGGCTTGAGCGTGAACGACGCGACAGCGACGTGACGCTTATTTATAAAGGGCGCCAAAGGTGGAAGCGGCAGCGGTGAGAGCGACGGGAGGAGAGCAGTTGTGTCGGGACGAGGCGACGACAATACGGGACATGGCGATGTACTGAGCGAACTCGGCACTGTAACGAGCTGCTGTTCAGCAGAACATCGCCGTGCACTCACGAGATGATTGAAGATGACGTACCATCCACCCAGTCAATTCAGCCAAGTGGTATGTCTATGAGTATTTTTGCCCGTGGGAAGCAGTGAACATATTCAACAGCAACCTACAGTGGCAGGTTCAATGCTGTGAATTACAACGGAAAGCACCCCACGAATGCGCTGGTCTCTCGCAAACACCGGCTCACTGGAGTTCCCTGTCTGGTTACTGATGCAGCAGAACGCAACGAGTCCGGGTATATTGTAACGGCCAAGCTCAAGCGCGACAAGTGGATGGGGGGCTGTGGCATCCATATGAGCGGGACCACCGTTCGGCGTCGTAGAGAGCGACTGTATCAGAGTTCGAGAGCAAGGCAGAGTCTTAGAAAATGCACTGTAACGCAGCTGCAGTCAAGTGTACTGGATGCAAGGCTAGTAGGGAAGGTGCAGGTAAACCTCAAGCATCACAGCGTTTGCCGATCGCCTTCGTGTCCACTTGGAGACGTACTAATTCTGTAGATGCAGTTCATGAGTGCGACGGGATATTGTTCATGCCAAGTGATTAGCTGGTGGCGTACGGATAGAACAAGTCTTGGAGACGAGCGCGTTTAATCGCTGTCTCAGCTGTGCCTCTTAGATAAGACTCGCTAGGAGACATAGTCGACGCGTCCCTGACTTAAACAGGCCGCCCCTCGCGCCGTACGTACTGCCGCAGAACGTACGAAGATAACCTAATACATATTAATGTAGCAGAAAGTTCGGGTATGCGCCGCTCACCCGGGAGATCTGTTTGGCTTCATACGGCAGGTCTAGGTCGGAATGTTCTTGTTACACAACTTACCGAGCCGTCTTCGGGTCCAGTATACAAACAGCGTGCCGCAGAAAGATGATGCTATAGTCCGCTAGGTATACAATAACGGAGTACAAGTACACGTACGGAAGCACACAGGCGCTTCACGCGGTGCCGTTGGGCGTAGGGGACGTCGGGGCGGGCGAGGCCGGGGCAGGCGAGTTCGGAGCGTTCGAGCCACGGTACGCGGGGCGGAGGACGAGCACACCACCCTTGAGCTGAGCGACCTCCTTGACGAGCTTCGTGAAGTTCTGCTTCTTGTCCTCCGTCGTGAGCCACGGCGTGAAGTGGTGGATGCAGTCCCGCGTCGTCGCGTTCGGTGCCTTCTTCAGCCACTCCACCAGCATCCAATCCTCGAGCTCCCCGTCCGCCGTAGGACCCGCCGTCGCCTTGCGCTTCTTCAGCTTCGACGGCACTCCGCCCGCGCCCTCCTCCGCTTTGCGCTTGTGGCCTGGTTTGCCCTGCGTTGGCGGGCTGTCTGCTCGCCCGGTAATCGGGCTACCGATGGGACTCGTGGGCTGGCTGCCGCCCGCGAGGGGGCTTGTTGCCCTGCTGGTGCCGTTGGTCTTAAGCTTGGGCGCCTTGGGGCTTGTGGCACGCTGTGCAACAACGGCATGGCCACCGTGACCGGGAATGGGCGACGTCGCGCGCGAGCCTGACTCGGTTTTGATAGTCGCTGGAGGCTGCGTGGGGGACTTTGCCCCAGAGGGTACGGGCGTACCAGGTGCCTGTGAAGACTGCCGGGACTGAGCTTGAGGCTCTGGAGGAATGATGGCAGGGCCTTGTGGCGCCTGGAGCGGCTCTTCCTCCGGCTCCTCTTCTTCCTGTATCATAATTAGCATGAGTGTGACGCGTGGGATGTCATTAAACCTACCGAGCTAGCGTAAGGGTTCTTTTCGTCGTCGCTCTCGTCGTACGCGCCGTTCTTTTCGAGCTTCTTCATGAGCTTCCGCATGTCCTTGCCTGCAGTCGATAGCTCATTGATTTCTTCCTCTTCATCGGACTCGTCGATGTAACCTTCTCTTGTCTTGTTTGCAGTCTTGTATTCCCGCTTGAGACGTTCCTGCAGCATATATGTTATGAGTGACCTGCATGTCTCGGCCAACTGAATCAATACGCACTTCGAGCTCCTTCGCCTCCTCATCGTCAGCGTCTGGCTCCATCTTATCATCGTCGTCCTGCACATCGTCCTCAAAGTCTAACTCGTCAAGATCGCCCTCCTGGCCGTATTCTCGTTTTCGCCGTTTGCCTTCTCCGTCCTCTTCGTCGTCATCTCCGAAAAGACGGTCGACACCGCTGTCCACCGATCTGAGCTTTCGTCCCCCAGGACCAACACTTTGACTGGTGGAATATACGAGCGACGAAGAAGAAGGCGGCATGCTGCCGTCTCGCTCGGCTTTAAATATCGCGGCAGTGGCATCTGAGGGGCCTTGACCGTTGCGTCTGCGGAGTAGCCACCGTTCTGGGTCTTTATTCTTTGCCAGCTGCTTCATCTGAAGAGAGATGACAAATGTGTCTCAACAAATGGCGGTTCTGACATACCAGATCTTCTGCCTCCTCGAGGTTGGGTACATGATAGTGCGGCCGCTTCTGGAACTTGTACCATCGATGGGCGGGTACGAACTTGAAGATGTCGTTCGCGGCGGGCATAAACATCGCCTGTGTTTCCGCCTTGGAGACCTCTTCCATACTTGCGACCCAGAGTTCCTGCTCGGAGCTGTCCTCGATGATCCACGGGTAGCGCTCTTCCCGCCTGAGCTGCCTGATGTGCTCAGGGACGAGGAAGACTTGCCTCGTCTTCTTCTGGAACTTCTTCTTCGCCGCGCTCGGCTTCTCCTTCTCCTTGCCCTTCGTGTCCCCCGCGCCATTCGTCTGCTGTTCGCCAGGTCGTATGGGCTTGCCCTCCGCGTCGACCATGACCACCCGCCCGTCCATGCCGATCACAGGCTTGTTGTCGGGGCCAAGCATGGGGCCCACAGCCACCGGCGCCGCGGGGCCGCTTGTGTCGTCCGCGCCCGTGTTCCGCCGCACCTCCTTGCGGTTCAGCTTCACGGGCTGCGCCCAGGCGAGGATGTCGACCGGCTTGCGCGAGTCGAACTTCATCACGTCGTACTTCCAGCCGTTCAGCGCACTCGACATCAGCCGGAACTCGGCGAAGGGGCCCTCGAGCTTCGGCGGGCCGTCCTCCTCCTCCTTCGCCCGCGGCGGGCGGGGCACCTTCGGCTTCGGCTTCTGCGGCGACGGCGGCGATGGCGAAGGGGTCGAGGTCCCAGACGTGTTCTGAGAGCTCGATTGCGTGGGCCGCTCGCCGCCACCTTGGGCCCGCAGCTGGGTGTACAGCTGTTTCTTCTTGGGATGAAAGAGGACTGATGTAGCTGGGGCCATCGTGAGTCGTTTTCAGGGAAGTCGCCTTAGTTTATAGAATGGGTATCGTAAATGAGTGGAGATGATGCGTATTCGTCGTCGATAGAGGGCGGCGAGGCGGGGTCGTCAGTGGCGGTGGTGGTGGTTGGAAGCGAAGTCGCTCTGGCGGTGGCGCTTGTGCACACCATGCCTTTTACTCCCATAACGCGTCGCGAGTCCGTAACAATCACGTCGGCCGACTCGCTGGGCTCCGCTCTGGCTATTGGAGACGACGTATGTGATCTCGTGAAACCCTCAAAATGGCCGTTGTGAAAGTGACACGCTCTGCAAGTTTCGCATTTTAACTGTGGAGTGGGCTGAGCTTGGAGCATACGATAACACCCGGTACATTTAATGGCGTGTAAGGATCGACGGCATAAGGATTGACGTCTGCTGCAGCGAGCACAGTTATACAGTATATACGATATCCTACTCCTTCCTATTGTTATTGATGAAGATGCGTGGTCAAACCGCGTAAGCCTTAGGGTCCCCCGATACACCCCTCTTACCAGCAGAAGGCCGGGAGCCCGCCATGTCAGGCCATTCAGGGTCATGCTTTGGGTCGCTATCCACGTCCACCGTCTCGTGGGTCTCTATATTAATGGTCACCTGCGAGACGCGGTCAGCAACCGATGCGGAGAGATTGGCGAGGCTTGGTGTGACCGCTTACCACCTGTTGGTGAATTGACTGGTTTGTAGTCATGAAGTTGGCCATTGCCTGCGAGCCCAAATTTGTCAGTTCTACTCTCATTGAGGGGTAGATTCAGCGTACCGCCCCGCCTCGGTTGCCCTCCCCGGAAAGCGAAACCATCCATTCCTTCCGTGAGTTGAGACTAGATATGACCGAGTTGGTGTAACTGCAGAATATTGCTATGAGATTGTGCAGGGCGATTATGTATCATGAGACTTACAGCTTAACGACAGTGTAGTTGAAGACTGTCGAATAGTTTCGTAAGTCCCATTCGTCGGAAGAAGAAAAATGCTCTTACTCATGTGGATCCCAGTAGGCTATCAACGGCGTGTTAGCAATGGCTTACGACGAAAGAGAAGATTCTTACAGAAGCCAAGAAGGCGACAATATGGGCGACCGTAAAGGAGGCCGTCAGAAGCCCGTTCTGCACGGTTGCTTGAGATAGATGAGCACATGCCAGAAGAGGACTGTCAACTGCAGGCTTACAGCGAACGATCTTGTTCACGACGGTGTCGGTGTGGGCGAATCCCGTCTTGTGCTTCCTCTAGAACGTCGGCAGGATGTCAGCGATCTGTGCTCGACAGTTTCGCAGACAAAACACTGACCAGATACAGACTGAGGGCCAATGCGATCAGGACGTCGGACATCGTACAGGCGACGAGCCAGGGAATCGCAACGGCCTGTGCACCGTGACGGTCAGCGGTCATCCTGAACAGCCATGCATTGAGGAAGGTACGTACGTTGAGCACGTGGAAGTCCGAGAAATGGGGCTTCATGGTTATCCCGATGGCGGTACCGATGGCGCATACTGAAACAACTCGGTTATGTATGATCACGGCGGGCAATTGGTGCACTTACGTCCGGCCACGCTAGAGCTGCAGACCACGACGGCGACAACGAACCGATTCTTCGTCAAGACCTTCAGCCGCCAGGCGAAGAAGAGTTGGACCATCACAGCGATGATGCCCTGCAGCGATAGTTAGATTGGCTGAGCAGCGCCTAGCACATAAAAGAGGAGCTTACCGCCATGGCCTCCTCTGCTCATTGCAAGATCAAGACGGAAGCATTGTCAGGTATGTGTCTACTTCGGAAATCAAGAGGAGCAGTACCTGAGGCAAACACTAGGATGAAAGCGTTGAATTAGCGATTGCACAAGCAAAGACAGAAACAGAGCACTCACGCCAATTAGCCTCCGTAAGGGCCTCCATGTCGCCTGTTCTCGTGTTAGTCATGGTATGTGCAGCTGTGGTTCGGTGATTACGCACCGAAGTGGTTGACCAGCACGTTGTAGATCCACGCCATGTTGAATGCACTGTTCAGTGTGTCGGCGAGAAGGAGGACGCCGACCTAGGAGGCACAGCGACCGTGAGATTGGGCACTATCCGGGAAACGACGAGCGAACATACGTAAATTTTCATCCATGTCGGGTCTCTGCGGTGGCAAGGGTATGGTAACCAGACGTGAACAGTTCGAACCGCTTGCAAGACTCACTTGGGGAAGCTGTCGTAGTAGGAGCGGACCTGTGTTACAACGACGCCATACAATCTGGGTTCACAATCAGGACGCGAGTAAATCCAGAACGGATTCAGAACGCACAGTAAATTCAGGAAAATTCCAATCAAACTGGGTCCGTGCCTGTAAGAGAGCGGTCAATTCGGAGGCTCAAGTAGCTCGGAGGATATATAGGGTGCTTACAACACCTCAGCGACTTCTCCTCCTGGGGATAGATGCATGGTATTCACCAGAGAGCCACGGCGAGTGCTCTACAAACTGCCCGAGCGAAGTATCGGAGCAGTAAATAAAAGAGAAGAGAGAGGCAAAAGGCAGGTCTGAGCGTAGAACTAGCCTACATATACAGGTCCCGTAATTGTTGCGGATCGTCACGACGGAAAATTGTCTCCCGCGGGAGGAGTGGTTCTACGGACCAAAGAGTGCACCAGGCCACTCCGGAAGCGCGGGAGAAAGGATGATCCCTTGAAAATTAGGCACGGGCAATCTGAACGTGCCCGCGTATCAGACTGTCTCTATGGAGTCGGTGCGCGGTCATCAAATTATTACCGCATCGCCTAAAGGCAAAATCCTTGGTGGCGTTCGGGTGATCCGCGCGTATCGGCCAAGCGATCTCGCCATGAGATTTAGACAGACGAATGGCCTCGCCCAAGCTCAAGGTTAATCGCTTGAGATGAGTTGAATGCTTTTACGACGGCGAACGACAGCGCGGGCAGATTCTCGAGCAAAATGGAGGACACAAAGTCCTTCGACGCTCGTGCGTTGCTACGCGTCGCCGCCCGATGCACGCTTCTCTACTGCGCTACGTAACATCTACCTTGTGCAACAGTTTCGTTAAGATCACCAGCCTGCTATTAATGGATGGATCTTCACAGCAAGAAATTTGCCCTTTTTTTAGAATAAAAAAAATCTGATACCAGAAAAGACAGGATTCATGGGAACGCAACCCTAGCAAACAAGGCAAGGTCAACAGCTCAAGCTGGCGATAGTTTTGTGAGCATGCACAACTACGCATAGGTAAAAATCATTAATGCCAGTTTTTATGACAAAATACTGAGCACGCAGCTTGCAAATGGCGCATAAGATAAGTCATGGTCCGGCGATGTACACGCCGGTATCGGCCACCAGCAACCTATTGCACATGAAGATGTCACTGACACTATGGTTGTCACAGGCAACACGCGCAATGCAAGGAGATGCAGATCAATCACAGCGCTCTTGGTTGGTACATCGCTTGCGTCACTGACAGACTCTGCACGTCGATCCGTGTTCCGGTTCTAACAGCTGTGTTTCCGAGGGTCTTTGCAACCTCCTGCACGCCTGCGCCCCTATCATCGCTTGGACACCCTATCAATGGCATGCCCGCGTTGGAAGTGAGCGTACCGCATGTTCGTGGTAGATCTCAGTGATCCATGGGACCGCGGGTGTACTAGTAGGGTACTCTGAAAGACTACCTTGACCGACCGTGGTCCACTTCAGCCTGCTGCTCGCATACTATCCAGGCTTTGGATGCTTTCGAACCGTCAGGCCAACATATCGTATAGTCCTGGCTCACAAGAAGGCTGTTTCAGGATACCTCTCGCGAGTCAGTAACGTTGGTGGCGTGGGGAGCACCGGAAGCGCCACACGGTGTTCGTGCTTGACATCCCTGTCACTTTGCAAGCACCACACGATCACCAGTACTAATAGTATAAAAACTAAACAAATCATGTCAATAAATTAAATCAAATATTCTAATTGAACCCGCGGCAACGATGACCAGGACGCTGTACGCTATGTCGTCTGATTCCTCGCAAGTGAAGATCGCAGCTCAAATCCCGATGAAGAACCGGACAGCGATGACCTCCTCCCGTTCGCATACTCCTTCGGTGACCCCGGGGATGTCCCGTCTGCTTTCTCCTCCACCGAGCGTCCTGTGCCATTCCCTCCTTCCTTCCCCTTGTCCTTGTCTTTGTCCTTCTCAAACGACGAGCCGCGCCTCGGACCCCACCTGCTCCCCCAGTAGTTGAACAACCTCAGCAGCCACGTCGGCTTGAGCGACGCGTGCTCGACGACCTCCTCCTCTTCATGTACGACCGGCCGAATCGGCGGCAAAGCCTCCTCTTCCTCCGCCTCGCTCTCCGTCCGGCCGTGGACGTCGACGAGCCGGCCGCCGCCGTCGAGCGTCCACTGCAGGCGGTTGAAGGTCCCGTGCGCGCCTCTCACACCCTGCGGCAGCCGCCGCCCCGTGCCGAAGACGCGCTCGCGCATCGCGAGCACCTTGTTGCGCGGCGCGGCGGCCATGTGCCAGAGGTCGTCGACGAGGAACTGCGCGGACTCGTACTCGAGCGCGTGCGCCTCCTGCGTCATCGCGTCTGCGCGCGCCCGCGCGGCCTCGACGTCCTGGACGACGTTCGCGCGCTGGTGGAGCGCCTCGAGCTCGGTCGCCTTCGCCGTGTACTCCTGCCGGATCGTGGTGTTCGACTCGGACAGCTTGGTCGTCAGCGCCGAGAGACACGAGAGGACGTTCGCAAGGTGCTGCTCTCGCCGGCGCATGATGAGCAGCTGGCCGCAGAGCTCGACGTCGAGACGCATGAGGTCCATCGGCAGGGGCTTCTTGCCGCGCAGGAAGTCTGCGTCGTCTGAGCTTCGTTGTCGCTTCAGGGCCGTCAGGTCTCGTTCTCGCGGCCGTGGCCAATCATCTTGCTCGGCAACGTTGTCCTTGCTTCTCGATGCCTCCGCCGCATCAACAGGTTTGCCTAATGGACTTCCGCCTCGTCGTTGTATTCGCGATCGGCCCCGATACTCGTCATCCCCTCGTGAGATCTGAGCGCCGGACCAACTGGCGATGCGCGCCTGACCAGACAGTTTCGCCGGGGGATTCCGTTGGTTGAACTCGCTGACCCGACGATCATAGTCTGAGAGCTCCCCGGTGGAGCGTTTGGCTCGAGGCATCTCACCATACCCAGATATGAGAGGAGTCCGGAAGTTCGAATCAGCTGTACAGCGATTAGTAAAGTGTGATGTAAGAAATTGTTCTCACGTACACACTGGAGACGCTTGCCCACTGGTCAGCAGATTATCATCGTCCCCTAATTCTCTACATGGTATAGTGAATAGCAGATTTTGAGTAGCACACCAGACACGCTTACCTTGACACCACGACTGAGGGTAGAAGAGAGGTTTGCATTGCCTGATCACGCCCAGGCGAGTCAGTCGCCTTTCCTTGACTGCCCAGGTCTTGGCTGTACTTCTTCGGTCGACCTCGACTGCAAAGCCATTAGACGTTGGCCGCAGAATGAGACCGGTAACTTACGCCGCCCAGTTCTCGATCTTGCGTTGGACCCTGCCTGACCACGGCAGTGCGTTTCCGTCGTCCGCTTCATCATCCGAGCTCTTCATGTCCTTCTCGCACCTCTCTTTCTCTGCCTCTTTCTCCCTCTCCTTCTCTTCGCCTTCGCTCCAAATCGCCTCTTTCTCCTTGCGCTTTCGCTCGACCTCCCCCGGTCGTCCCGCCCAGAGGTAGCGCAGACTGCTGCAGCCGACCTTGTGGTTCTGTGTGATCGTCTGCACGAACTTCTCGAGGTCTGTCGTCGGCTTGAGGCTGTTTGCCCAGCCGAAAAGGCTTTTCGCTGCCCCGCCGGGCTCGGGAGTCGTCCGGAGGTCTGTCGCGAGATCGTCGAGCTTGCTGATGAGCACGCGGTGCACCTTGTACGACTCGTTCTGCCTCGCCTTTTCGTAGGCGGCTCTGATGGCCTCGACGATGTTGCGATTAACGAAGGCGGTCTGCAAGGAGGTGGCGATTGATGTCGAAGAGGACATACCGACGTTGGACGCGACCAGATGATGCGGGAGGGAAAGAGAATGGTTGTGTCCATGCATCTTGGGGGTGGCGAAGCTTGTGATAGATTTGATAAAGCTGTATGGGTCGATGAAGGGATCTTTTGGCACGTCCTAGATGGTGAATTAGCATCGCAAAACCACCGAATGCTCACGCAAAACGTACGTAGCCCATGACATGGAGCTTGTTCCTCAGAATCATGACCATACTGAAGAGGGCAGCAACCACAGTGGGATCCGCGACTCGTTCCATCGGCTGGGAAGCAGGTCAGAAACAATCTGCGAAAATTTTCCTCAAGCCCCCACCTCAACATTCATGAGCGGCTCGCCAATTTCTGCAACCCAGCGTTGGATGCCTTCGCAGGTGACATCACATAGGAGACCGTTACGCTCTTCGCGGTCCATGTCAAACATGCCAAATACGGATAGCGCGGCCTGTATTAGCTTGACAAGCTCCAGCACGACGGACTTGAACAGCTCAGGGGACCTTATAAGAGCCTGGTCGGGTAGGTGGTATGCTGAGATAAACCGGTCCTTGGTTGTGTCACTATTGCGAATGAGCCTAAAGGAGGCTCTACAGGCCATGCAAGCCTTACCTCGGTTCTTCAAGCGTCAGGGCACTCCTTCCGCTACAGCCCATACGAAGGACATTGATGTTCGCATATAGTCCTTCCCGTATCTCGAGGAAATTTCCGCCAGGTATGCGCACGATAGTGTAGTCAGAGCGGAAGTTGGCCAGCGAGGTGACCATGACTAGGCCCTTCTCTGTCTTGCGTACGGTAGCATCAGATAGATTAGACATGTAGCACATATGCTCACCTCTCTTGGACGTGCGCCGTCTCGGCGCAGCTGATGAATAGCTTTCTCCCATTCGGCCTGCGCTTCTACGGTACTTAACCACGGTGCAGGACTCAGAGCCGTCATCGTGACCTATTGAAATATTAGTCGCGACGATGTAATCACAGAAAATCACACATACTTTGTGATTAGGGTCACCGGTGAAGACCGTCAGGACCGTCACTGAACGTGTCCGTTCTACAACCCTTGCACTCTATTGAGCGTACCGACCAGCAGCCTACTGGCCAGCTCACCATTTCTCTACTGCGTAAAGCTGATAGCCCTCTATCTCAACAAAGTCCTCAACCACCTCAAAGCGACACCCTCCACCAATCCAGTCGACAGTTACATTGATCTGGGGGCTGGCGCTTGGATCCGGTGAAGTCTGGAGACTCTGTGCCATCGATCCTGCTCTCGACCTGGCAATTTTGGCTGGTGAGGACTTGGAGGAGGATATCCGGAAGGATGGTGACGTATGGGGTAATTGTTTAGGAGGGCGGACCGTAGGCATAAGCAACCTTGAGTTGTGTGGTGACTGCATCATGTTCACGTTTACTGTCCGTGGTGTCAGGAACGGTGAACGGTGCTGCCTAGACGGTGTGGTCGACGTAGTCGAATGTCGAGACAAGGTGGGTCTCGTGTGCCGGAAAGGGGGGAGCAGAGGCGAAATGCCCCCGCCCTCAGCAGACGACACAGGGGAGACCGACTGAGGAACGGAAAGATGAGGCGTGCTCGCCAACACCCGAGGCCTTTGCGGAGGCTGTAGACTCATCTCGGGAATTCTAGTCCAGATAGCAAGGGAGATTCATAGATATGTAGCAGCAGATCCGCGATGAAGAGTCACCTCAAGATGCGCTCTTGGTCACCGATTATATCATTACAATAGAGTAAGCAGGTCTATTTATTCAGATCAGTGAGCGGCTGAATGGAAGTAAGCGGAGTGAGGTAAGCATTCGCTAACGTCGATCACTCCCACGCTTAGCACCGACCAAGTACCACGTCTCGGATGTGTGGCAAAGACGTCTTTCATTTCTCTTCTCGATTTTATCACAAATACTTTCAACAATCGCCTTAGTCGGCCTCCCAACTTGGACCTCATGTTGTCTGGCAGAAGACACAGTCACGGATAACCAGCATAGAGAATGATACACGGGCGTTTCGTGTCTGCTTTAACTCTATTCGTCTGCGGGCTATGAAGATGGCACCCTTCAACGGTTACGACAACTTCCCTAAGTGCAATATCTGCTACCAGACGGTGTACAGAAATCTCCGAATGCTGAAGGCGTGGGCCTGCTCTTCCTGAACAGTCTGCTCCATCTTAGCCGGTAATCCTCCGTGACGAATAGCCCTAGGAACCTGCGCTGCATTATCGCCTACCTCCCTCAACAGTGTAAGCTCGGGCGCAGCCACAATGCCTAAGAAGGTGAAAGGTAAGCAGAAGGAGCACGGCAAGCAACAGCCTCCAGATGCGCTGCTAGCATCTGCACCGCCCGGCAAGTTACCTACAATACCGGAGCAGACTGGCACCCTGCCTAAACTCGGCACAAACGTACATACTGGACACAGCGTTGCGTCAGGATCACACTCGGCTAACACTTGGGGAGGAGCTGCGCAAGGTGCGTCTTATCCGCCTCACGCGACCCAATTAGATCGCTTATTGTTCTTTGGTCGCTCACCCGTCGATCATGTTCATGTCTCCTCAACCCTCGTATGCCTCAGACGAAGACGAAGAGCCCAGGTATATTGCAGGCGCTTGGAGACACGATGATGAAGATGACCAGGCGGAAGAAGATGGTGATGGCTGGGGCAACACTACTCAACGCGACGACCATTGGAGTGGCGAGGGCGGTGGTACCGATGCGCACGCGTCTCCTACCATGGATGCAAGTCCTGCTGCGGGATGGGATCAGGAGTTGCCCGCGCAAGGTGGCGGCTGGAACCTTGCGACTGCGATCAGCAGCGCGTTTGGTCACGGATCTGGGAGTCCACATGCGCAAGAAGGTACCGTCGCTGCTACGTCTAGCCTCTAGAAGGGCATGCTGAAGAACCTAGCCCCCGCAGCCCCTACTCTACCTGTTGCCAAACATGTGGCTTTCGGAGCGACTTCCCACATGTCACCGAATGCTGCGTCTCAAGGACTCAGACGCAAAGAGCAACACTCATCTCCCCAGCAAGCGAACCGCCCAATGCACGGCCGAAATCAGAGCGTCGCAGGATTTGCCGGCGGCTGGGGGACGCCAGAAAGGCCCACGCTTGGTTTCACAGGCTTAACTGAGGCCCCTGGTCTTGCCCATGCCCAACCTCAACGGGCCCCTCCTCGAATTCAAACAAACTTCCCGACAGCTCCTGCTCAGTCGCGTTCTACTCATGCTCTACCGACTGGCGCATGGACGCAATGGGGCAAAGAAGCACAAAATATCGGTATGCCCAAAGTTGCCACAACTATCACAGCAAGTGTACCGACCGCTCCTCCACAACCTCAAGTACAGCCTCCTGCTGCTGCCGCTGCCGCGGTTGTGGCGCCGGCGCATGCTCTGTTACAGCAGGCAGCACAACGACAACATCAGGCACAACTCCAGGCGTTGCTTAACCACCCTGGCCTACCCAGGGGTGCCGTACCAAGTCAGGTCCCTCAGGGACTGCATCACCAACAGACATCCGCACCCGTCGCCGCCGAGCGCGCGCCCGTTTGGCCGCAGCAGCCGCAGCAGTCGTGGCAGACCTGGGCAACATCGCATCAGGATACAGCCCGTGGGCAGGCGAAGCCGCAGCGTGCGCAGCAGATCCAGATGGCGCAGAGCTGGGGCAGCAGTGAGTGGACCGATGCCGGAAGGGACCGAGGGCGTCATGGCTGGGGAGCGAACTCAGAGAATGGTGCGTCGGACGGCGGGTGGGGGGACGATGCGGATGGTGGTGGGTGGGGGACAAAAGCAGGCGGCGGCGGCGGCGGCGGATGGGAGGGTGGCGAGGGCGCAGGTGGAGGGTGGGGAGGTGGCGGAGGCACAGGTGGAGGATGGGGGAACGGGAACTACGAGGACGACGACGCCGCATGGGCGAAGCCGGATAATAGGAAGAACGATCGGGGACGCAGCCACGGGCATCATGATGATGGGGGATGGAATCAAGCAGACGATCGTGGTAGGGGTGGTGACGACCACGGAAAATCGTCAAGAGGGCGCAACTCGCATAAGGCGGCTGGCGATTGGGGCCAAACTCAGGCCGATGCTGGATGGCCGTCGCCGAAAGGTGACGCAGGTTGGGGGCAGCCGAAGGCGATTAACGGCTTAGGCAGGTCCCAGAAAGGCCATGGAGGATGGGATGCCATCCCCGAGGAAGATGAGGAAGACTATGGCGATGAAGAGGGAGATGAGGGCGGAGATGAAGAGTACGACGATCTCGAGGATATGTATCTCGATCCCCGAGACCGCGACCGCAAGCATAAGACAAACTCAGGCATATCCTACCAGTACCAGCCTCCTGCGGAGCGACCTGCACCAGCACTTGCCCCCGCCGGTGCTGCATCCGCTGCGCCGCAACTCACCACGTTTGCCTCGTTCGGCCCAGTTGATGTGCACACGCCTTCTGTGCCAAATCCCGAGCAGTCGAGGACAATGAACATTGCTGCTGGACGCATGGCAACAGTCTTTGAACTCTCTCCTCCGAGGCAAGGGCTCGGAGAGAATACCTTCGTAGAATCTCGTGGTGCCGCTTTCGAACTCGCACGGCGGGCCTTCAACTCTAGACGACGGCTCGCACGGGAGAGGATACATTGGGGCTTCAATCCTGACAAAGATGATCGTGTCTCGTCTTTGCTCCGGTGGATCCAAGCAATGTCGAACGGCCTGGCGACAGTTGGCGTGCAAAGGTTCTTGCAGACCGGCCAACGAGGCGCACTGTTTGCGAACGCGGACTTTCAGGCCTCCGTGACACCTGGAGCTCCAAAACAGCCGGCTTTCGATTGGCTAACTCTAGAGCAGGTCCGACCGACCATGGACAGAATCTTACAAGAATCTGTGGTTTGCTACAAGCCTATGTCCAAGGTCGTCGTCTTTGTGTTCCTGCCCTCGAAGAGTGGGAACAGCATGGCGGTGTGGCGGCGGAAGCTGCCTGTTCCTGAGTCTGTCAGAATGGCGAACAAGGATGCCCTCGAATACGTTATTTCGACCTTACCAGAAGAAAAGATTGTCTATGTGGATGAGTGAGTAGCCTGTTCGCGAGCTTCCTCGGGAGGTATTGACTTATCGTTCACAGGATGCCGCCTGAGCCTGATGAGCCTCCGCCTCCGCCTCTCAAGAAGCGCGGTTTCTGGCGTAGACTCTTTGGCTTCTTCAAGCGAAAGTCCAAAAAGAAATAAACTTATTTGTATTCTCATTTCCTCGGGCTTCACTCTCGTTAGACTAGCACTTCTTGCCATCGTCGCTTTGCTTTCGTCGTCTTCCACCACGTACTTATTCTTGCTTTGAAAATGTCCCGCCGCCTTGTCCCGTTACGTATCAGCTACCCCATGTATGACTGCGACATCTTTGTACATGCCTTTACGCCCTCAGATCTCGGGCCCTTTCCTCCTAACCCTACTGTAGACGCCGACGTGCTGCCATTCCGCAATGGGAACGCACGGTTCTCTGTTCTGTACGACGAGTTCGAACCTGGTGAGGATTGTTCCCTAGCGTTGATATACAAGTTCGAAGATGGAGGGCGAACAATCGCAGACCACGTCCCCGACATTCCCCGGACTCGGGCCGCGCCAAGAGGTCTATAGCGTACCGCGTACAATGCAACAGCAGCAGCCGCCACCTCCTCTGTCGCCGTGGACGCACTTCGCGATCTTCACAGGCGTGCTCGCGCCGGTTGCGCTCTTCCCCTATCTCGCGGTGCGGCGGCACCTGATCTCGCTGCACCGCAAAGTGTCTGAGGTATCCCAGACGAACGCCGCGCTGCAGCGCGACCTGAAGGCGGCGCTGCTCGAGTCGTCCATCCGGCGCGAGGAGCACGACCGGCTCGTAACGGCGCTGAGCGAGGTCAGGCGAGAGTTTGACAGGTTTAGAGCCGAGCAGAGTGCGAAGGAGCTGCAGCGCGCCAGGGGCGAGGAGCGCACGCGCTCGCAGATCGACGAGCTCGCGGCCGAGCACAAGCGGACGAGGTGCGAGCTCGCGTGAGACCTTCAGCTTTTGCGAGAGGACTCACCTGTGCCTCTGCTGAAATGCCTTGTAGGGTCAACCTGGCGACCCTCCGAGACCTCAGTCCGAGCCTCGCGGACATTGCTGCGTTCATGCAAGAGGTGGAGGTGCAGCAGGGTTACGTGTCTCGTAAGAACGACGGGCGAGGGATTGAGAGGATCAGGCAGTTTGCGTACAGGCTGGGGAGCATCCTTACTTCGGATGTGGAAGCGGAGACCGTGAGTGGCCAGTGTTTGTCCAAGGACGCTAGTTCTGACGATTTACGTGTCTTAGCCTGCACAGGACGAAGTAGCCCCTTCATCTACAACTTCTTTTACGCCTCCGGGTCGTACCCCGAAGAAAGAGAAGAAGGCAAAGCAACCCTCCGAAGGCGAGACTGTGTAGGGAGCAGCAGGTCGCAGGTCAATGGCAAGCATTAGCATATGCTCATTCTGGGAGAATAGTTGACACTGCGCGGACATTGCACATTAACTGTACTGATTACGTCTTCTTGTAACAATAAATAGCAGGTATATGACGATATCCTGACACATGAGATCACATAATGCGAGAGGGACCATGCCCTTCAACGTGTGCGTCGCTTCCCGTTGCTACACTCCTGAGAGACGACAAACCATGAGCTTGAGAGGTCTGGCTGCGGATGGCGCCGGCATACCTCAGGCTGTTTCCGGTGTTGCACCAGCAATTCCTCCATGAGGTCCACATCGATCTTCTCCCACCCCGTGTAGTTTCCCTGCAACATCTCCATGCATCGTCTTGCGAAGAACGCAAAATGGTACAGCAGCACGGCATGCCATTCGTATTGGTGCGTAATCTTGATGAGATGGCTACTGTACTTGAAGAAGTAGTATGGAACTGTGGGTGGCTGGCCAATCGAGAGTGCGTGGATGGAGAGGATAGAGAAGTAGGTGTTGAGGGGGACGAAGAGGGAATCGAGAGTCTGGTAGATTTCGCGCGCAGAGGGCACACTGCGGTAGGTCACAATACTATCCTCAAGGTCAATCATGTGCCATTGAGCTTCGAGAATGCGTCGCGTGTCCAGCTTGTAGAGCTCGGCCGCAGGGAAATCGTGGCTGAGGATTGCATTGAGTGTTTCCGCATCGATGTGTTGGAAGAGCTTAGAGAGGTCTATGGCGTCATCGATAGGAGTGGGGGGAAAGGAGAAGACAGTCGGTGTAGCGACAATGCTCGGCGGATACATCACGAGGGATGCAAACGATGTGTTCAATATGGCTCGGGAGAAGTGCAGAGAAATATGTGAACGATGCAGAACGTGCCAGGGTGTAGGTCATATAGACCGGGTTCGGACCTTGCGGTGGCCACATGTTGTTGGCTGGAACACCTGCCCATACGTGTGGTCGAGCCCCAAAGCGAGATAGAACTTCTGCGGTGCGACTGAGCGCGATTCCGGAGAGGCACTCAATCGCAAAAATCAAAGTATAGTAGGGAGCCACCAGGGAGCAAAGCAGAGTCAGACAGATGAGTCGGAGTGAGGAAGATGGCCATAGCAGCGTCGCAGACAGAGAAACCAAGACATCTCCCAAATCGGGACCAACGGCAATCACCGAACGCCTGGTGGCTGAGAACTGAGTAGTTCTACTCGCATTTTACCCACACTCCCTTGCCGACTGCGAATCAAGCGCGTACATTCCCTACGACACTCCTCAAGGTAAATATTGCTGCTGCTGGTCTCGTAGAGGGTTTGGAGAGGCAGAGGCGGGCCGTTATGCTGAAAGTCCGCATAGCTGTGCTTTCCGCTACTTTCCAGCCCCCCCAACCGAGCCAATCTGCGCCAGGATAAATTCATGGCTAACGGAAGGTCTTTGTATTTGTAGACAACATCAAAATGCCCGGCAAGGTCAAGGCGTACGAACTCCAGTCCAAGTACGTTGTTCCCGTGTATACCAGCGAGCTTTGGAGTTGAAACTTGTTGCTGCGACCTAGGTCAAAGAACGACTTGTCCAAGCAGCTGACAGAGCTCAAGAATGAGCTCTTGAACCTCCGCGTGCAGAAGATTGCTGGTGGCTCTGCAGCCAAGCTGACCAGAATGTGCGTACGGAATCCTCTTTGCCTTCCAATTGCACTGAGTAAGCTTGCACGTTGTGTAGTAACACTGTTCGCAAATCCATTGCGCGGGTCATGACTGTTATGAACCAGAAGGCCCGGCAAAACCTTCGCGAGCTGTACAAGAAGAAGAAGTACGCTCCCCTTGACCTCCGGCCTAAAAAGACTCGTGCTATCCGCCGTCGACTGTCTAAAGCGCGTCTCTTTCCACAACTCTTGCCCTACAAGACACTGACAAGCTTTCTCGTCTTAGCACGAAGCATTACTCAAGACCGAAAAGCAGCGGAAGAAGGACATTCATTTCCCCACTCGGAAGTACGCCATCAAGGCTGCATAAACCAGGGGAGTGGCTATCGTCGTGGAGTAGCAGAGCCGGGTTGTTGTCTTTCTACTATCTTCCTTCTCTATTTGTCGTACGCCTCAATCAACTCAAGCCAAGCCATGCTAAGCTATGCAATTTGTGAGACTGCGCGCACGATCCCAAGGTATACCGCTGACAGCCTCGACTGGCTCCTCCCCTGCGATTTGTACCTTCTCTGTAGTCGTATCAACCTGTGCCGATCTGCCGCAATAAGTGCGCCTACGGCGGGCCCATGCTCGGATTTATGTGCATTTTTCATTGGATGGGCGGCTCGGTACCCGAGGAGCTCCCCGAGAGTGCTCGGAAGGGCAGGTCGCCCCCGGGGCGTCGGCACGGCGCAGACGTCATTTACTCACCGCTCCAGACGTCCTGCGACCACCTCACTCGCTGCCTTCGACGTCGGACAGCACATATCCGCTGCTGTCTCGAACACGTAGCCCGTTCTTCTGTGCGGATCGAAGGTCTCACCCCGCCTGCACAGCACACGAGTGCGCTTCTAAATTCTAAGTATCCCCTTTTCACTTCTCCTTTCCGTCTTATCCCAACTTTGACCGCACAATACTGCACCAAGCCTCTCTTTTGTTATAAATCGACTTGCCGATCTGTACCTTCCCCTCGCTTTTCCGCTACACGAAACACGCAACTCATTCGTTTTAAAAAACGCGTAACGAACCTACGACATGGTAAGTCAGTTCCTGTCTCTCTTTTCCCCCGCTCTTCGGTGTCGCACACGAACTCTCCATGCATCAGCGGAAGTGGCCCGAATGGTCGTGATGTATACATCACAACGCATGGCTCGTCATGGCGCTCCCACACACGTGTATGACCAGAAGCATGTCTCTGGTGTGAGGACATGGGGTGATTCACCGAGGCTCGATCTGCCCTCTCGCTGTCAAAGCGGCCTCCCTCGTCTTCGCTCGCAGAGGCATTCCTTCCAGCCATGAATTCGCGTTTACTGCGCAGGGCGAGCCGTTCTAACAGTGGTTCTGGTTTTCAGCCGCAGGCAGTCACGAAATCGCCGTCTTCTCCCCCCGTGAATGAGGCGCACGAACCCAAGGCCCGCCCACGGGCCAATGACCCACATCCGATACCTAGCAACAACCCCGCGAGTCAGTACACACTGCTGGAGAAGCTTGGGACAGGCAGTTTTGGAGTCGTATATAAGGCTATCCACAACGAGACGAAGCAGATTGTGGCCATCAAACAGATTGGTGCGTCGTATCCACTCCGTAGCGCGTGGGGCGATGTCGTTGAGACTGGTTGCACAGACCTGGAAGATTCTGACGACGACATCTCCGAGATACAACAAGAGATCGCCAGCCTCGCACAGTGTGATTCGGAATATGTTACTCGTTACTATGGCTCGTTCGTCGTTGCCTACAAGCTCTGGATCATCATGGAATACCTCGCCGGAGGCTCATGTTTGGACCTTCTCAAAGCAGGCGTGTTCTCCGAAGCTCACATTGCTGTTATCTGTCGCGAGTTGCTGCTCGGCCTCGACTACTTGCATAGCGAGGGAACAATCCACCGCGACATCAAGGCGGCTAACGTTCTTCTGTCGGCATCGGGCAAGGTGAAGCTCGCAGACTTTGGAGTTGCCGCTCAGTTAACGTCGACGCTGCGGCACACATTTGTTGGCACGCCATTTTGGATGGCACCGGAAGTCATCCGCCAGGCCGGTTATGATGCCAAGGCGGATATCTGGAGCTTGGGTATTACTGCCATAGAAATGGCTAAGGGTGAACCACCACTGGCGGAGTACCATCCTATGCGAGTTCTCTTCCTGATTCCCAAGGCCAAACCACCAACACTCGAGGGTCCGTTCTCACTCGCTTTCAAAGACTTTGTGTCGCAATGTCTGACCAAGGATCCGAACCTGGTGAGCTCACTTACCCCATCCCTGCACAAGAGCTATGTGTCTCATCTATGTCTCAGCGCCCTACTACCAAAGAGCTGCTTCAGCACCGGTTCATACGCACTGCCCGGAAGACGTCTTATCTTACCGAGCTGACAGAGCGCTACCAAGACTATCGTTCGCGACAGCCAGGCAGGCCCCAGCAAATGTACCAGCCCACGCTGCGCAATAGCGGTATGTGGGACACTATGCGCAGCGACTGGAATTTCGACACGATTCGGTCATCGTCCGCGATGGGCTCTATCAAGAACATGACCAAACATTTATCTGTACACGAGACAATTCCTGACGAAGAGTTCGATGATGGCTCTGGCTTTGAGCCTCAGGAGTCAATCAATACCGACGCTGCTACCCAGGCCACCTCCAGCCCCCTTCCCCAGAGCCCGGCCGTGAGCCATTCTACCGTCGTCATTCGACCAGTCTCGGGCTCATATGACACGAAGGACATTCCCCCTCTTGTCACTGACAATGGTTCTGACGAGACAGCCAACTCGGCCGATCCCTCGACTCCGCCGCAGCTCTCTCCTGTCTCTCCTGACACCAGCGAGCCGCCCCCCGCCTACTCCGGTTCGGTGCGATCGACGTCATCTTCGCAACGACGCGCCTCGTACGCTGCTCGCAATAACGTGACAACTGGGACGGTTCTTGGAGCGGCTGACCTTGGTAACGGCGTGGATACGATAAGGCCCGTGAAGATGGTGGATACTATCCGGAGCTTGCGCCTGTCAGAGGAGTATGTTGGTAGTGTGAAACGAGAGAGGAGTGAAAGCGGGAGTCAGTCTGGAAGCTCGCCGAGTTCGCCTGTCAACTCGAAGGGAAGCGCAAAGCGACTCGAGGATGCGAGCGCTGGGCGGGCCATGATCGACGACGTGCTGTTGCCAACATTAGAGAAGGTAAGCTTGGTTTTCGTCTTTGTGAGACCTTCTCATTGGAAACACTTCCAGGCTACTCGAGATGACATGGACGCCCGTGAAATCGAGTCTCTCAGCATGATCTCCAGAGGTTTCGAAGAGCTTAAAGAAATTAACCCCGGGCTGGCCTACAACGTCATCCTTGACATTCTGTCCGGCATCAATGAGAGCCAGCAAGTCCGGCAACATGTACAAACATCTCGGGGACTCTTTCCGCACAAGCGGATCATTCGCAAGAGCCAAATGACCTCGAAAGGGCTTGTCGTCACGGAGGAAGAAGAGACTTCTGGCTTGCCTACGACATCAGACACGAAGTCACCGCCAGCTGCCACTGACGCGGACCAGGCGCCGCGCGCCAAGTCCCCGATAGCAGAGCTGTTATACATGCGTTGGCTGGATGGGCTCAAGCTCAAGTGGCCAAGCATTCTTTCGTCTTCTTGAGGCCTCCGTTCGTAGTCAAATTCTTGATCCTGGCGCCGTTCTTTCTCGTCCTCCCGGCCTCGCTCATACTCGTATCTACTCGTCTATCTTATCTGCCTCCATATATGCACAGTCTACTGACGCACTTCTCGTACATATTGGACTTTGTCGTCTTCCAGGGACCTGCCTCTTTATTGTAACTCTTGCGGACTCGTTACCTCCTGCGTTCTTGTTCTCCCTTGCTCGGATCACTCCCCCCGTCCGGTCACGTGTATGTTTATTATAACGCACTGCTGCCCCCATTCTTTCTCCAGCTGTACACGCACTGTTGTTTAACGTATCGTTTAATGATTATGACTTTGATGACCACTAGACATCACGACAACTACCATGAGCGGCGTCGGCCTGCCTGAGTCTCCGAGCCAAAGATATCTTGACATTAAGAGGCGCATGGTTCACTTCACGAAGGTAGGATAGCGAGGAAACAGATAGACATGTTTGCTGCCTCGTACTCAATAGTTCAGCAGCGATGATATAGCAATAGGGTAACATTACTGGTAGCATTAATGCAGCATATGCGGGCTGCATTACATTTTAGCCAACAGCCACAACAAACAACCAACACTCTGCGACACGCTCGTTGCATGTCGTTCATCTGCACGCCGTGGCAGAACTACCGCTTGGCGACCTTGCCTTGAGTCTTGCGCAGCAGCCGTTTCTTCTCTTTCTCCAGCTCCTGCAGATGAAAAATGAATACCACACGCCGTTCAACCAACCAACCACGAAAGCCGTACCTTCCGCTGCTCCGCGGCACTCAGCTTCGACAGCCGCTCATCCTCGGCCTTTTTCTTCGCAGCGGCCTTCTCCGCCTCCGCCTCCTCCCTCTTCTCCCGCGCGGCCTCCTCCTTGAGCTCCTTCTCGAGCTTCTCGCGCGTCGCACGGAGCTTCGTGCGCGTCTCGGGACGCAGGCTCGGCGCGAGGCCGACACCGCCGCCCTTGCCGCCCGCACCCCTGCCGATGCCCCAGCCGCCCGCGCCGGCGACGACGTCCACGAGCTGGAACGCGGCCGCGACGAGGGGGACCGTCGCGCCTGCGTCCGCGGCGGACGGGAGCCGGAGCGTCAGGACGAGCCGCTTCTTGCGCTGTGTGGCCGGGAGCGGCGCGAGCGGACGCACGCGGGGCTGGTCGGTGAGGGACAGCGAGCGGAAGTAAGGCAGGAGTGCGGGGTCGGAGAGGACCTTGCTGAGCGATAGCGGGCCGTGCTGCTTCATCAGGCAGTCGGTGATGTCGGCGAATTCTGTGGCTGGTTAGTTTGGGGTGGACGGCGGAGGGAGGAGGGAGCGGTGCTCACCGGACATGACGGACAGGGAAGGCGGGAGGCTTGGGTGTTCCGTGACACGAGCAAAGCTCTGCATGCGACGTACGCTGTCAGAGATGGATGAGACAGCACCAGTAGGGGACTCACCAGATCCCAGCGCCGGTCTTTGATATCCCTCAGCTCATCCTTCGCAACAATAGCCCACACACAATCGGGAATGCTAGAGTTCTCTTGGAAAGTAAAGTCCAGCTCGACCTCGTCCTCAGCACGATACGTCACCTCGACGAGGCCCCGCAAGATTTCGTACGCGAGTTTGAAGAAGTCATGGTACGGACGGAGGGTGAGCGTGGTGTGCAGAGATATCAAGGCGCGTCTTCCAGTCGAAAATGCGAAGAAGTCCGTGCATCCGTCTGTAGGCAGAGTCAGTATTTGAGGGCAGGCTAGGTGTGAGGCTACGCACCACTAGTGAGACCACCACGCTGGACGGGCTTCGTGAACTGCGTAGTCAAAAGCAAAAGATGGGCATCGAACCTGCTCAACGATGTTAACGCATGATGATACAGCTACGTGGGCATAATTGACCATTTGTGTGCTCTGGAATTGTTGTACCTCTTTCCAACATAATACCACGCCACGTAGGTGAGGATCATCGCGAGGAACATCGACTCTCTCACAAATACTATGCAGTCAGATCATCAACACAAATGCCTAGCCCAGCCATAAACGACGACACATACGACCCGGCCTGAAGACGAACATCTTCCACCTGTACTCGACGCCTTCATAGTCCTCGGGTACCACCAGAGGCGGCGGCGTCAGGAGCTGCAACACTTGCTTGATTCCTTCGCTGGCCATTGCAGCGATGTCGGGGACGTGGAGGACAGCACGGAGGCGGGTAGACGCGGCGAGCAAGGTGTCCAGCTGGCGCTCCCTTGCGCAATGAACGATATCTCCGGGCTGGGCGCTTGTCCCTGAGCGGCAATTGGTTCTCCCGTTCAGATTGGACAGGCAAGCAGAAGCGTTCGTTATAGGAGGAATTTGCGAGGCACACAACACAGCCCCGTACGAGAGTCGTAAAAAATTCTAGAGTTGGAGGATTAATTTATTCATTAGCAATATTTATCGATATCTGCTCTGGAGCACGTGTTCATCACTTCAGACTGCGAGCAACCAGAGATTTCGTAGCTCAACCCTTTGAGATTGACAAGGTTTAACACGTCATTCTAGCTGAACACTGAGGGCGTTGGGACATCTCATGGCACAACGTGAAGCTTCGAGCAGCAATAGCGCTTAATGTTAACCATAAACCATACATGGTACCATCACCTTTGTGGCGTTCCCTTCAGTAGGCGCCGTACTCACCGCTCTCGCCTGCAGTAATCCCCCTCGCTTTTGACCTGCAAACCAGTTGTAAACAGCATTGGGCATAGGAACATACCTAAGCAATATTATTCAAGTGGAGATAGCATATAATTGTGAGTCAGCACGCCGTCCGACGCACACATCGCTACCGCCACATCAAGACATTCTCCACTTCGCACGCCGGCGGGCTGGTCGCCGGCCCTATCCTGGCTTCGCTTGTTATAGAACTTCGGGCGCATCAGCTCATTGTGTTTCCGTGTGTATCTCAAGCCTGACACGACCGACACATGACAAGTAGCAGATTAAATCACGGGGTGTTCAATCGCAAAAATAGGAAGGCTGACTCTGGACAGAGTCTTCTGTGTGACTTTGGGGGTGTCATAGTACGCCAAGCCCCGCGACGAACGCCGTGAAACCGGCGGCACAGCAACCTTGTGGAGGAGTTTCGCCCCAGTCAGAACGCATCCGTTTCGACCACACAACGACCCCCGACCAGCGAGGCGGCAGTCCTCATAGAAGCGCCTCTTATACAGACCTCCACCCATCGCCCGGGGCGACCTCTGCCGCTGCTCTGATCGCCTCGGTCTGCATCAGCGGGTACCCACGACCAAATCGAGCATAGTGTTTAACTCTGACGGCGCATTATAAAAGGGTGCTTGGGGCCACATCTCACGCCGACCTTCCAGCCATCTTCGCGTGACACCTTGCGCCACCCACCAACCCATCCACCCACCAACACGCCCGCCATGTCCGCCACCCACCGCCCCGGCGGCGTCGTCGCCGCCCTCGCAGCGAAGACCCTCCTCCCCCCAGACATCGCCCCGCCCGTGCCCGAATCCACGCCGAAGCGACCCCCAGAGGCGATCACGAACGAAGACGTCGCCCGGCGCAAGCGGCGGCGACGCCACGTCAGCAGCGACAGCAGCGAGCCCAGCGAGCTCGACGTCACCAACGGAGACCCCGCGGTCGACGTCGACGTTTGCGATGCCAGGCCGGCAGCAGCAGCGGCAGCAGCAGAGGACACCTCGCCCGCGATCACGAACGAGACGATCGCGAACAGGAACCGCCGCCGCCGCGGGGGGGCCGCGCCGGGGGCGCGAGACCGCGCGGCCGGGATCACGAACGAGGAGGTCGCGCGTCGGAGGCGGTACCGGCGGCGGGAGCGCCCGGTGCAGGGGGGTTGAAAAAAGGCTCTCTCTCGTGCGCGCGACTGCGCGACCCACTTTTGGTGCCGGCTACGCCATGCAAACGGCCTTGGCATGCACTTTGGAACTAGGCCTGAAGGAGAGTTCGCGGGGAGGTGGAAGCTGAAGGCTGCGGAGGCCAGAGCTGGGTGGGTCGCGGATCCGCCGTCACGTCTGTCGCCAAGGACTGATCTGCCTGTGGGCTGTTAGGGTCGGTGGGGGGACCCTTGACGCGGTTATGATCTGAACTGTAACCCTGGACGGTACATGGCGCGTGATGTACACACACGACGTGTGTTTTGAAGGGGCTAGCCGTCGCACATCGTTTTCCAGATCCCATCTTCGACCAGCGGCACCGGCGAGCTGGGCCAGATTCTCGCGCCGTTCAAGCACGGTAAAGATCTAGTTCGAGTGAATGTGATATCAGGAGCGAGGAAGGCTGTCCAGAGAGCGTATGTCTGAAGCGGATGCGGGACAGGAAGCAAACACGCGGCGTGCTGCGAGCTGAGGCATCTAAGTTCGTCACTTTAGCGGATCTTGGAAACAGACATGAAGCAAGAACGTGGTTTGAGAAAACACCCAAAATGGACGCTGTATTTGCCTCGCGAGAACTCAAGAATTGGTTCTTAAGCTTCGTACGTGCGTCTCACATGACGCTCTTCTCTACAATTCGTCAATCACATTGCCGGCATGCCGCTCGACATTCCACGCTGCGACTTTCCGCAACCCCGCGGTACTCTAACCGTAGCTAGAAGCAAGTTTGAGGGTGGTACGGCCTGCAGCGAGCGAGGAGACGGGTACAACGCGTTGAGCAGCGAGGCGAGATGAAGTGCGAGCCGTGTCGGCAATATCCGGAGATCTCCTTTTGGCAGGAGCATTGCTCTCGCAGGAGGAACAGTCCTGAGCAGCCTGGTTGCGAATACGGTGGTCAGCCGAACATGTCACTGCACGTTTGCAACATATAAGACCTACCAAGCTTGTGCTGGACACGTCGCCTTCTGTGTCCCTTGAATTTCTACGAACGGCTGGCAGCTTAGCGCGCTTTGCAGGCCGCATCACATAAACGCTCGACCTCGAAATCCGAAAGTACACCCTGTTGTTAGCCTCTGGTGAGCGAATTGTCGTCTGAAATGCGCAGAGATCGGACTTACTAACACGGAGTAGTCGAGCTGTGGTTCAAGAGAGCGGAGTGACCATCACCATGGAACCATCGTCGGGGAATCTGAATCTTGAATCGCCGCGTATGTCAACGGCCGGGCTAGCTTTAAATCGCGCTAAGTAAATCTGATTGCAGCCCGACATCTGGGATTCCCGCCGACAGACTACGAGGCTTTCGTAACCGAGAGCATAAGCCGGATGACCAGGGCGACTGGATCTGTGGATCAGCGCGTACTCCGGCAGTGCCTCGGCCTGGCGTCTTCGTACCTCGTCACGGACTCGACGATGAACCCGTCCGGGGGGCTGACGTCGTGGAACAACGGCATGAACCGGCTGGTGGACGTGCTGGTAGCGCTGCACAACCGAGGGGAGCTGGAGCTGGACACGATCAGCGCTGCGAGCAAGGCGTGTTCGGAGTGCTGGACGACGGCGGGGAGCTGGCGGGAGGTCGGGGAGGCGAAGGAGAACGTGCGAGCGATTGCTGTGCGGCTAAAAGGGATGCTGGATGAGAACGGGCGGACTTACCGAGGAGGGCAAGTGTACGTTCCTTAGGCGTCGGTGCCCGTCTTCGGTTTCTGCGAGGTCCCTCCGCAATTTTTTCTTTCTTTTTTTCTTTCATTCTTTCTGGACATGTGGAGGTGGTTGTGAACGAAGTTGTGATAGGCCGTTTGCGCCTGTGTACTCTAGCCTAATATTGATCTCCGTGCTCTCAGGCACTCGCCCCGCTCAGCAACAGATCGAGGTGCGCACGCCCGAAACGTGGCGGCGTCTACAATCAGCCGCCGAAGAAAATTGCACAACTGAGAGGATTACAACGACCATGTCCTCTGACACGCCCGACTGGTCGCAGAACGTCCCCGACTGGGCCAAGTCGCTCCCGCCGCCCAGGAGCAACCCCGCCCGCATAGATCCCGCCGAGGTCGCAGAGCTCATCCGCACAAAGACGGCAGGCGTCGACTACATCCTCGTCGACCTCCGCAAGGCAGACTGGGACGTGCGTACTGCCATATCGTCTCCCCCCTTCCCCTCCTACACCCTCCTGGACTGACAAAGCGACCTGCAGACGGCATACGTCCGGACGTCCGTGAACCTGCCCGCACAGTCTCTCCACCAGTCGCTCTCGGCGTTGCTGCCGCTGTTCAGCAACGTCCCGCACGTCATCTTCTACTGCAAGGCATGCAGCATCGTCTCGCGCGGTGCCCGCGGCGCGTCGTACTATCAGGACGCCTTGGACGACGCCGGGATCGAGAGCAGCCAGGCGAGAATCCTGACGGGAGGCGTTCAGGGGTGGATAGCACAGTACGGAGAGGACGAAAGCGTGACCGTCAAGATCCAGTAGCGATGCGTGTCACCGAAAGACCAAAATGTACTTGTATCCGCGAATGCACAGGACAAACAGAATGTCTCTACAAACAATATTGCAACTATAGTACACAATTTAGTCCTAGGACGGGACATTGAGACCTCCCCCACCAGCATACACGTTTCCCTTCTCTTTACCCCCATCAATACCCACCTAGTGCAAACCCTGGAGCTTCTCCAGTATGCCCTCCACCTGCTCAGCCTCCAGCGCGATGCGCTCCGCCGCGTTCCGCCCCAGGAGGCACCTCTCCCTGTCCCGCTCCGAGCGCACGAGGAACGACTCGAGCAGGTCGCCGTCGAGGAAGCCCGTCGCGCCGTCCTCGGCATCGCTGCGCCCGCGCGCGTTCGCCGGCGCGCGCCACTGCCCGTGCGCCGTTCCTCCCGGTCCGTCGCCGAGCACGCCTCCGAGGTTCCGCTGCAGCGCCGTCAGCGCCAGCGCGACCCCGTCGTCGCACACGTGGTGCACGAGCCCGACGCGCCCGCTCGACGTCACGAAGAGCTGCTCGGTCTCGAACAGTGAGCCCTCGCCGCCACTGCCACCGCCGCTGTTGTTGCCAACGAGCGCGCCCGGGATGAACTTGTTCACGAGCTCGCCGAGGTGGTAGTGCCCGTTCCGCTCGAGCACCGCGCGCGGGCCCTCGGGGAGGGCGAACGTGAAGAGGTTGCCGTCGGTCTATTATTTTTTCCAGACAGAGTCAGCCGAGGCACACTGAGAAGAAAAAGAATGGGAAAACGAACGTTTGCGCCGATGACGCCGCCGTCCTTGGTCGCCTCGACGGCGACGGGCCAGACAGGGCCGTAGTCCCTCGCGATCGTCCGGAGGTGGCTGCCGCGCAGCACCTCGAGCACGGACACGGAGCTGATCGCGTCGCCCGCGATCAGCCGGCCGCCCCTCGCGACGAGGCTCGTGACAAAGTAGTTGTGGTTCCACGCCGCGACTTTCTCGAGCGCGTGCGCGCCCTCGTGCTCCACCATCCCATACAGGTCAACCTGTCGGCAGTGTCAGCGATGCCACCAGAGCAGCAGCAGCAGCACAGCGCACCGACGTGTTGACGGCAGCCGCCACCCCGTTTTCGACCGCTGCGAGCGCATACACGCAGCCGTTGGCCTCCGCCTCGGCCAGCTTCTTCAGCTCGCGCCCGCCGTCGACCGAGGGGACGACGCCGAAGAGGATGAGCCGCCCCGCCGAGGGCTCGAACTCGCCGTGCTGGTGCTTGACGGTGCCCACGACGAAACAGCCCGGAGCACCCGCCGGCAAGGCGAGCACGGCGGTGATCTCTTCGTCCGGCTCGGCAGTGAAGAGGCTGATGGCTGGGGAAAGGCATACTCAGGCGTGAAATGCCAACAGAGAAAAAACAGGACAAGAAAACCCACTGCTGAAGGTGACGCTGTCCTTGATCTCAAAGGTGCTCTCCTGCAGCTCAGCCTCGCCGACGCGTGCCGGCGCTGACTTGGCGATGGAGACGCCAAAGAGGTTGAGGTCCGAGTGGTACGCAATGCGCCGCGGACTCTCGTGTCCGAGCCCAAACTGCCAACGTTTTTGCAGTCAATACCGATAAGTTCCGCATGCGTAGTCCGGGGGGCCAGGTACTCACCGAGCGTATCTGCATCTTGTCGACCCCCCGGATCTGGCCGACGACAAGGCTCGACGGCGTCGCTAGGATCTGGCACGCCGGGAACGCCGCGGTGTTCAGCCCCGCGCCGACGGCGACGTTCTGTGCGCAAGTTCGATCGATCAGCCCCAAACCCCGTACAGCAGCAAAAAAAAAGCACTACTGCGCACCTTGAGCATGACGGGCGACTGGCGCAGCCGCTGCCGGTCCCAGTAGAACACCGCCGCGCGGCTGCCAGTCGCGAGCACCATCCGGGCACCGTCGACGGTCGACACGGCGAGGCTGACGGGCGCCGCGCCGAGCGCGAAGAGCTTCTGGTCCCGCAGCTCGTTGTTCCGGAAGCTCACGCACGCGACCGTGCCGTCGACGAGGCCTGCGACGACGTAGGGCTGGAAGTCCGCGTCGCGCGTGCTCCGGCCCGCGCCAAAGTTGTGGAGGAGCAGCGAGTGCGCGAGCGCGGGCAGCGGCGCGCTCTCCGTGTGCGTCCCGAGCGCCGGGTCTTTCGTCGAGAGCAGCGTGACGGTGTTGGACCCCCAGAAGGAGACGGCGACGAAGGGCGAGAAGTTCTTGCTCGGGTCGAGAGGCGCGCAGGAGAGGGCGGCGATCTCCTTGCCGTGGAATTCGCGGGTTCTGCTGGGGGTTAAGGATGCACGGTTCTGTATGGAAGCGGTGAACGTACTGTAGCAAGTTGAGTTGTCCGTCTGGACTCAGGTTGAACAACAAGAACGTTCCACCGTTGAGTGCAACAGCGAACTGGCTCGGGTTGATGCTCGCCGCGACAATCTCCTTCGCTCTCCACAAAGGGTTCTCTTGTTTCTGGAGCGACCAGCCGTCGCCGACCTTGTTGAAGGCACCGAGCGCGACATCGTACTCGACCAGGTTCAGTCCTTGCGGGGTGACCTGGACCACTAATGACGAGTTAATGTACGTCGACGCGTTTTGCTGAGTCGTACGCCGGGGGATGTTCGCGACCGCGATCGTTGGCCGATTCGTGACAAGCTCGGTCGCGGAAGGATCTATACGTGTGACTGAATCACCATCGTCAAAGCGCAGGACGAAAGACTCGTAGAGTGTCGTCGCAAGCACGTATGTGTCAGCGCTATACGCCAACGATACGTGAGTGATCTGCTGCGCGGCGTCCACTCGAGCAGAGATACACTTACGGTCCGTCGAAGCTTGTCCTGATCGGCCAGATGTTTGTCACATTGGGGATCTCGTTGAGGACGGCCAGCTCCTGGAAGTCGGCGCCCGTACGGACAACGTTCAGCGAGCCGGTGTTTGCACCTCCTGAGCATGTTATGATTTGAGGCTAATAAGCTACGATCAGCGTCATGTTTGGAGAGGCAAGCGAGAAACTCCACCTGTCCGCTCTCGTCCGGGTCCGCCATCACGGCGTCTACGATTGGCGCAATGTTCGCGTATTGCGTGAGCTCCTCAATAAACCTACCCTTGCAGTTGACAATCTTGCCACCCCTGCCTTCGGGCGTGTCGAACGCATCCCGCATGTCGTAGTCTTCATCCGGGCTCTCTGCGCGGAGTGTACTCAACTCCGCAGGTTTTATTGTGTGTATGCCGCCTGGGATGGGCAACGTATCGCTATCGATGTCTCCCACAGGTGAAGGTGAGATGCGTAGGAGCTGCGAGTTTCCCAGGACCGAACCAACGTACAGGACCTGGGATGATAGGTAGGACAGAGTTGTCGGTGATGAAATCTATGCAGATATCGCTGAGGATTACAAAAAAAACTAGGACAGAAATTCGTCGCACCTCGCCCAATGGGATGATGATTAGTTCTGGATCGTCATTGATTGTCAGAAGACTGAGTCGGCCGAATACATCCCCGACAAAGAATCTTCGCATCTCGTCATCGGCTGGACACCATCTGGAGGCAGACCTGAGCATTTGATTGTAGACAAGCTCGAGAGTAGCACTCACGCAGTAACTTCGCTCCAGGGCCACTTCACCGTCGCCCGTGGCTTGACCTTCTTCAACTCTCTCGCCGCATCCTTTTCTTCTGCGATCCTTATCTGCTCTGCGTTGCCGCTGGCACGCCGCTTCGTCTGCCTCTGCGCCTTGTTCTTGAGGTCGCGGACGGTTTTCTTGTCGGAAAGCTCGTAGAAGTTGACCTTGCGTCCACCGAGGACGATGACTCCGCCTCGACACTTTGAAGGCCGATCTTCCGTGTCCTCCTGTTCTGGTGTTTGAGAGAGCGAGAAGGGGGGCACGGACACGAGCCTGAGGGGCTGCTCGGTAAACGGGAAATGGTTAGCCGGAAGGATGGTGTGCGGAATTGTGTGGGCGATCTCGACCGAAAGGTCCAGAGCGTCAATGTCGAGCTCGCGTGCGAGCAGTTGTATCCGCTGTTTGTGGTCTATGTGCATTATGGCGAGGGTGTGGGTGTGCGCATTCGGTTCGGAATACAGGAAGCTGAGGGCCAGTAGATTCAGCTCGGGTAGGCTAAGGCATCAGGTCAGCGCAGCGACAATGAGCAGGATCGGCCGTGCGCACATCACTTCAAAGTGCTTGTCCACTCCGCCCTTCTTGAATGTCACGACTTTGAGCTTTCCGGCATAACAGCTGACGGCCGCCGCCCTGCCTGCCGGATGGACGACGATGTCGTTCAGGTATTCGGCATGCCGAGCGTTGCGATCGTGCAAGTCCGCGAACCACTTTTCGTCCAGCTCTCTTGTCTCTCCATTGAATGCGAACAGAATTAGCTTGGGATAAGGATGGTCCGTAAGGACGAGCAGGTTCGACACGCCTTCCGCCTGCGTCTGTTAGTAATCCGGCCTTTCCAGAGCTGTCTTGTCGCTCACCTCTGCGGGCACTGCGCAGACCGAGAGAACACGACCCCATATGTCCAATGTGCATTCTTTTCTGAGCCCATCTGGCTGTATTGACGAGACCTCGATGCGATCTGTCTTTGCGACGACGAGGTAGCCAAGCTCGAAGTGATTCACGAGCTTGCACTTGACCGAGCTGACGACAGCCGAGGGTTGGTGTAAGGTTGTCACTATCTTCATGTTGCCGATTCAAACTGCGGGTTTTGCAGCATGAAAAAATATTCAGAAGACGAGCTGTAATCTCACAATCGGGCGCTAGGTCTGAAACGCAGCCGATCAATGTCGTCGTCATCTTGCCGGACTCCCACGTGGCGATAATGTATGGGCGCTAATTAAGACCATGTGATTTGCCCCAGATCGGGAGATCCGACGCGCCGGCGTCTACCCCGCCTTCATAACTGCTCCGGCCAAAGGGCGAACAAGCCATACACTCCTCCTCGTCGCCTTCGTTCATCATCTAGGAGGCTCTGCATCTACTTTCTCTCCCAAGTACTCTAATATTTGCATTGATTTTGTCATGTTGCGCTCCGCATCCCGTTCTGTAAAGCCTTCGTTCAAGGCATTGCGCTCAACCGTGCCAGCAGCAGGTAGTAGCAGGTGAGTAGACTGGCTACGATCCCACGCAACCATAATAACATCTAACGGCATAAATAGGGCATTTGCTCGCACTGCTGTGGCTGCTTCTGAGTCAGGACTGAACTCGTTAGATACATTCACAGAGGAAGAGCAGATGCTCCGAGAGACTGGTAAGTAGGCATGCCATGTCATGAGATACTCCACTTGACTGAACAAGTTCAACGCAGTTCAGCGTTTTGCCCAAGATGTTATTGCACCCAAAGTTCGCGAGATGGACGAGAATGAAATGATGGACCCAGAAGTCGTCAAGGGCCTGTTCGAGCAAGGCGTATGTGGACCTCCCTTGTCACACCCTCGGAAATGCTGAAAGTCTCTTCACAGCTCATGGGAATCGAGACTCCGGCCGATCTCGGGGGCTCCGAATTCTCATTTACGTCTGCTATTATCGCTATCGAAGAGCTCGCGAAGGTTGATCCGTCTGTCTCGGTAATGTGCGACGTGCACAATACGTTGGTCAACACGGTCATACGCAAGTACGGCACGAAGGAGCAACAGGAGAAATTTCTACCATTGCTCGCACAGTCTCAGGTCCGTCCTCGCGCACCTTTCCGTAGATGAACAAAATGTATTCACCGCTTGCAGGTCGGCAGCTTTTGTCTCTCGGAGCCCGCGTCCGGCTCGGATGCGTTCGCGCTACGAACATACGCAAAAAAGGATGGTGACAGCTGGGTCATCAACGGCTCGAAGATGTGGATCACGAACTCGCACGAGGCTGAGGTCTTCCTCATTTTTGCCAACGTCGACCCGAGCGTGGGTTACAAAGGCATCACCTGCTTCCTCGCGACGAAGGACATGGGCGTCCAGATCGCGAAGAAGGAGCAGAAGCTCGGCATCCGCGCGAGCTCGACCTGCTCGCTCAGCTTCGACGACATGCGCGTCCCCGCGGCGAACGTCGTCGGCGAGGTCGGCAAGGGTTACAAGATCGCGATCGAGATCCTCAACGAGGGCCGCATCGGCATCGCCGCGCAGATGCTCGGGCTCGCGCAGGGCGCGTTCGACAAGGCCGTGCCGTACACGTTCGAGCGCAAGCAGTTCGGACAGCCCGTCGGCACCTTCCAGGGCATGCAGTTCCAGATGGCGCAGGCTGCCGTCGACATCGAGACCGCGCGGATGCTCACGTACAATGCGGCGCGCCGCAAGGACGAGGGGCGCGACTTCACCAAGGAGGCCGCCATGGCGAAGTACTGGGCGAGTGTCGTCGCCCAGCGCGTCTCGGGCAGCGCGATCGAGTGGGCGGGTGGTGTGGGCTTCACCCGTGAGACAGGCATTGAGAAGTTTTGGAGGGACTCGAAGATCGTGGGTAGAATCACACGTATGGTGAGCGGTGATACTGATATGCACATCTACAGGGAGCAATATACGAGGGAACGTCCAACATTCAACTGCAGACGATTGCAAGGTCTATCTACAAGCAATACTCATAGGCGTAGGCCGCTCCAGGGATATCCAGGCATGGGGAGAAGGGACGGGCTATTATACATATGTATGCTAGCGCGACGAGCGGAGCAGGAAAACACTGGATTGTTATGAAGATGACTTGTGAGCCGGACGTTTACCAGTCGTCCGCATGAAGATGAGCATGCCCTCATACACGGCCCAGCCGATAGCAGAACTCAGGACTTTTCGTGACAGACGAAGAACGGCGCCGTCGAAGAAGCCGGGGAGACCGCGTTGCTAGAGCAGATAGAACGCGTTAATGGCTGCGATAGTGCATTAATACCGTTCATACCTTCCACACGGTGGTGACGGTTTGCGTAAGCCCATGATACCGCGCCTCTCTTCGGACCTGCATTTTTGTCTGCAGGCGAATGTCAGTGCTAGCCCTACAACTCGGCAGCATATAAAACTAGGAATACACCTTTACGACATCGAATGGGTGAGTGACCATAGTCGCAATCGCTCCTGCCGAAGCAGCAGAAAAACTGTGCACTCCGGCCGCGTGCAGCGACGACGTTGACGGCATGAGCTGGTCTGAAGGGCTCGTCAGCACACCCGAAAGGAATAATAGATGTATCACTACCCACTCATCTCGTGTTTGATGCCCTCATAAAACACCACGAACAGCCCCGCATACGGGGCGTCCCGAAGTGCGGATGGCAAGACACCGACGAAGAGCTCAGAGGGGCCGCCGCGCACCATTGATCGCATGGCCCCAAACAGGCTGCTGTACGCGTAGAAGTTGCTCTACCAGTGCAAACACATCTTAGCGAGGAGCGTGCAGCGACTCCACGTCTCGACCAGGGGAAGCGCACCTCATATCGCGCCTTCAGCACCGAGAATGGGTTCAGGACGAAGCCGACTGAGACACGCGCGACGGCGCCGGCAACGAGGTTTCCCTGACTTGTGAGCTTCGGAAGTGTCGTGCCATGTGCGGTGGGTTCAGCGGTGCGAATATGTTTGAAGTAGGGAGAGGTTGAGAGAAACGTTCGGAGCTGGTTGAGACCTGTGAAGTACAGTGCGACGCCAGGGATGTTTCTGCAAAGGTGGGGTTAATAATGGAGGGGCGAACGATGTGCATACGTGAACGTACCGAAGAAGAGTTGCTGTTGTACCACGCCATAGTCCTATAACACCATTGGTGCGTACAACTTCGCGTGCAGTGCCAATGATGCGCAATCCGGGCCTAATATCCATAACTTCATATGCTGTGGTGCTTCGCGTGCATGGATACTCACTTTTGACCCACTGTTTGGCCATCGCCCTGCTGCATACGCGTCTTTAACAGGTCAACTATTCCAGGGCCAGTCAGCGTATGGTTGAGAACTGTCTTCTCGCCACGTACACGGCTGCAGAGCTATGCCCGACGCGAACCCCGAGAGGGCACCTGCAAAGCATCAGCCAGAGAGGGTATACACAGGCCGAAGCGACTTGCCCGAAACCAGGTGCTGGCTGACATTGCTCATACGCTCTGCTACCTGTGACTGCAAAAAATGCAGCTCTCAACCGTGTGCCGAATGTCGTGTGCGATGACGGCGCGGAGTGACAAGTTCTGCTGCCTGCCGCCCAGGCGCGTCGGTGACGAGACGCGCTGGAATCTCCAGACGCCCTAGACCCTTCGTGACTTCTGTCGCCCTTGTCAGCACCATTTCCGTCCCGGTGACTTTTGGAATTATTCTCTGATGATGTTATGGTAGGACGTCATTGATGCAGCGATATTAATGTACATTGTGTTATGATCTGACACCTTTCTAGCAGAAGTTACCACTCTTCTTCTTCCTCTACTTGATCCAGTGGCGGCCATAAGCTGTCTATCTCGGGAGCATCTTGGCTCTCCTGTCCATCCTCCTCGGCTTTGCGCTGGGGCTTGCAGCCTGCCGCCTTCAGCTGCTCCACCGTACGCCAAAACGTCGCTTCGGCGGAAGCGACCATAGAATCTGCGATCTCTGGGAGATGTGCTGAGTCCAGTGGCTCGGACAGCAGAGGTGCGAGATCGGCCGAGCTCCCTTGGGGAGATAGCCTCGGGTATGGTCGTTGCTTGTAGAATAGAGTGAACAGAGGATTCACAGGCGAGGCTAGTTCCTCTTCCGCAGGCTCTGAGTGGCAGAGACTGAGAGTGGCATCAAGGAATGGCCGGAGTAGCTCCTCGGGACTGCGCTCGTCGGCGTTGGCCTCTATGAGAGGCATGGAAATGTACAAGACCCCTTCATCTGATATGAGCAATAAAGAATTGAATAGGAGTGAGCGTCGCTTACATTTCTCTCTTGGGCAGGCCATGCTAGCCTCTCCCGTGACCAAGACATGAACGGCAGCTGACTGGGCGCTTGTTGGGACAGCAGATGGAGGGAAGACGAGAACAGCCGTATCGACCTCCTTCGAGGGAGACGAGGAAGAGTCACCGCCCTCGTCCTTTGTCTCGTCCTGTGGAGCCTCTTCTGGAACCTCAGAAGACGCGTGCAGCATAGAAAATGACAATGGTCGGTCGAGGACGGCTATGCATCGCGCCCAAACACAGTCATTACGGCTGGTGGAGGGTGGAACAGTCGCGATAGAAGTCGCGTGCGATGGGAGGACACTGGCGTAATTCAGACTACTGACGAGCACATCGCAATTCATGATTTCCGGTAAGTCCTCAAGTCGTAGTGTATACCTCTTCTGCTTCGTGCTTGACGACTCATTGCACTCCACGGACGCGACCTGACGGCCCAAGATATACGTTGCTCCAGCGACAGCTGCCGTCCTACAGAATCCTTGAGCGATCTCGCCGACACCTCCATAGTGCCCCATTAGGAACGAGGAAGGGCCATATCGACCGTTAGATCGCAAATATCGCCTGATACGGTGTAATGCAGGGAGAGTAGGGTCTGATACTAATCAGTCTAATGTCACTGAGGGCGAGGCCAAGCAACACTTGCCGTTGTGGGAGACGCAGAACGCAAGGGCATATGTGATGGCTCGTATCGCCTCCTCGTCTAGAGAGAATTTGTCCTTGAGGAAGGTCGGGAAGGGCGTCTGCTCGTATGTCTGTAGTTCCGGCATGTCTTCGAAGTCTTTGCCTGCAAACATGAGGAAGCGCATCAAGCGTCGCTTTTGCACGAGGCTAAGCTGCCTGTTCTTGAAGATATCCTCTTTGTTCCCCGGGACAGGCTTCGCGACTCCTGTACTCTCGTACAGCGCAACTTGTTCAAGAAGCTTGAAGCCACCATAACGTGAAACTCCGGAGGCTATCAGGTTGTCGATGAGAGGGCCGATCGAAGGGATGATCGTCGGATAGAGTGATATAGCGTATTGTCGAGATTGAGAAGGCACAGCCCCAGAGTATGAGATGTTCGTGAATCGTTTGCGCTGACTATGAAGATATGTCGACGAAGGCTCCTTCCCCGAGGCTCGCTCATCAGCCCAGGTAATAAGCTCATCTATAGACAGCGAAGCATCGTCGTCGCCGTAATACGGGTTCGCGTCGATGTGTCCTACTTTATATCCAGCTTTGGATAGCGCACTTGGTGGATCGTTTCAGAAAGGCTGGGTATTTGACGAGAGGTAGAGCTCACGCAGCGACTATTGATTCTGTCAAACCACTCCCGAGCACGACAACGTCCAAGTCCATGGCAGTAAGATAGTGGTACCCGGATAGTAGTACTCGTGCGAGTAGAACCAAATCACCGTGGCGTGCGAGTAGATAAAGACGCGTGATGATTAAGGCGAAGGCTTATCCTTCATTTTATTGATTACTCGTATCTTTAACCAGATGGCCTGAAAGTAAGTAACTGGTTCCTTACAATTTGCTAACCCCTTACATGCCCTGTTCCCAACCTTGCTCTTTATATACCCAGCGCTGCATGCCCCTGATCGACCCTAAATCTCCTGTTACTTCCGCTTACCCCACCGCTCCAGTTTCATCCTGCTAGCCGCCTGCGCCCGAGCCACCGCAGGCGGTCGAGAACTAGAAGGCTCGAAAAACAAAAACCTATGTGAATCTATATTTTCGCACAGCCTAGGGCGGGGAATGCAAGTGAGTGAGCATACACTAGCCGCGAAGACGCCAACCTCGATCGCGAGAACAGCTGCTACCGGGACAATATTTGTCGCGTAGCGGAGCGAAGCTGTCTCTTGTTTATTCACAAGCAGGTCACATCACTTCACATTCAGGAAGAAGCCATATAAGCCTGATCACAGATGTACTTGACGCTTGTGCTTATGCTTTGAAATGAGCAAAGCTTTCTGTCACGGTCACAAGCGTCTGTCTGTTAAACCGAAAATTTCGGGAACTAAATGTTAGGATTTGCTTGCTCCCAGCCATCCATCACACCCTTCCCTCCGTCACTCGTCCCTTTACTTCTACACTCAAAATGGCCGCTGACAAGGGTTCAAAAGTTACCAAGAAGGCCGACAAGAAGGCTGCCAGCAAAAAGACCGACAAGAAGGCCGTGAAGGAGGTAGTTGAGCCTAAGAAGAATGGCGTCCCCATCTCTTCGAAGGAGATTCTTGAGAAGGAGAAGAAGGGGAAGGAGGTCAAGGACAAGGTACGTAGGGTCTGCCTTCCTTGTTCCACTTGTCCTCAGCTCCCTGCAGAAGGGCAAGAAGCCCGTGAAAGAGGAAATCTCGAGCGAGTCTTCTGAGTCCGAGTCCGAGGAGGAGAAGCCAGCCCCCAAGGCCGTCGTCAAGGGCAAGGTCAACGGCAAGGTACGTTACTACCACAATTTCAATTTGTGCCGTGTTGATGAAGCGCAATAGGCCAAGGCTGAGTCTTCAAGCGAAAGCGAAGACGAGATAAAGCCCGCCGCAAAAGCGACGCCCTCAAAAACTGCTGCTAAGGCACCTCCTGCAAAGGAGGACGAATTATCTGAGTCCTCCGAGGATGAATCTTCCGAAGACGAAAAGCCCAAGGCCGCTCAGGTGAAGGCAGCCCCCGCCAAGAAGACAGACTCATCCGACTCTTCTGATGAGAGCTCCGAGGGTGAAGCACCCAAAAAGGCTCAGGCCACCCCCGCTAAGAAGGCTGCTCCCGCGAAGGCCACCCCTGCGAAAGCGATACCTACGAAGAACGCAGAGTCGTCGAGCTCCAGCAACGATAGTGACTCAGATTCCGACTCTTCAGAAGAAGAAGAGGAGAAACCTACCGCTAAGGCTGCTCCCATGAAGAAAGCTGCTCTCGTGAAGAAGGCTGCTGAGGCTGCTGAGGCGAGCTCTGAAGAGTCTGACTCGGACAGCTCCAACGAGAAGTCCTCCTCGGAAGAGGAATCCGAGGATGCCGAGATGGATGACGCTACCGCCAAGACTGTTGCCAACGGCAAGCGCAAAGCAGAGGGCGAGGCTGCTAAGCCAGTGAAGAAAGTCAAGGTCGATGAAGCTGCTGATGATTCTGCATCAACGAAGACCATCTTCGTCGGCAAACTCTCATGGAACGTGGACAATGACTGGCTCGAATCCGAGTTTGCCGAGTGCGGCGAAGTCGTATCTGCGCGTGTGCAGATGGACCGCAACACTGGCAAATCCCGCGGCTTTGGCTTCGTAACATTCGCGTCACCCGAGGCTGTCGATAAGGCGCTCGAGCTCAACGGCAAGGAGATCGACGGTCGGCCGATTAACATAGACAAGAGCGTCGAAAAAGACCAGAACCAGGTCCGCGAGAGGCGCGCCAAAGCATTCGGCGACGCCACCAGTGCGCCTTCAAGCGTGCTCTTCGTCGGGAACCTTTCCTTCGACGCGACCGAAGATCAGCTTTGGGAAGTCTTCTCCGACTACGGCTCCGTCAAGAGCGTCCGCATGCCCACCGACCGCGAGAGCGGCCGGCCGAAAGGCTTCGGCTACGTTGAATTCGAGGACGTCGAATCTGCCAAGAAAGCGCATGAGGGCCTCGCGGGCCAGGAGATCGCTGGCCGTGCGGTCCGGCTCGACTTCTCGCAGCCGCGTGACGACAATGGCGGCGGACGCGGTGGAGGTCGTGGTGGCTTTGGAGGTCGTGGTGGCTTTGGAGATCGTGGCGGCTTTGGAGACCGTGGCGGTTTTGGAGGTCGCGGCGGCTTCGGAGGTCGCGGAGGCCGTGGCGGCTTCGAAGGGCGTGGTCGTGGTGGGGGACGTGGTCGTGGTGGTGATCGCGGACGTGGAGGTCGTGGTGGCGGTCGTGGTGGTGCCAGGACAGGAGCAGTCCAGGGCTTCGAGGGCAGAAAGACCACCTTTGATTAATGCTCGTTTCTTGGGTCGTGTTTTGTACTCATGTTGTTTGGTCTCGCATTGTAGGTCAATTCTCGCAGAGTATAGCATCCTCGCACCCTCGCTATATCATCATGCTTCATTTCTCTGGAAGTTGCTCATATTCGGAGTGTATCCAATCTGACGAACAAGAATAGTGCTCGAGACGAAAGTGACGTGTACGATATATGAACAGTCAATAAAACTGGAGACGACGAAGGACCAATGCGTCAATATGTTCCCTGTTGTGAATCGACCATCTCATTTTCTGAGGCCTCCAAAGCCGGAGAGCCCGAGGCTTGGTCCGGGGACTGTAGGCGCTTGCCTTCGTGTCGTTCCCAGTCCGGAGGACATACACCTTGATCCTATACTACCCTCGGCCATGCGTCCTTCACTACGTCTCCTGAATGCTGCCTCGCACAGAGTGCACAAACCACTTATTCAATTTGTTGGAAAGCGGCAATGGCCCTCAAGTGCGTCTGAAGAAAGCCTTGTACACCGTTAATGCGGGTTAACCGAGTTCGCTAGCACCGGAACCTCAGCACCCACATCCGTTCGCGCCCACTGAGCTCCAAAACGCGTTCTCAGACTTTCTGAACAAGTTTAAGGCTTCTGCATCTGCAGAGGGCTCCTCTCAGTCTTCGATGGCTGCGAGCTCCGCCAGTGGCAAGAACGGAGAGACCGTGCAGGTGTTCACGGACTTCTGGCAAGCCCCGGAAAGGTTATGGAGACGGCGAATATCGGAAGAGGAGATTGAGGTTATTACAGTGCGTACAAAATGTCTTGTGTCGCTATGGTGTGTTCACAATCTGGGCAGAGCGGAGGGGCATACTAGGTGCCAAGTCCGATAACGGCCGACGTCCAAGTAAACTCCTGTACTGCTGATAGCTCACCGGCCTCCTCGCATGATTCATAGTTTTCACTTGTGTCGCGACAAGCTGTCCCAGGTGTTTTGACCTCCTTGTAGCGTCAGCCTTTCACCAGAAACGTTCGACGCTGGAGTCTATCACGCTGGATCCTTACAGTGTGCTCCTAGGAGTCTAGGACGCGATCATAATGTTACGCGATCATAATGTTGGGTACACATGTCAGACCTCCCCCATCTCAGCTCGTGTACGTATGTTTTATGCTCACTGCACCCACTGGGCCTATTCAGCTGCCCGAGGTATGGCTAGGAACTTGGTTTCGGCTGCGATATCCTCCCTCGTAGCTGACAATTCGGTGCTTAGTCTCAGTGTCCACCGGTCACCTTTCACTCATTTGAGAGAGCTTCCCCTTAATGCCTGTCACCCTCGACTGCTTCAGATGGCCAGTATATGTTTCATGCGTCCTGCCCACATTCTTTGGAAACGTAGTAGACTGACACATTGCCGTGAACGGTACCCTGATCCGCAGCTTTATCCCATATGCATCCTTTGCGTTCTCATTTGGATCGTCCACTGTCTCTTGCTCCAGTGTAGGCGTGCGCTAAAATTGTGCTCCTACATCTGGATCGACGATATAGGTAACGGCAATTCGTATATATCCCACAAAGAATCCCAGTAGCACATGGACTATGATCAAGGTATACGTTCTATCGAAATAATAGGCAACTGAACGCGGCAAGTTCACAACCACTATTGTTGGTTAGATTCTCACGAGCTGATATAAGAGGTCGCAGGCTAAGGGGGTACAAAAGGCCTCAAGGACCCAATTTAGCGTAGGAGTGGCTCTCCTGCACCCACTCCCTCAGCTAACCGCACAAAGACATGGGTCAGAGACACCAGGCCTTCATCGTCGCCAAGGTAAAGCCCCACGGCTCTTCCACGGCCAGTTACCGCTGCATCGCTGCCTACCACAGCCAATGGTGCTACGGCACGCTCCCTGTACGGGCTACATACCGTGTCCTGAGCGCAGTCAAGCAACCTGAGAACGCTGAGGTTATCCGCGAAGAGCTGCGCGGCATTGATGGCAAGTACGGCCCGCTACCAGCAGAAGCCGTCGATTCCGCAGGTGCCTTGTCCGTTTATCGCGACCATCCTTGCGAACAACTGGGACATCGACCTGTCGCCCAAGAGCGCTTATTTTGGTGGCGTGTCCCTTGAGAATGCGATGCTACATGCAGGGATGCACATGTGGAGCGGCGATGCGTATTACTAGCCAATCTGCATAGCCAAGCTAATGCACCTCCAGACAACAACGACGGCATCACTATCATCGACGTCACGAATCCTGGCGACCCGGCGTACGGCTTCTATAGCGGCGGGACTCCAGAACCGGAGAACGCAGAGAAGTACATCAGTCACTACTACGCTATTCCCGAACGTAGAGAGGCACCGGATTCTGATTTTGAGGAAGACCCGTCAGGTGCAGCGTTGCTCGATGTTGGCCTGACAGAGGACGAGTTCACAGAGCGACTCGACGCCATTGACACTCCCGCAGCTCGTGCCAAGGCCGATAGGCGTTTCGAGAAGTCGATCTTAGAAGCTATAGACGACCTGCAAGACGCGCAAGTTTTGAATCCCTGTGCTGTCCGAGAGGCCTGGCCCTCGAAAACTGATCTCAAGCAGGAGGAGAGAGCAGACGGATCTGGCGCGGACGCATCTAACGCAGACGGATCCGGCATGGACAAATCTAACGCAGACGGATCCGATGCGGACGAATCTGACGCAGACGGATCCGATGCGGACGAATCTGACGCAGTCGTGAAAACCGGTACCGGTGTCCCTCCACTGGTCGACATCTCGCTGGTCAGGTCGATCGAACAGTCTATCAAATCGGAAGACACAAGCGTCCTGGAGGACCTGCACTTACTACCGGAGAAGATGGACATTGTTGACGACACGCTCCGTGCCCTCTCTCCCTTTCCTGATGCCGCAGTGCCGCTCCTGGCGAGATTGGTCAAGGAGAGATATTACCGGCACACCTCTCTGAACCTAGCCGGCTATCCTCTGACGGCAACTCAGATCCTTGGCGTCGCCACAGGTCTGCCGAAAGTAAACTCGCTCAATGTGTCGAGGGACGATGTCCTGACTGTCGCTGACGTCCGTCAGTTGCTTGAAGGACTTCCCTCGCTGAACAGACTTATTCTCATGAGTTACTCCTCTCTCGAGCCCTCTGAGCTCATAGCACTCGTTCACGACGTCCCCGAGCTCTTCCGTCACATGTATTCCCTCTTGCACCCCGTATTCATGCGCATGCCTGCATCTCCACAACGGTCGGGCTTCATCGTGACCTCGTCGTCGGAACCATCGGGCTTGCCTGTGCGCATGACCGCCGTGACCTTCAAGCAGTCGTGGCCGCTATCGCAGGGCGTCTCCTTCCCGTTCGTCTCACCCGCAGCGGTCGTGCAGGGCCTCACAGACGCGACCTTCTCACTGGCTGCGCGCACGATATTGGCGCCGACCTGTACATGAGCGGCGGGCGCGCGATAGAAGTCGCCTTCACTGGTCTGCCCCGCGTACCTGGCACGCCCTGGCATGCACGCGTTGCCACGATGCCCCTTCCGCTCGAGATTCGCACTGCTTTCGTGTCAGAGGGCTGGGTGCTTGTAATGGTTCCCCCGGCCCGACTAGTACTTGGGTCGAGTGCGGGGTACGCGTTCTTGTGCCTGAGACCGGATACTACGGGGGAGGAGGAAACAGGAGAGGAGAAAAAGAAGGGAGAAGATGCGAAGGATGTTGCTCAGGCGGCTTCGCAGAGTGGGGAAGAAGCGATGGCGGCGACAGAGACTGCTCAGAAGAAAGAGGACACGAACGACGAGGGAGCCGGGGTCCTCAACAGTTCCGAAGACGCGTCGGAACCCCCGACGCCGACGATCTCCCAGAAAGACTCGAACACAGCCAAGCAGCCGATGACCAGGAGTCACGGCATCAACTACGAAGTACATGACCTTCGGAGCTTCCTGCGCATGACGGAGCAGGAGGGATGTCCCAGCATCCCCAAAGACTCGGTTACCGCTTTGGAGGCATTGATCCAGAAAATGAGATGGCCTGTTCACAACAGGGAATGGGTTGATACATTGATCCTTCGTCGTCTCCCGTTCTGTTGACCACTTATGTCTCAGACTCGCCACTTTTATGTATATACTCTTGTTCATCAGGTTGAATGCACTCAGAGTACGAGCAGAGAGATGAAGCATATTTTTTAAGCGGAAACGCGTGCATGCTACACTCTGCGAGAACCAACCTACAGTGCGAGACCAGACAGCATGAGTAAAACACACAGCCCAAGAGACGAGCAATTAATCGAAGGTAATCCTCTCGCCCTAGAAGCCGAAGCTTTCGACATCTCTTGGCCTGCCACCGCCACGGTCTCCACGTCCACGGTTACCACCGCGACCACGTCCTCCACCACGACCACGGCCCTCGAAGCCGCCACGACCGCCACGGTCTCCAAAGCCGCCACGGTCTCCAAAGCCGCCACGATCTCCAAAGCCACCACGACCTCCAAAGCCGCCGCGTCCTCCACCGCGTCCGCCGCCGTTGTCGTCACGCGGCTGCGAGAATTCGAGACGGATGGCACGGCCGGCAATCTCCTGACCCACAAGGCTCTCGTGTGCTTTCTTGGCAGACTCGATGTCCTCGAATTCAACGTAACCGAAGCCTTTCGGCCGGCCACTGTCGCGGCTGGTGGGCATGTGGACGCTCTTGATGGAGCCGTAGTCGGAGAAGACTTCCCAAAGCTGTTCCTCCGTCGCGTCGAAGGAAAGGTTCCCGACGAACAGCCTGCTCGAAGGTTCACTGGGAGCGTCGCCGAATGTCCTGGCGCGCCTCTCGCGGACCTGGTTCTGGTCTTTTTCGACGCTCTTGTCTACGTTGATCGACCGACCGTCGATCTCCTTGCCGTTGAGCTCGAGCGCCTTATCGACAGCCTCGGGTGACGCGAATGTCACGAAGCCAAAGCCGCGCGACCTACCAGTATTGCGGTCCGTCTGCACATGCGCAGATACGATCTCGCCACACTGGGCAAACTCGGATTCGAGCCACGCATTGTCCACGTTCCATGAGAGCATCCCGACGAAGATGGTCTTGGTTGGTGCAGAGCCATCGTCGACTCTAGCTTTTTGCGCTGGTTCAACAGCCTCGCCCTCGAACTCAGCGTAGTTGAGGCCCTTCAGGTGACTGCTCTCGTGGTCGGTGGACATGCGGTCTATGTTGATCGGCCGGCCGTCAATCTCCCTGCTGTTGGGTTCGAGCGCTTTTTCGAAAGCTGCTGGCAAACTCAGGTAAGCTGTGTCAACGGTGTACAAGGCTTTTTCAGACGCACTTGAGAACTGCCGCTTCCCGACGAATTGAATGAGTGGTCTGTGTACTCTGTGTGAGACGGCATTCAGGAGACGTAGTGAAGGACGCATGGCTGGGGGTGGTATAGGATCATAGTCTCCGTCGCTGACTATATACCTTTTTTGGATTTGGATGATAAGTCCATCCGAATCCGTACATAGTCTGCGTAAAAAAGCGGGCCACGGCACTTACGTTAATCGTTAATCGTACGTTAATCCCTTTACGTAATACTTTTTTTTGGCTGCTTGCAGCGATCCCTTGTATCGATTTTTTTTTCGCAACCAATAATAAGCAGTCGAAAAATGCTTGCATGTCCCACACAAGAGGCCGCTTCGCTGCGCTCCGCGACTGCTGTCCTCGTGGATGTGGTTCTGCGGGCGCGAAATTTTAAGCTCAGATTTATCGATTTTACTCGCTGCGAAGAACAGCGCGCATAGGTCTGCAGCATGGAAAGCCGCGCTGGGCGCGGCGTCAGCAAAGGAGAGCGGAAGCAAATATCGTGTCCAATCAAGGAGAATAACGAAACAGGGGCGGTCAAAAGATATATAATACGAGGGATGGGAGAGGGGGGCCCCTGGAGCAAGTTTCTTACTCTGAGTCTGCGTGATAGTATAGTAAAGTAATGGTAATGGTAATGGTAATAAAGTCCTTACCGGTACACTGCAGTCACCCGGTAAAGACATCACACTCGGCGCACTAAGTAGAGACTCTCGCGATCATCATTTGCCGAAAATGGACCACGCCGCCTCCGCTCAAGTTGGCACTCCTCGGTGCTATCCATCACGCCGCCTCCGCTCAAGTTGGCACTCCTCGGTGCTATCCATCCCGCCAACTCCTTGTCGCCCACGGCAACAGTGTACGCGGGTCGTGTTTAAATGCTTTTATATGCACCTTGAGTCGTCCATGTCCAAGAGAGATACGAAAAGTCTTCCCTCTAGGAGAGAAATTGCAATATGCATAGGTAGCGTGCAACAATGTGGGATGGACGTTCGGCCGCTCCCGCCTGGCATAGCATGATTTATACAACTGCACTAGTACTGTCCTTATTCGCAGCTCATAAGCCCATAAAGAGGATGATGGAAGACAGAAACGCAGAGGTAAAGCACACACAAGACTCCCATCACCCAGCACTAAGTAGTAAAGGCTAGGCCTGCGGGGAAATGAGACAAACCGATATGGCGGTGGTTATAATTGGAGCTCTGGTAAGGGTAAGCTGGCCGGTGACTTGGTATGTCGTCAGAATGCTTGACATTCTGCTCCAGAGGAAAGTAAACGGCAACTGTTCCCGCAGCTATGTGCAAGAGCAGGCCACCCACGGCACTAGTAGCACGTCAATTAGGACAGTAGAGCAAACACTTACAGGATCTCTGCACAAGGTTGCGATGGAGCTCATTAGCTTGACGGCCTAGTACTTGATCAGGCTCTCGGTTAATCGTGTACCGACTACTGTACCACTAGAGCACGGGACATTGTATTCAAAGATACAATTCAAACTAGCCAATCTGCATGTTATAAGGCGATGCGCCATACTTTCAACAGCCTCAGTCCCCAGCATGAGCAGGAGGCCCGTCGGCGTGTCAACTCCTTTGATTGTTTACTCGAATCAGAAACCATATAGCCGCGAGGCGATATCGTGTCAACAGCTCTTGTACTGCGCTGCGTACAGACGCCTTACCTCTAGCATGCTAAATTCAGGCAGCCTGCACCACGAGCGTGTGTGTGAACGCTCAGACTCGTCGCGTTTACACCAAAGTGACTTAGCAAGCCAGCCCTTAATGCACCCTTGTATCCAAGGCTTGATAAGAGAGGGCAGGGATTACGCTGAACTCGCAGACATGGGAAAGATGGCGTCATGTTAACTCACGGTGAAACCCATTCAAAGATCGGTTCGTCGGTGCCAAAGCGCAAGGGCCGAGAGCGTGTCGGTGAAACAATCCGTAGACATACAGGTCATTAATCCTTCTCTGCATAAGCCAGCAAGTGCGTCTCTACTTCATCCTCGGGCATGACACGCCACTTGCCGCGAGTCTTGGTGTCCTCGCCCTCAGCATCCGAGACGATGCCGATTTCGACCTCTCCCGGCTTGAAGTCTGTCGCATGGACGGTCGATATCGCTTCGATGGCCATCTACAGCAAACTATAAATATTTATACCAAGCTTGGGATGCGGAGTGAGCACGTACCTCGATGACCTCTGCCCGATTGAGTGTCTTGCCAGCTTTCGCTGCGTCCTCGCCACCATTGCCGGAATCGAGTTTCTTCCACTTCTTCTCAAGGTGATTCATGGCTTCTTGTTGCTTCTGTCCAGCGGAAGCAGCATGGAAGCCGACGAAGTAACCCGCAGGGTCGAGCTTAAAGCACTGGGGGCCGAACTCCGGATCGATGCCAATGAGAATCATCGCTATGATCGGTATGATAAACATCTTTAGTCGTGCTATCCAAGCACTAGTCACTCACAAGTTCCCAGAGGCCGCATAGCTGCGCGTTGAGTGTAGACCTGATTGATATTCGCGATACGTCTAGCAAGCGCATCTGGTGTAATCTCGTAGCCGTACTTGTGTCGAAATTCCGCTGCTTCTGAGCGGGCACGGGTAACCTGTGCCTGTGAATCCGCTGGTCATTCACCAAAACTCTTCAGCGCCTTTCCAGAGAACAGTACGGAAGTGGCGAACGCACCAATAAGACCAGTCATGACGCAGCCTATTGTTGGTGTTATACTGTACAAATGTGTTATAGTACTGGCGTCGAGGAGCTTGTCCTATCAAGCGGTGCGGTGCTCAGGCATGAATGTCGGAAGGGAGATGGGACATGACGTACGGGTACTTTCTTCTGCGTAATCACGACCGCAGTGTCCTTCCCTCTCACAGCAATCGCTGTATGGCCAGAGCCTGTGATGGCCTTGAAGGCATATTCTGGATGACACCGTCAGCTCGCACGTCTCGCCCTTGATTCCGCAAGCCCTCAGCCTTTCACAGTACTGACCGACTTGGTACAGTCGTCCCTCTGGGGAGAAGACAGTCAGGTATCTGTGTACGGTTGAGAGTTAAACTATAGTCTTTAAGTGTAGCAGTGAGTAGCACAAGATTACCTATCATATGAGGTTCTGGACATGGTCGGAGGATAAGTATGGACAAGGGGTGTGCGTGAGCTTGAGGACGCGCAAGTCACGTAGACGCCTACGCACGCGTCGGCGTCCAAATTGGGCGCGTCTGCTTCGGGTTAGGGCTATAACTTCCTGACCATTGACCTGCGCTCAGCTCTTCTTCATCGGATAACCTTCTATCTCTGTGGCTCCCAAGTGGGCGGAGACTGTGAAGGGCTACTCCCGGGTTGGATTGCGCATTCTGACTCGGCTCGGGACATCTGGACACGCTTTCGCGGGTACTGACTTCAGTAAGCTGGTAGGTCAAGAGTCAAGATGAAGGAGACAGTGTCCCATCAAGCTCCTAAGGTCATGTATGCGGAATATATCTCTCAAAGTGTGTTTGGGTACTCACGAAGTTGGCAGTAAAAAGCTTCAGTTCAGTCTCTTCAACAGTCAGGATACTGTGAAGCTCGCAGAGTTCGAGGTCACGCACAGAGACCTCTACACTGCTACCGATCGTCTTCCGGTGAAGAATGGTGTTCTCGACAGACGATTGGTGAGTATGCCACGAGTTTGAACTACGCCCTTGTGCGCTGATTGCTGTGTAGGGTACGACGGAAAAGAATGCCTTCTGCGAAACCTGTGGATTGAACTCGGTAGACTGTGTCGGGCACTATGCCTACATCAAGCTTGCTGTCCCTGTCTTCCATATTGGCTACTTCAAGCACTGCATAACTATTCTGCAATGTATCTGCAAGGTGGGCCTTAAGCTCTGACTGTCGAGGTATGCGCTTACAGTGCACCAGTCATGCGCGAGGGTTCTCTTGGAGGAGCCAGATCGCCGTTCTTACCTTAAGCGATTTCGACGTCCAAGCCTAGAGAACATCCAACGGCAAGCTCTAATCAAGGCCGTGAATGCTCTCGCGCGGAAGACCGTCTACTGTCCATACTGTGCGTCCACGAACGGTGCTGTGAAGAAGGCCAGCGCACTGAAAATTATCCACGACAAGTTCCGGGCAAAGAAGACGGTAGATGAGATGGAGAAGTGGAAAAAGACTTTCAGCTCCGCCATCGAAGCCCAGAAAGACCTGGCCATGTATGTCAACCGCGCAGTCCACGAAGAGTTGAACCCATTGAAGGTTCTTGACCTTTTCAAACGCATTTCCGACGAGGATTGCGAGCTGCTTGGTCTGCGCCCGGAGTTTGCACGGCCCGAAGAGTACATCTGGCAGTACATATCTGTGCCTCCAGTAGCAATTCGACCATCTGTTGCGCAGGACGGTGCATCGAACGAAGACGATCTGACGGTGAAACTGACAGAAATAGTCTTCACAAATGCACTCATCAAGCAAGGACTCGCAAAAGGTGCTCCTACTGCACAGTTCATGGTCAGGCTGATCCACTCACATCATTCGCACCCAGCTCATATCGATTTTAGGAACAATGGGACTTCCTCCAACTATCCATCGCAATGTACATTAATTCTGAGCTCCCGGGTGTACCATCTCAGATGGGACAGAAGCCTATCCGTGGCTTCTGTCAGCGTCTGAAGGGAAAGCAAGGTCGCTTCCGTGGTAACCTCTCCGGAAAGCGTGTCGACTTTTCTGGGCGTACCGTCATCTCGCCAGATCCTAATCTACGTATCGACGAGGTTGCAGTGCCGGAGCGTGTGGCGAAGATTTTGACATACCCAGAGCGCGTCACCCAACACAATCTCGAGATACTAAAGAAGGCGATCCGCAACGGCTGTGACGTGCATCCTGGTGCTAACTATGTGACCGCCGGCAGTAGTGGCTTCAAGAAATTTTTGAAGTTCGGTAACAGAAATGCCATTGCTGATGGGCTAAGGGTTGGCGATATCGTCGAGCGGCATATCGTCGACGGAGACATCGTCCTTTTCAATCGACAGCCCAGCTTGCACAAGGTACGTGAAACGAACCATTGTGTCTAATTCTTGACTCTAACCTACCGTCTAGCTATCCATCATGTGTCATCGAGTAAAAGTGCGGCCGTGGCGGTCGTTCCGTCTCAACGAGTGTGTATGTGGCCCTTATAATGCAGATTTTGATGGAGACGAGATGAACCTGCGTAAGTTTCCATGAACATTCCCAGGCGTATACTCATATATTCGCAGACGTGCCGCAAACTGAGGAGGCACGGACAGAAGCCCTCGAGCTGATGAGTGTCAAACACAACCTGGTTACTCCTCGTAACGGAGAGCCCGTCATCGCAGCCATCCAAGACTTCATCACTGCCTCTTTTCTCCTTTCACGCCGTGATCGTTTCTTCGATCGATGTCAGTTCACGCAGATATGTTCTTACCTTGCCGACGCCGACCTGCAGATTGACATACCTCCACCAACGATCTTGAAGCCACAGCGATTGTGGACCGGAAAGCAGATCTTCAACGTGCTCATGCGTCCTAACAGGCACTCCAGGGTGCGAGTCAATGTCGAGTCGAGATGCAACAAGGTGGAGAAGCCCGATCCCAAAGCCTACCCCCGAATGACCCCAGTGGACGACATGTCGCCAAACGACGGGTGGCTCGTTATCGTCAACAGCGAGATCATGTGTGGTGTTATGGACAAGGCGACCGTAGGAAGTGGCAAGAAGAAGTCGATCTTCGGTGTCATCCTACGAGATTATGGTCCGCACGAGGCAGCTACAGCTATGGGCCGGCTGGCGAAGCTTTGCGCACGGTATCTCGCCAACTACGGCTTCTCTCTCGGTATCAATGACGTTATCCCAGGCCCTATTCTCGCTGCGCAGAAGGAGTCTATGGTGCAGAAGGCGTACGCAGAGTGTGACGATCTAATCGCTCGAGCAAAGAAGGGCTTGTTGGAGAACAAGCCCGGTTGCGACCAGGAGCAGACTCTCGAAGCAATGATCTCTTCGGTTTTGTCCAACGTCCGTGAAAAAGTCGGAGAGATTTGTATGAAGGAGCTCAGCAGGCACAATGCACCCCTCATCATGGCTACCTCTGGTTCGAAAGGTACGTCCGACGGTTGTTGATTACAATTGGTAGCTGAACGCTGTGCAGGTTCGGTCATTAACGTCTCCCAGATGGTTGCTTGTGTCGGTCAGCAAATTATCGCAGGTCATCGTGTACCAGATGGCTTTCAGGACCGTTCGCTTCCGCATTTCCCGAAGAAATCCAGAGAACCGCCTTCAAAGGGCTTCGTCCGTAATAGTTTCTACACCGGCCTAACTCCCACGGAGTTCCTTTTCCATGCTATTTCTGGTCGTGAAGGTCTGGTCGATACTGCGGTCAAGACTGCGGAGACTGGTTATATGCAGCGTCGTCTTATGAAGGCCCTGGAGGATCTCGTTACCCACTATGACTCCTCGGTCCGCAACGCCGTGGGTGGTGTCGTCCAGTTCCGTTACGGTGATGACGGTCTTGATCCCGCATGCTTGGAGGGTGATGCTCAGCCTGTGGAGTATCTACGAGCATGGAGTCACGCTTCAGCCATCGCGTCGCGTAGCTCACGCGGTCTTTTCCCCTTTGAGATTTTGGAGTTCGTCAATCAGGAGCTCGCCAAGCCCAAGTTTACCGGCGAGTGTTCGGCGGCGTACCTCTCGACGATTCGGGAATTCGTCTCAGAGCACATCGCGCAGCGACTCGCCAATATTCGCAAGAGTCGCGGAATGTTCGAGGCCCTCGAACGTGAACCGGAATGGAGTGAGCACACCGATCTCTCGATGGGTGCATCTGGTGAGTTTGATGAGGGCTGAACCGTGCCGGATACTGACGACTGTCATGCAGAAGCCGATAAGGTCATCGTGGACAACAGGTCCAAGGTGACAGAAGATCAGGTCCGAACTTTCCTCGCCATTTGTTGGACAAAGTACGTCAAGGCCAAGATCGAGCCTGGCTCAACTGTCGGTGCCGTCGGTGCCCAGTCTATTGGTGAACCCGGAACACAAATGACGCTCAAGACATTCCATTTCGCCGGTGTCGCGTCAATGAATGTCACACTCGGTGTGCCACGAATCAAGGAAATTATCAACGCCGCCAAGGTCATCTCAACACCGATCATCAGCTGCAAGCTCGTGACGAGCGACAATGAAGCGTCCGCACGTATCGTTAAGGGGCGACTAGAGAAGACGCACTTGAGAGATGTAGGTTGATTTGTTGCTGTAGGGTGCGCCTGGCAGTTCATACCTGTATCTTCACAGGTTGCGGGTGTCCTCGAGGAAGCCTGGGCCCCAGAATACACCTACATCGGTGTTATCGTTGACATGAAGACAATCCAGGATCTTCAGGTATGTAGTAGCTTCAGCGTCCAGTTTTTTATCGCAACTAACATTATAATCACAGCTTGAACTGACCTTGGACGATATTAAGTGGGCGATCGTCGTGGCGAAGAAGCTCAAAATTAAGCAAGAGGTATAGGGGTTTTTTCAGTGAAATCGAAGTGACATCCGCTGACCTTCAATAGTCGATCACTGTGATTCCCAAAAAGAACAGGCTGAGGATCTATGTCGACGGGCCCGACAAATACTACCGTCTCCGTGAGCTTAAGCGAGCGTTGCCGGAGGTTGTCGTCAAGGGTGTCCCTACTATTCGTCGTGCTATCATCAATATCAAGGATAAGGACGACGCCCGAGGCAAGAAGGGTGACAAGGAGCTACTGGTCGAAGGTTACGGCCTGCAGAAGGTCATGACAACGCAGGGTATCGTTGGCGAACACACTACTTCCAACCACGTCATCGAGACTGCGCAAGTGCTCGGTATCGAGGCAGCGCGGCGCGCGATCATCAACGAGATCCAGTACACGATGGCGAGTCACGGTATGAGCATCGACCCTCGACACGTCATGTTGCTCGGCGACGTCATGACGTACAAGGCAAGCGTTCTCCCTCATCACTGCCTAATGCTGCTCACCATATGCGCGACTGCAGGGCGAGGTCCTCGGCATTACGCGGTTCGGTGTCGCCAAGATGAAGGACAGTGTGCTCATGCTCGCATCCTTCGAGAAGACGACGGACCATCTGTTCGATGCCTCCGCGCTCGGCAAGACGGACAGCATCTTGGGTGTCTCGGAGAGCATTATCATGGGCAACCCCGCGGCGATGACCGGCACCTCCATGTATGCCTCTCTATCCTCCTCACGGCACTGGCTCCTGATCATTTGTCCCACTAGGCCTGCGCTCGTCACCCCGCCGCCGCCACTCAGCAAGCCGCGCAAGCTGCTATTCGAGAGCGCGTTGTAAGATCCCGTTTGCGCGTTTCTCAAAATTGCGCTCTGATATCGGACTGCATCCCATACATATTGTTATTGCTAATGGCCTTCATGATCTCTTCGCTTTCGTCGCACGCATGCTGTATTTTATGTATCGCTTCCCAATCTGCGGCAGAATCAGTCGATGCTTTGTCCGTGCGCGGGAACTAGAGTGCGAGACCGTGACAGCAACGACGCAAGTTGGCTGGCAGTATTGCATACAGTGATGCTCGCATGACTACATCGAACGCGGTGTCGTATGCGCAGTTTTACATGTCCTGTATATAGTCACCACAGTTCCGGACGGACGGAACACTATATGCCATATACATAGTCAGCAGGAGAAAAGCTCAGTCACTATCACTGTCGCTGCTGCTGTCGCCGCCCTTCTTGTCGTCGTCTGTCGAACTCTCGTCGTCGCTCTCCTCGTCCTCCTCCGCCCCGCGGACTTTCACCTTGCCGCCACGCATCATCGCCATCTGGCCCGCGAGCGAGTCTTCCTCCGGGTCCGAGATCTCGTCTTCCGCGAGCACCTCGTCCTTGGCCTCCTCGATCCGGAGCGTGATGTCCCGCATGACTTCCTCGCCCACGAACGTGTCGCTCACGATGTAAAGCTTCCATTGGAACGTCTGTGCCTGCGGCGGCGCCTGGAACTGCAGCTTGTATGCCCGGTGGTCTTTCTCCGCGTCTGCGTTCGCGAGGGGCACGTCCGAGATCTTCATCGGCGGGACGATCACTTTGCCGATCTTGGGGTCTGCGAGCACAATCCACCAGCTCGGCTTGCGGTTTGCTGGCCAGTGCGGCGCGTGGGCAAAGCCGGTGTCGCTTAGGCCCTTCGGCATGTCTTCAGCATCCTTGCGACTGCCGAGGAACTCGTCTTCGGACCGGTCGCGTGCCGCCAGAGTAGCGGACTCGTCTTTCTTCTCGGACTTGACCGTCGAGCTGGTAGTCGGTGGTACTATGCGCAGCTTGACAACAAGATAGACGATAGACAGGGGAGAAACGACGCGCTCGCCAATCACTGTCACACTTATGAGTCAAGACACGTTCCATGCGAACGGATTGGAGCGTACCTTTGAAGGAGGCATCGACGACGTCAAGCTTGCCCCAACGAGAAAGTGCCTTCTTGATCTCAGATGCCCTGCCATCCGCCTTCTCCTCAAGAGTCCCCGGAACTGCCTCGATGACATGCGCCTCCTTGGCGAGTTCCTTGGCTTCAGATTGTTTTATACCAGGAAGCTGTGCAAGCCTTAGCGTATCGTCTCCAGGCGATAGTGCTTGGGTAAGGTATGTGTGTAGGCGCATTACTGCGAGGGTAGGCCAGAGCCAGTTGCGAGAGAGAACAATGTTCAGAAGCGAGTTCAACAACGCAGGAGTCGTAAGCAGAATGTCTGCTTGCTCTAAACGTCGAAGGTAGTAAGTGGGCGGCACGAAGGTTCTGAGGAGCGAATCTAATTACCTCTGCGAAGAGAAGAGCTCTGGATAGGAAGCCGCAGAAGGTGGGCGTACAGGAGAATGAATGCGCGACGCCTCGCCTCATGCTGCTTGGGATCAATCTCCGCCAAACTTTTCAAAGAACCCCACTTGGCACCTAGCGTGACCTGGATTTGCTTGTCAAGCTCGTCAAGCTCAGACGTGTTACTCTTTTTCTGTGGCTGTTCGTACTCGAAGCTCTTGCCTAGCGATGCGACGACCTCGTCAAGACCAGAATCTTCGTTAAGACTCTTGAAGAACACGGCTGCCGAACGGGCGTCGACGCCGTCTTTTGTCTTGTCGCGGTTACCGAACCACCAACGGCCGACAAGCGCGGGAAGCATACCACCGAATACGAGGCCATACGCCGCAAGGACAATCAAGCGATTCCGGCCCTCGACGATTGTCTTCGGTAGAGCGATGCCCATTGATATTTCTTGGCGTCCGTCAGGATTCCCATACTTTTCCCAATTTTGGCGGATGGTCTTGTCTGTTAGCCTGAAGAGCGAACATATGTTAACTATGGCACGACGGGTGAATCGTCGGGGCGTACGCTTTGTAAGCCTTTGTGATCTCAACGAAACGAGCCTCGACAGCCTCAATGGTGTCATTTATGCCGAGCTTGACTTTGTCAGGATGACTATCGACCTCCGTCAGCTTATTGGGTGTGCCAGAACGAAATGCACTTGCAATTTCCTCGACAATTTCTTGTAGTGCGACTTGATGTCTTTTATTGATGTCTCCTAAGTGGCAATCAGAGGTGTACGATCCGCTGAAGTGCTGATACTCACCATGCTGATGTCAAGAATTTCGAAGGGATTGTACAGCTTGTTGTCAATCTTGGATGTTGCAACCTTGTACACGACGAAGACAAGGAATGACCAACCAACAAGCAGAATGAAGAGTCTGTACACACACAGAGGTCAGCTTGAAGACATAGTGATTGGCGTGACACGCGCCTCCTCTTGGCTCTGGGGCTGAACAAGCCCGGACGCAACTTTACACGATGGTTCACGCATTCCTGGCACGGACAGCCATTCTTGTCCTGCTTAGGACCTTGGAAAAGTAAGCAGGCATGAATTATATTCTCCAACTCTGACTCACTGAAGACGGACGTTGACGATAATGTGAGGGGTATTAAGACGACGAGTAGGAACGTGAGGAGAAAGTAAGCAGCCATGCTGCCAGACTCGTCATAGTGGTATTCGGCCATCTTGGCCTGGTAATGCTGGTGGATGCCTCCAAGAAAGATAAGTTAAGCTCGAGAGAGATGTAAATTGGTAATGAGGGCACGGAGCCCCGAGGGTGGGAGATGGTCGACGTGGTCGAAGTGGGTGACCTGGCATTTGGACGCGTTATAGTACTGTGGGAACTCCCTTCCCTTCCTGGCTGTCCCGTGACGTCAATCGGCACGCGAGTGTTCTGCCGCGCGCCATCACCGAGTCCCGACCCGACCTGCCTAAGCGTCGCGTCTGAAACCTTGGGACGCAGTCACTCGGTAGTTCGGGTCGTGGTTTGCCCTGCTCGCTGCGAGTTGAATATCCGCACAGCTGCCACATCTTACATCCATCCGGATATCCATATTGGGCGTGCTAAGGACAGATCAGGACGGTAGCCTCTCGTGTTCTCTTGCTCTTACAATCATGAACCCTGCGCTGCTCTACATCTACTCCTTCCCGTTCTTCTCCTCGAACTCAGCAGACGACGATTCTTTCCCATACCGCGAGCCTGGCGTTATTGAATTATTGGTTTTATCGTCCTTTCTCTTCCTCCTCAACGTCGTCAGAGTTGTAGCGGACCACTTTCTCCATGCCGGTATTATCGCTGAGATCATTCTTGGGATGGTGTATGGCGAACCGATAGCTGGAATCCTTCCTACAGACTGGGAAGGAACTTTCACCGTTCTAGGGTATCTTGGCCTAATCGGCATAGTATTCGAAGGTTCGTTAACATTTTCGTAGTTAATATGTCTCTGATGCTCTTGCTGTACGCAGGCGGTCTTTCAACCAACTTGGACCTTCTGGTAGCAAATTTGCCTTTATCCGTGCTCTGCGCCTCCATAGGCATTGGATTCCCCGTGGCATTTTCTTTCGCCCTGTTGAACACAGGTTACGGGTACAAATCACTGGAGAGCTTCGCCGCCGGTGCTGCACTGTGCTCGACGAGTCTTGGGACGACTCTGATGGCGCTCAGCAGTGTCACCGGTGCACCCACGTCTTCGAACAGTGCCTCCTCTTCGGACAAAGGTTAGCATCCTGCTACTGTATCGTGCTATATTCACTGGCCACACCCAGCGAGACAGGAAAAGCAGGAACACGCAATAGCTTTGTCTAGCGAGTTGCAAGCCAAAGAAACTGGAGAGGGTAAGCCCATGCACCCTAAATTTGCTCTGCAGTGCTCATACTCACTTCTACGTTAGCCTCTGAGGATGTACCTCTGCAGAAAAGCCGCATCGGTACAGTACTCATCAGCTCCGCAGTCATAGACGACGTAATCGGCCTGGTGCTCTCGTCACTCGTCCCCGCACTATCTGCCATAGACGACACTCGGTCCCATTCCAACCTCGCATGGAAGGTGGTTCGGCCCATGCTGTCGTCGGTCTTGATGGCTACTATCACGCCCATCGTCGCGCGGTATATTCTTCGACCTGTCTTTAGGTTCAGGAACTTAGGTCATCGTTGGTGCACGCCCAGACTACCTGGGAAGTCTTGGGGCTCTACGAGGGTGCTCAAGCTTATTTCGGGGCCTAGGAGTAACCTTTCCCGGTGGGGAGCACAACATCATGCTGATGGCGCTGGTGTTTTGATCATGATCCTGACTGTCAGTGCCTTCGCGGCCATCGCCTTCTGTGAGTAGCACACGGTACGTGAAAAAGTCTTATCTGACTTCAGGCAATAGATGGCGGAAGTAGTGTACTCTTCGGTGCTTATCTCGCAGGGCTTACGGTAACCTACCTGCAGCAACCTCCGCAGAAACGCCAGTCCGAGGACGAACTCGATCATCACCTCTCATTTGAGGAGATATATGTCCGTACCATTGGGCCCCTGCAGCGAGCTATCTTTGCACCACTATTCTTTGCGAGCATAGGGTACGGCATCGTAAGTATCTTACTAATGCGAGCTCCTGAGACGAGTGCTAAGCTTCTACGCGCGCAGCCATTCCTCCCCCTCTGGCGCCCTGCTGTCCTTTGGCGAGGCGTTCTGTATGCGCTGCTCATGGCCGCAGGCAAGCTTGTTGTCGGTCTCCCGATCGTGCTGTGGGCCCTCTGGTCAAATAAAAACAACTCAAGTTCTTCCACGGAACGCCTTAAAGAGTCGATCTTCCCCGCGCTGTTCATAGGCGTCGTGATGGTGGCCCGTGGCGAGATTGGCCTGCTTATAGCCCAGATTGCGCGTGAATTCGAAGGCTCGTCAAACTCAGCCGGCGGACTGCTGGGGGAAGAAGCTTTCCTGGTGTGCATCTGGGCCATTTTACTCTGCACGCTCCTCAGCCCGATCGGCGTTGGGTATATCGTCAACAGATGGAAGAATAAGATTGTACATGGCATCTGGAGGTAGTAGCAAAAATAACTTATTGTAGAAGATCGAGGGCTGTGCTAGGGTACTAGTGCAGTAGGACTCTAGAAAAAGCGGCGTCCGCGCCTACGCACCCTGAAGTTCTGCACCAGAGAGTACGATGAACTCAGCCGGCTCGTGATGACCTCCTCCTCCTCAGGGATGCCGTCGTCGTCCTTGTAGTCGGCAGCCTTCTTATCTTGCTGGAACTGCTCAATACTCTTTGATACCGAGAGATGCACGTCGCTAACGTGGATCAGCTGGCGGAGTGTCGGCCGTGCGGCGAGAGCCTCAGTAAGAACTTTGAGTGTCTCGGTCACGTCGGGGCTGTCCTTCGGCGGTGCGAAGGCCTCGTTGGGCGTCTTAGCCTTGGCCTTGGCCTCCTCCTCGTTCCTCCTCGCCTCCTCCGCATCACGCTCCCTCGCGATCTTCGCCTCGAGACGGTCTGCGAATGCGGCGAGCTCCTTCGCGAGCTTCGTCCCAGCGCTAAGCCGCCCGTCACGGCGGAGCTGCTCGATCGTCGCGCGCAAGCGCGGGAGCTCTGCTTCCTGCTTCGTGAGGTCGAACGGCCTCCTGTGGTAGTTGAGGTGCAGGTCCTGCGGCATCACGATGCTGCCGCATGCCCCGTTCATCTTCTCGAGGAACACCTGCCGCGTGGCGTACTCGAGCGGCGTGTTGCCGACTCCGTCCTCGAGCGCGAGCACCTCGGCGGGGCCAGCTTCCGCGAGCAGCTTGGTGATCCTCGGAAAATTGCTCTTCACAGCTAGGTGTAGTGGCGTCGAGCCTCCAGCCTCACGGACAAGGAAAGACGACGCTCCGGCTTCGAGCAAGAGTTCGACAAGATCGATTCGCGTTTTGGTTACAGCAAGATGGAGAGGCTATGTGCTCGATGCTGAGCAATGTTTCTGCATCATCCATGCGGGAGACATACAGTATTTAGATCATCCTTGGTCTGTTGGCGGAGCAAGCGCGCCGTGATTTCCTTCGGAAGATGCTTGAGTGCATGCTTCAATAATTTCAGCGCACCGGCGTTGTTGTCCAAGGCAATGAGCATATGAACGATATTGTATCTGCCAAATATTTAGACCCTGCTGAATGATGACACCACAATACACTTACCCATTGATATCTGTCTCCAGAGGAGAGACGCCTTTGCTGAGCAGGAAGTCGAACAACTCAATGTTATCCGAGAACCTGGCAGCTGCAAGAAGGCTGTTGTAGCCGAGAGTGCGATGCCTTAACGGTCACCATGCATTAGCAGCCAATAAAACAGAATAAACAAACAATGCTGACGCACTTAAGATGTAAAGCATTTTCGATTTCCTTGCCGCGGATGGAGCAGAGTGCCTGAAGGATGTCGATCTTGCCACCAAAGATCGCCGCGCTCGCCACAGTCTCGTTCAGCGACGTCGTCGTCCAGCCGAGCTTCTCGGGCAAAATTGCCGCAAGATCCGGAATGCGGCGGAGGAGCTTCGCGTGTGCATCGCCGTGGGCGGAAGCGTAATACTTGTACGCCGCAAGGGGCTGGTCGCTCGCGAGGTAGCGCACGACACCGATTGCGCCGAGCTTGGCTGCAGTCCACACGATCGGATCCTCATCCTCTTGAGGATGCTGCCGGCGGTTGCGGGGGTCGCCCTTTACAAGATCCTTCCTCTTCATACCGTGGACGTTTAGGCCGAGATAGACGCGGTGGTCGGGGTCGTCGTCGTCTTCCTCCTCCTGAGACTGCGACGTCTGCGAAGCTTCGCGCTCCGTCAGGGTGAAGCCTTGGCCCGTGCGGCGGATGAACTCGTCTAGCATTGCCGGACGATCCTTCCACACCAGAGAAGAGAGGATATTACCAGGGACAGGCTTTCCGGGCAAAGAGTTGTACAGGTCGAGGATCTGGGCAAACGCCTCGAAATCGTCGTCGTCAATGGTCTTGTTGATGAGGGTCTTGCAATACTCCTGTCCGTCCTTACAGATGTAGGGCGTGGTGACGTTGTTCAGCATGTGCTGCGGAGCAGTCTTTGTGTGCACCTGCGAAGGCTTCTTCGCGATATCGACGAGGTTGATGTCTTCCTCGGGCTCCATGTCCTCGTCCACGTCCACATCGGAATCGTTCTCCGCATCCTCCTCGTCTGAGTCGCCCGCTGGATAGTCAAAGCATCAATTAGCTGCCCGTTCAAAATTGCACTATACCCACCGAGTGCCAGATTACGACCCAGAACGAAGGCAGTTGTGGTCTGAGCTTCATCATTAGGGCTATACTGAGCAGAGGCGATAGCCAAAATCAGCTTGGCGGTGTCCCAATGACGGCGTAAGACGGCGAGAAATAATGGGGTGAAGCCTATTACCAGAGCTATAAGAAAGCGTACCAATGAATGTAGGCTCAGGGATGCTCACCTCGATAGCTATCTCCCCAGTGGCATGAAATCTGCAGAGGCGTCTCCTGGGTTTTGCCCGATTGTCGCGGCAGACAAAGCTTCTGGATCTTCGCATTGTTGCCTGACCAGCACGCCACGAACAGCTCCTCGTATCGTGCTGCAAGCTCATTAATCATGCCTGAACCCTCTTGCATGCCATGCCGATGGAAACCGTATGGACCGTTGAGCCCAAACGAATACCGGTAGTTTGACGTGTAATACCTTGGCAAGCGGTTTTCGAGCGGGCGCAGTCGTGCGTCACTGTCGGGCATCTTGCCGCGGAAGACCTCACCGCCGCGCTTGCCCTGGTGCGTCTGCAAAGTCGCCACAACCCCATTGAAATACTCTTGAACTTCATCCAGGTATGCCGTCTGCTGATAATTCGTAGGCTGTGTGATTTTCTCTTCCTGCAACCTCTCGTATTCCGCGAGGACCTTCAGCGACTCAGTCTTCCAGATCGGAGTCTCCAAATCTGTAGCAGGCGCCGCATCATTTTGGATTACGTTGATAGCGGCGTTTGCAGATGCAGTTATGAGCCTGCGGCGACCCGCCCTGAACGGCACGGAGGGACGTTGGATAATGATCTGCTTCGGCGGCTCAGGCTTCTTCGCCTCTTCGATCTTCGAGACAATGGCAAGAGAATAGTCAAGTGGAGTATAGTGCTCATCGCGTTGCTCGCCTGCACACCGGAGGCTTTCCCTCAAGGGGAGGTTGACCTCTGCGCCGAGCGCCACTAGGAGATGGACGACTTCGTCGTAGTTGGCCATAGCAACCTCGATCGGCATGGCGACATTCGACAAAAACTTCTCCGGTGCACGTCCATTATTCTTCATCCTATTCACAGATTGTCAACAGCGGAAGCACGAGATCTGCTATAAATCCACTCACTTCAAATCCCTTGCCTTTTGGAACTCATCCCTGGTGATCACGACCTTACCGCCGTGTGCCAGAAGAACAGCGAGCGTCGAGTAAGATCCAATGCGCACCGCAGTCGAGATAGGGAAGACGGCCGTGCTATAGTCATCCATCCACGGTATATTGAGCACAGCCTTTGCATTCGGATCGGCCTTGAGAAGCGTGGTGAGGAGCTGAGGACGCGACGCAGCGACGGCGCGGTGCAGCAGCGTGTACAAATTCTCGTCCGCCTCTGAGGTGACAGCGCCTGCCGCAATGAGCTTTTCCGCGGCAAGGCATGCCTTTTCGTCGTCCTCAGCGGCTGCGGCGAGGATGAGCGGATGGCAGTATCGGACGCTCCAACTATGCTTCGGTTGTGTGACGATTTTGGGGTTCGCACCCGCAGTGAGAAGCTGTTCGACGGCTGAGATGGAGCCGAACGCGACTGCGTAGTTGAGCGCAGTGAGTGAGTAGTCCCAGTCGGTGACGTCAATATGGAAGACGTCGGGCTCTTCTTCGTCTTCCTCGGGAATAAGGCCATCGTCTCCCTCAGCTTCCCCCTCCTTCTTTTTCTTGCCGTCTTCATCCTCTGAAGACCAATCGTCGTCGCTGCTGTCGCGCATCTCCTCATCTTCATCCTTATCACTATCGACCATCTTCGCATCCTTGTCTTTGGCAGTGGCCTTCTCTTCCTCCTCCTTCGCTTCTTCCTCGTTAATCGCGCTGCGGTCAAGGAGCTTCCGGACGATCTCAGTAAGATTCAGCTGGGCCGCGAGGTGCAATGCGGTCCGGCCGTCGACGAGTCGCGCGGTCATCCGTGCGTCTGCGTCGATCAAACCGCACGCGATCTCGGTCGCCTTCGACATAATGGCGACCTGCAATGGAGTTCGGCCGACCTGGTCACGGCGGTTGACATCAATGCCATCCTTGATGGCGGCTGCTATGGTATCCCTGTCGTGGGCTGCGATCGCGTTGAAGAACTTCTCGCTCTCGCCGATGTAAGCTTGTCCGGACCACTCGCCGTCATCGATGGGGTTGAAACTACCAGAGATGCTCTGCCGACCGGGGTCTTCGACAATGAATCTAATCAATGATTAATGAAGAGAATTTCTGAGAGAAGGAGGAGATACAGACTGCGCTCGGCCCCGAACGTATGACTTGTCCTCTTCTTCCTGAAGGGCTCGCTCTTCATCATTCTTAGGCTTTGGGCAATGCTGAATTCCACCTCGCTGTTAGAAGTTGTAAATGACTGCGATAAAAGTAGTATACCTCGCAGCAGTCATTCATACACTCAGGCATGGTGCCAAAGAAGGCAGCATGACGATGAAGGCGCCTGCCTTTGTTCTTCGGGTTATACGGGGCTAGGGCGGAATTGTGAGCTGAATAACACTTCTTCCTAGCTGAACTCACAGTTCATGCCAAGATCCTAGAAAGCAGCACGGTCAGATACAAGCAGGGCAGAAAGGACATTCGATACGTACCGTTTGATACACGAGCTTCTCGATACGCCTGGCGTCCCATCCAGGGCCGTATGGGATGTGCAGCGAAACAACGTCATAATCGCTCATCTCCAGGCCAGCATCGATATCAGCCTTCAGGTCACCCTTATACCTCTTCTTCAAGAGACGTCTCCAGAAATCACGAGGCTGAGGGCGTCCACGGATCTGGCGGCGAGATTGTACGTAGCTCTCTCTGTCCTTTGCAGTTGTCAGCTTCTCCAAGACAAGCAGTCGAGCTAAGCCTTGAATCCGGACAATAGAGCGTTCGAAGATCTACGTAAAGAAGTAAGCAATGTACGAGAAGCACGAGAAACAGCCAGGCTCACCGTAGGATCGATATCAGCACGGTTTAGCTGGGACACGTAGACTTCGAAGTCTCGAGAAGAATATTTCGTCAAGCGGACCTCGTAAGACGGAGAACGCCTGGTGATGTCGGTTGTGTTGCACTGGCGCATCATGGCGACAATGGCCCGAGGGTTCGCCCACACATGCTCGCCGTCGAAGGCACAGCACGGAGCATCGACATCGAAGCCGGCGAGAATTTCGGCAGGGGACTGGTACAGGCGGAGAACAATCTGAACAGCGCGATAGGGGTATTGCGAGTGAATGGACACAGTGTGCTTGGTGCGAATACAGGTCACGTCCCAGGGTATCGAGTCGCGTACGGCCTCGTAGATCGAGTTAATCTTGACCTCCGCCTGCTCCGGCGTCAGCCCATAAAGGAAAAGATCGACGTCCGAGGTCGGGAATGCACGGTTGTGGAAATACTTCCTGAGGGTGCGCTTGGAGGCTTTAGCACTGTCTGGTACAGGCGCAAGACACGCCTGCACAGAACCGCCAGCGGCGACGATGTTGCTCCAGTCCGCCAGCTGCGAGAGCGAGCCTTCGGTGAAGATGGCCCAGTTCTTTTTGAACTCATCGAGACTAGCGACCATTGCCGGCGCGCCGTCCTTGCGCCTGCAGTCCTCGGATAGAGGCATGACATACTTTGCGCTGAGGTCCTCTTCGTTCGCGACGACGCGCGCACGCGTCTTGCGGATGTCCTCAGGGGCATCGAAGACATTGACCAGACCGACGTGGGGGTCAAGCAGACGCGAGTTCTTCTTGTCCTGGGCGAACAGCTTGCGCAACTCGGCCTCGTCCTCGAGCGAGGGCTTGAGCACATCTTCAAGCGATATGCCTGGGCCTGGAGGGAGCTGAGCGACGCGAGAAAGAAAAGCGGCGGCCTCTGCGTTTTGGTGCATGTTAGGGATTGTGTGGAGACTGATTTTGTGAAGAACGAGAGATACACCACGATGAATGGTGTGTTGGATTGACCGGAGCCCTCTCGCCCATCTTATATATGAAATATTGGGCGTTATGTTTGTGGTTAGCTCCGTCGCCAACAGGCATGGGTGCCTCGTTGGTGTCGACGTGAGAGCGCATCAGACTAGAAAAGGAAAAAGTCGGGCCCGACACCGCTTCCCGGATGCTGCGCAATGAGTCAACTCGGGTCATTTATCCCCGAAAGGCAGGTCGCGGCGTCGGGAGGCGCATGGGCGCATCAAGCCTTCCCGCCCACGTCGGTGAAAGGTGGCCGCCGCTCTTGTGTAATAGAATAGCTAAGAGTCATCAACAAATACCCCGCAACCGAGAAGGTCACCTGAGCAGCGCTGATCACGGGCATCTCTAGTCTCGTTTCCATCCGCTCTTAACTCCGACGTGTAAACACTGTCGGCCAGTGCATCGGACTTTGAAAGCAAAGTGCACTGGCTCGTTAGAGCGTCTGGTCCACTTGGATCATCCGGGGGGGTCTCGTCCGCACGTGACTGACGCGCACACATACCGCGCCCGTAGTGTCGTGGGCGTAGCCCCAGCCTCCTATTTTATTCCCATTTTCTCCGATTTATTTCACGTTTATACGACCCTCCAAACGTCGTCGGCGCGTAGGCGCCAGTTTACAAGTCCTAGCCGCGCGCTAACACCTTGAAAACGCATCACCGACGGGCACGCATCAGCGCATCAGACGCGCCTGCATCGCCGCCGCCTCGTCGCCGCATCACGCTTCCTCGGTAACAGCCGCTCTCCGATCAGCAACGGACTTCCTATCCCCGTCGGCCCGACAACGTCATACAACATGACACACCGGTCCCCGAGTCCGATCGGCAACGGACTTCCTATCCCCGTCGGCCCAACAACGTCATACGGTATGACACACCGGCCCTCGTTTCCCCGCCTAAAGTCCCCTAGACACTAGCAGTTGCCGTAGCACCAGCCGCTTATGTAATGCCTGGTCCGTGCGCACTCTGACTAGTATATAAGGACCCCCTTCGTCGCTACCTAGCCCCATCTCAACCTCTTGGTTTATTGGGCTAGGTAAGCCTTTGTTTGTATTGTAGTACAGTTGCTAATATAACTTGGTTTATTGGGCTAGCTGAATAAGCTAACACAGTAGTCGCCAGACCTCGTCGGCGCCGCCTCCTAGTTAGATCCACGCAGCATCCTTAGTGGTGTGTTGACGCAAGTCCACATCATTAGGTTGAGATCTTCGTGCACCCAGACTACCCCCCTATCCAGTGCTCCGTGCACAGTTTTAAAAAAGTTTATTCCTACCGTTTGAAGAGTAAGTCTCTTCGGCGATTGGTGGGCAGACGTACGCGCGTA